ACAAGCTCGAGTGCGGTGCCAGCTCTAGCTCTCCACGTCGTCTGCTGTTCCTCGTTAAGGGTCAGCTGCTCTAATTCTATTCATGTTTCCTTCTTTGTTTTGGACTCCCTGTCGGTTCATTAAATTTGTAAGTACTTGTGCTTGCCATTTATGGGCCTTACAGTATACCCAAGTATATATATATTGAACTTATTAGCTTAGTGCATAGTAGCAGAATGGAGATTTTGTATCATGTAGATTATAGGAAATTTCAAATAGTAGGAATAATTACTAGTATCTGCAGACTGTAGTACCTATCAGCAGCACAAGTACTACCAGTATCTATCCATAAGTAAAACTTAAAGGCTACCTTCAAGTTTATGTTTGGACAGTTTGGTTGTTCATCACTGGCAATAGATCATCTGGATAACCCACTGACTCAAATCTGTTTGGCTTCAGGGAGAAATCTGTTACTATGTAAAGAAATTTATTCACAGGTAATTGGTGTTAAGAGAGTTTGCCTTTAGCTTAAAAGTTAAAACAAATCATGATCAGTAGTACTACAGTGAATTGACAAAGGTTCGTCATCTGCCGCTTGCGGCTTCCTCCCCCTCATAGATAGATAGTAGTTTATTTGCTGTAGTGGTTTGAACAATTAAACATATTTACCATGATCATGCTCCTGGGTTCATTAGACCTGGTAGGGTTACTGTTTTTGTTCAGTATTTAGTTACCTGCCTACATACCTACCTACGTACCTTTTTTGGGCGCCTGCACGACTACTTGTGCAGGCGGGAGCGCAATGAATTCGCGCTGGAGGGCCCAGAAAAAAAGGGTTCCCAGTCGTCGCTCCCCTCATCTGGTCCTGTTCGAAAGAAATGTTTCAGTTGGCATGAGAGATTGTCATCCACAAACAATGTTTGAACATACAAAGGTGTTTTTATAAATACTGAGCTTTTCAGTGGCCCAGCTCGAAGGGCAAACAGGACTCGACCCACTGATTTTATGTCTAATCTTTGGGCATGCTCACGTGCCCCACCACGGCTTGAATCCCGACACAAACAACCAAAATGTCCTCGTCCGATCCTCCTGCGCCTAAACGTCCGAGAACAGAAGAGGATACGATAGCTCGCTCTGAAATCTGGTATAAAGATGGGAGTATTGTTCTCCAAGCTGCAAACACCCAGTTCCGCGTCCATCTCGGTCTTCTTGCAGCGCACTCCACAGTGTTCAGAGACATGCATGAAATGCCACAACCTGAGACGCAGTCGAATACGGTGGATGGCTGTCCGCTGGTAGAAATTCAGGACGATCCTGAAGACGTCAAAAACCTGCTCTTAGTTCTGTATTCCCCGTGTGTGGTTTTAAATTATGTCTAAGCGACATGAACTTACGAAGAGCAGCACGCTACTAACGCAAATGCCGCTCTCCTTCCCCATCGTCGCGGCTCTCGTCCGGCTGGGATCCAAATACGACTTTGGTGAACTTCGGACTGTTGCTGTCAAGTGGATGCATCGTCGATTTCCGTCGTCCTTGGAGGAGTTTCATGTACGATACGAGAGCGCTAGTTCCGGTGCTCTCTCCTCAAACATCTTGTTCGACGTCCTTGAGCTGGCTATAGAGAATGGCATCGAGTGTTGCCTCCCTGCTATCTACTATGAAATCATTCGACTCCCAAAGGTAAGCACCCTAGTATCTCAATTTTGGGTCAACAACCACCCACGCATCCTTAGAAGGAGTGGGTCAAGGGGTCCGCTCGACCTTCGGGGACCGTGGCCCATCTGAAGCCCGCCCGTTTGCAAACTTGTATGTCGGCCTTCGACAGGCTCATAAAAGCCCAATTTCAGCCCGGCTACATCTTCTCTTGGATGGCCAAACCGCCTCGTCTCGACACCTGCGACAACTTCCCAGTGTGCGTCGAGGAGCGCTTCCACAAACTGCGGATCTGCATCAACAACGGCTCTTGCCGCTATTTTCTTATGTCGTTCAACGCTCAGGAGTCCAACATATTTAGCCAATGTGCCCCTTGCCAGAAGCAAATCGGTGATTTGCTTGTTTCTGGCAGACAAAAGGGATGGGACGACCTCCCAGGCTTCTTTGACCTTCCTGCCTGGGGCGAGTTGAAGAGCGGCTTGCCTTGAGAGCCTTTACGTTCCACCGGAGGTTATCTTCGAGTTTGTCTGTCCCGCCATACCTATAGCCTCTTTTCGGTGCCTGTCTGACTACTTGTGCAGGGAGGAGCGCAAGCTTATGGCGAGCAATGGTGTGGTCGAATGAGGGGCCAACAAGTAGGGGGGCAATGACGAACAGTCGAATTATGCGATAAAGGCTGAGTAACAAGAAGGGAATACAGTACAATAAGCTAGACAATACCCAGGTGCTGCATCAAAGTCGCTTGATCAATAGCACGGTTCCCAGCCCCTTGCAAGTTGTAGCCTGTCAGGTAGGCCTGAAGTTCTGCATCTGTGAGATTCCGGGGATCTTCACTCGCAAGGAGAAGTGGCAAGGGTCCGCCTGCAGCTGCAGACAACTATGGGAAACAGTCAATGGTCATCAACAGTGGTTTACAAATGAATAACACACATTATCAGGATTTACGACCGCCCCAACAACAGGGTCAAGGACCGGAATAACTTCAAGAGCGTTCCCGGGAGCACCTCCGCATTTTATGATGTTGCTAGCCTGGGCCAGGTGAGAAGAGAGTCAATGTATGGATATAAGCACATACGCGAATAACGATAAGCTTGAGGTCGTCCACGACATCGGTAATTTGCTGGAAGCGGTTGCCGAGCTGTTGCATTTGTTGCTGGAGCTGTTGCATTTGTTGCTGGAGCTGTTGACTGGTTTGCTGGACATTTTGGTCGACCTGAGCCATGCGGGCATTCAGTTGCTGTGCCCACAGAGGAGCACCGGCGAGGGCGACATTCTGAGGGACTGGCACCGTCAATAGCGAGAAACCATCCAGTCCTGGACATACCAGCATTCAGGGCAACAGCAGCCAGCACCTCATTCGAATAAATTTTCGAATCGATGTACATCTGATCTGTAAATCCGGGAACGTGCACTGAAGATACCAGTGAGGGTGAGGAAGCAACTAAACAACCTGTGCCACTTACAACGGCATTGAGTCGCAATACGGATATGATACTCTTCAGCAACCTTGGCGTCCGTTACCGTAGGAGGGTTCACCAAAGCAGGCGGCGCAGCCATGCCCGGGATGAGCGGCGGAGGGTTGATTGCGGCCATGACGTGGAAGTGAAAGGAAACGCTCTGCGTGACGTGCGCGTCACGTGCGCGATGCTCTGTGTGACGTGCACTGTCAATTAATAAATATGGAATCCGCGGTCGCGCCGGGTGCTCGCTGCGCAATCCAAGAACATGACTTAGGCTAAATATCAATTCTAAACAACTGTAGGATATCTACGGGCAAAATCATCTAACCGATGCTGCAAATTGCTGCCGCCCAAGTTCTTAACGCGGGAATAGTCAAATGCGCCATCGAGCGCAATGTCTGTGAACGCCTTCACTCTCGACAACCCCACAAATGTCAAACCGACTGCAAACTCCCGTTTCCCCAACCCCAGGCGGATTTTTGGGATGGTCAGGCCCTGGGATTTGTGAACCGTTACTGCCCACGAAAGGCGGAGGGGAACTTGTGTCCGACTGAGGTGTTTGTCGCCAATGTCAAAGAGGGACTTGACTGGTGGAATAGGAACGATGGGGATACCACCGGGGAAGCCTGGTCGTGGCTCGGTATGCCAGAGGGTCGGCCCAGTATAGTCCTTGCATGAGACTAAAACAGCAACGGGGAGTTCTGATGTTGAGGATGCACCTTCGGGCCAAATAACGTCTTCTACGACGCCGAGAGTTGCATTTACAAGACCTGGAGAGAGTCAGTACTATAGAATAATGTCCAAAAGATGTAATGTACCGCATTCCTGCCATAAATTGCGTGTAATCATGACCTTTGCCCGCCGACAGAGGACAAATTCGCTTTCCAGTCCGCCAGCATCATCAGCGGTGACCTTCTTAGCTGCAGCTACACCACCCTCATGTCGCGCCAGTAGACGGGCACATGGTTCCGCCAGATCCTGAATCGCTTTCATGTTCAACATGTGCACATCTTCCCGTGTCGTGTAAAGGCAGATGGCATCGTTGAATTGCGCCTTGTCCGCAGGGGACAGCGCTGAGAAAAGCCGCGTTTGTAGAAGCTTCCACTCGTCAATGCTGAGGAATCCCTTTGAGGCGTGCTCCAAAAGTGTGCCGCATCACAAAAAGCGGCCGAGCGATGTAACGGTCATGCTACGTAATTGTAACAGCTGTAAGGTCTTGTAAGCGTCAACAACACTCTCAGCAGAGTTATATCTCGGTCATATGGAGATCTTTAAACCCACAAACCATGAAAAGTCTCTTGTAAGGCTCAAATAGGGTTGCATCTCTCTTGCATTGAATTTCTAACCTTATTGTTGCCTATCAACCTTCGTCTTGTTCACAAGTGCTACAACTGATTGCCAAGGATTCTAGGGAACCAAAAAGTCCCTCACTAGATACACAAAACCTGAGGGAGAATATAAGAGTTTTTTGCTCTTGTAAGCCATCCCAAATCAAGCTGAAACCTACCACAGCCTAAAATTCTCATTGGCACTGGGAAGCTAAGAACAGGATAGGTTGAAAATACAAGCTGTTGAAAACGACATCAAGTCCACTGCTCCCCGTTTCAAATCTACTCTAAGGCTGTAAGCCATTCTGGGTGATTGCCAACTGCTAACCACCTGACAACGGATTACCACTGTGCTTAAATGATGCGAGAAAATCAATCCAGGCTTCACAAACATCAATTTCATTATTGAATTGGGGAGTACGATATAAGTAAGTGACTGGTTAGGCAACGAGCGTAGAAGAAGGAGTGAGGGGACCACTATGTAAACGATCGTGATGAGGGACAGATTGATACACGACATAATGTCCGCTTTGAAAATGATTAGAGAATGCAAACATGGAGATGAGGAACCAACATGAATTCAAGTGCCACCAGAGTTGGTCGCATCCGCAAGCACACGTTGGCTAGCACGACGGCGACGTTGAGCCACTGCTTCATCTTCGCTGGCAGCTCCATCGCAATCCGACCCATCTGACAGGTTATCATCGCCTTCGCCAAAAACTCGCCTGCAAACGATGAGAAACAAGATTATAAAATGAAAGATGGGATACTCGGTCAACCAATCAAGTGTCTCTTTGCCCCATTCTGGGCGATCGGGGTCGGAATCGTCAGCAAACGCATCCAAGACTTTCTGATAGAGAACGGTAAACTTGTATTTTTTTGGACTCCTGGTTTGTCCACTGAGGAGCACTGCTGATGGATAGCCGAACCTGAACAGTTTCAGCGTAGACCTGAGAATATATGCACATTACCTGCACAACCACATATGCAACCATATGAGCGGTGACACGACGAATGTTATGAATAGCAGCTAAACAGCCGTAAGAGAGCTCGTCGTCTGCGGCGTTAATTGCGCCTGAACGCGAGACGAATAAAAGCCTGATGCCCTGTTGCACAATCATTATTCAAGGAAGGTGGGCCAGAAAAGATATACATACTCGCCAAATTGCAACGCCGGTGAAGAGATTTTCGAGGTAGGCGTCTGGGTTCCACTGGCCATCCGGGTAGCAAAACGAAGGGAAGTATTTGCAAGACGGGGTATATTGACTTGCGACAATCTTGTCATAGATACTACGTAAAGGATGAGTGAGTCAATTGAGGTGGTGAAAACGAAAGCACGTCTGAGCTTCTGGGCTGAGATGGTTTGAGGCGTCAATGAAATGAGCGCGCGAGCGAGAATCTTACGATAGAGTGGGTGTTGGACTGGAAAAAATGAGCGTAGGTCTCAAATGGGAACGCGAATGATTAACTTGGCGGGTGGTCCATAGATTAAAGGCGGAAATAAAACTCGGTCTTTCCAGGGCATGATGAGCATGCGGAGTTGAGGATGAGCAAGACCCCGTTTGGATTTGGCAATGCCTTGTTCGATGGGTGGAAATAGGCAATCCGAGCCGGGAATGGGGAGTAAAATGCGCAAGCTATTCTTGAATGTGTTCGTATCCTGAGTTCGTGCCTCACTAGCGGCTTTGGCCATCTAAGTCATAGTAAGGAAGGTAAATGAGAGAAAAAGGACACTCACTCGATCACATAGTGCTTGCCAGACGGCGGGACGAGCATTCGAGTCGTGGTAGATGTGCTGCAAAACAGGTAAGAGATCGATGCGGCATGTCGACATAATCTTCGCGAAAATATCCGCGTGATGACCTGCACGTTCACTGTGATGCATAATGAGAGAAGAAGCTCGAAGGACTGGGGCTTACCTGGGAGGAAGGTCGTCGATGCGGGCAGCCCCAGCGGTTGGAAAGGACTTGAGACAGCCATAAGTGAGTATGCGCTTCATATTCCAAAAGGCGTCTGCGCCGCGAGGAACGAACTTCGCAGCGTCGATTAACTGATGGTAAGCCCCTCGATGTAGCCTGCACAGTGTGATTGATGGATTCCGTCAAACAAAGAAATGGGCTTGCGCGTTTCGGGGAGGTCCAATTTTGCGCTTCCCGAGGACGGAAGGAATACCGGAGGACGCCGCAGACGGAACGGTGAGGCCTAAGTGGTCGAGAATATCCTGGTAGAAAGCGTGTTGTTCGGCGGTGAGCGAAGTCGAGGGGGGAATTAGCACGGGTATGGTGGATGAAGGAGCAGGTGTCGGATTATTTGGGTCAGGGATTGCCTCCGATTCAGGCATTCCAACGCTGCGAGGAGTACAGTATAAGAAAGAAGTGAGGAGGATGATCGAGGGCATTTAAACGCCAAATGTGGATTGATGATCAAATCACGTGCTGATGGAGCTGTCGCGCTGAAGGACATTGAGATGGTTATGGGCACGAGTGCTGCCCTGATGTGAGCGTAGTAGGTTGGCAAAAGGGAAGTAGTAGGAGATGGGGCACATATCGGAGTCAATGGCTCGAGCTGGGGAGGTAACGCCGCTGTACGGCGCGGTCGAGGCGACGCTGAAGCGGGCATAAGTAGATCGTCTTCTCTTTCGGGTTGTCCTTGACGATTTCGACGATCAATAAGCCGTAGACCGCAGGCAAGTGGGTGTGAGCAGCAGGCCAGAAATGGTACAAGATCAAGCACGTTCCAGCCAACAGCAGTTTGGCCTCGTCGATCCACTCGAACCATTCCTTCGATTGCAAAACACCAACAGCAGCATGCGTTTCGAGCTTGAGAACGTAGACAAAAGTGTTGTCGTAGTCGATAAAGCGACCACAGTAGAGGAAGGCGTAAACGACCGTGAGGACCGGCTTCCCGGCCCAGCAGAGGTGACCCTTGCGAAACCACCTTGCTCGCGTTGGTGTGCGAAGCAATCTTGGTCTCAGCCTTGCAAAGATCTCTAATGCGAAGGGTGTCTCGCCGTCGAGCATGCGGAAGCCGTTAGACAAATGGACCAGACGGAGCAAGTCGCCGTCGATGAAGGCGGGGGAAATTGACTTCATGATAGCCTTTGAAATGCGTTAGTAACTCTGAAAAATGAAACTAAAAATGAGCAAACAAACCTGCCATCCAGTCACAATCGCGAAATCCATTGGCGCGGTAACCTCCTCGTTGCGAATGGTTGAGAAAGACTCGCACTGGTCGCCCACAATGGCACAGAACTGCTCAACAGCAGCACTCTTGATGGTGACCTCGGGTCCATGGGAAGTCTCGTGGATGTCGATTTGAGGAAGGACAGCATCGTCTCCATACCACAACTTCCAGTAGAACTACTTGATGCGCGTGTTGCGATCAGTCGCGATTTCGTGAATGGGCGCGAAGCCCTGCAACGGCTTGTACTCGAATTGGAGAGAGAGCGGAACGGAGACATCGCGACGGTCTTCGAAAATGGTAATGTCGATGAGTTTCGTTGTCGGGGAGTACTTGATTTCAACGGCCTCAAACAACTCCTTATGCTCGCCGTAAGAACGAGCACTACCATAGAGGGAGACCGAAACGGGGGCGCCATTCTCATAGCCGACAACCATCTTCTGGCCTGTTCGTGGCGCAAGAAGTCGCTTGATGGGGTTGTCGATGTAAGAAGTGCCTTGAACGATGGTCGTTGAAGTGGTCAAAGCACGCAACCAGCTCAGCTCTTGACCGCCCAAGGTTCTGAGCCAAACCGAGGTAACAGGCAAGCGGTCGACGAACTCGAAAGTGACCTCGTTCTTCTCTTGGGTGCGTTTAATGCAAGTGACAACGGGAGGAGGAATGGGATGGGCAGCGAGGTAGTCGATAGTGGCGACTTTTTTCGTCGCCGTTGTACTTGAAGGTAAGAAGACGTTGAATGAGTTCAGCATGGATATTGTGCCCTTGGTATTCGAGTGTTTAACGGCTATGAGACCTCGAGGGATGCAAACATGCTGGTCTTGGAGACGACCTCGATCCTACGAAAGAAAAAGATCAGTCATATTAGGAAAAATGGGTAAAGTCAAACTGACCTTCTTGAACCAGACTTCGAAAATGGCATCGAGAACAGGAAAAGGGGGCAGGCTTTTGACCCAGACGTTGCGAGATGGCAAGAAAGTAAGCGGTGTCTTCTGAGGCAAGGAGCCGCTTGGTGGCAATGGGAGATTTCTTCAAGAAGGACGCGATGAAGGGAAGAGGGTCTTCCGATTGAAGAAGAGAATGCTTCTGTCCACCACCGTTGGCACCACAAAACGCTCTTCAACCTGATGAAGCCAATTAAATTGCGCAATGAGACATCCACCCGACTCCGCGAAAGATGTTCGATGCATTGTCGGGGTCGCGAACCACACAACAATCTTAGTGAGTCGTCAACCACCGCAGATAATGACTTGGGAGAAATCTGACCGGTGAATGAGCTGAGGACAATGACTATTATCATCGGAGAGAATTTGAGCCCACAAATTAGACTGACACCGCTTTATGAAGTCTCTCGTTTGCTTCAGCCTTGGATTCTCGTGTGTAAATCGCCCCAATGTACCCCTCGTCCACAGAAGCCTTTGACGTGGACAATCAAGGCGAAGAACGGGTCGCGTTTCTCGCAGAACCTGCCAACCACCGTGGAATCGTAGAGCTGCGTGTGTGTCAGCCGCCCCGAGTAAATCAGTGATTGTCAAATGCGACATACACATTGTTGCGCTTGAGGAATACTCCAGCATTGTGGTCGCTGTAGATATCGATTTGTGCGATGGCATTGAAAACGGCAGTGTCCCGGCTACCAGCTTGAACACGGGCCTCGAGGCAAGGAAGAATGAATGGTTTTGCTGCTCGTTCGTTCGCAAGCTCGTCGACGGTGTAATTAGGCTGTTGACAAGGGCCTCATTGCACCACAATGCAGAACACAGTCATGCTCAACGTCAAATCGATTGCAGATGGTGATGAGAGGGAGCTGATTGGAGAGTTTTGCCTCTTCAGGAGAATTCTTGACCTTCTCTGAGTTGTGGCAGTTACTCTCCCAGAAAATTTGTTCGACTTCGCGCGTATCTGTCCAGTGTCAGTAGGATACAAGCGAAAATGAAATAAAAGTGCGGACCTCGGGATGAAGCTATGGGCGGTGCCACACGTTCGACGCCAGCGAAATCTTGATGATGCATGAGAATCTGAGGGTGTATCTTAATAAGTCTCGCACCTCGACGGAAACAATGGAAAAAGCACCTATTGCACCAGTCCAACCTTCTGGAAAAGATGGCCTTGATACCAGCCCAGCATCAACCGTCGCTGCTTGACCACCTACTACAGCAGATTCTAATTTGCTATTCCGAGCGCGTAGGCGTATGGATTGACGGATGCGCATGTTGAGCAGAGGATGCACGCTGCGACGATTGATATAAATTCAAGTTGTTCAAGTGTGAAACTAAAGACACGTACTTGGGAAGACTCCAGTCTCACATTGTCGCCATCCAGCTCCCACCCATGCTTCAGAATGAAAGCGAGCAGGCTCCGTAGTGAGAAGGCATGCATATTGTCTGCTTTCACTGGGGCTGCTTCCTCGGCCACAAGGTAAAGTCAGGCTTGCATAACGCGTATTTTGGAGCGCCTCCGGATATAAAAGGCCCAGGATGCGTCTCCGTGGTGGTAGCCGCCATTTCTGTCGGACACCAGAGTGTTGAGTTTGTGTGGCAAGAGGTTGTCTATTTTCAGATGTGAGCTGGATTCAGAGTAGGTGATTGAAGAGGCTTTACCGGTATCGCTACACATGCACTTCATCGAGGGGCGTTCGGACTTCTGATTTGCAGCTTCGTCGTCTTCGTCGTCTGCGTTGTCGTCGTTGTTGCTGTCCGAGGCAGCGGCGAACGTGTTCAGTGTCAAGCAAGTCATGTTACATAAGCGTGACATTCAGCGAGTGCAACTGTGCAGATGCCTTGCAGCCTAGATGGTAGTGGGGAAGGAGGAGCAGGTTGGAACGTGAGAAGCCTGAGTAATTGGGTTCCTATCGTTCTCAAACCCAGAGTAGACATCCCAAGCAATACTGCGAAAATAAAAGTATCATGGTGATGATAATTACGCTAGAGAGTATACAGTCCTTCAGTAAAACCCGGTCATTTGAGGCATTATCCCATTCGTCTGGGAAGAGTAACAAGCCCACCAATTAGCCGCTTTGTGGTCATAATCCTCTTGCTCCTTCTGCACTTCCTTCTTCGACCGTTCACTTCTTTTTCAGGCTGCGTGAAGCATTGCAATGTCGACATTGGTTGCTCGGCAATCTTGGTCGATCCAAAGACCGCTGCTGTGGTCATTGCATTCTTGAAGAGTCTGCCGTTCTTGGACAGAGCGATAAACGGGTCCCATCGCGAGTCTTTCTGCTGAGAAAGTGAGAAAAGAGAAGAGGAATCAGTTACCCTTCGTACCTTGGATAGATACACGGCAAGTCGACGGGGCTCGAGCAGTGGCGCTTGGTCAAGGCAATCGTACTAAAGTTGTTGATAAACGTCAGACAAAAAGATTAACCCGTTTGAACAACAAACCATGTAAAACGGGTCTTCTCCGATGACCTCCCGGACATTGTCAATCAGTTGCTGACCGGGTTTCTTGGCCAATGCGTACGTCTCGCCCTTTGTTGGGTCCATTTGGCCGATGTTGTACTGCATATAGGCCAAAACTTCAGCATCGGCACGGTTCATCAACGCGATGCAACGAGCAGTAATATCACAGTCGACAGTCGTCAAACGACCGAAGATAATGTCATAGAACATGAGAAGGGCATCTTGACGAGCCCAATTCAAGTCGAATCGGCGAACCTTGATGGGGTCAAACATGAGTTGAATACCCTCGATATAGACGTCTCCGTGCTCCTTGGCGACGTTGTCGGGCTTGGTCTGTAGCGCAAGACCGTTGGCCTTCTCGTTGACGAGAGCAGTTTCGCCGGCCCGGGAGTTCCGGTTGAGGTAGCGCATATACAGCTCGATGTGCTGAGCTGCGAACGCAATTTGAGTGAACTGGGTGGCGAAAAGCAGACCTTCAACGTACCACTGTGGCCATAAGAAAGCGCGCTTGCCAAATCTTCAAGCAGAGGTTCCTCGCCCTTCTCGGGAGCGGAGGTAAACTTGAGTTGGAGATCACTGAAAATCTCATTCTGAAGAGTGGACTTGGAACCGACGAGGTCCTTGATGGACTTGGAGAGAGAGATCTCGTTGATTTTCTTCTTCAACTTTTGCGCGACGATTGCAGTAAAAACATGAATGACTTTGACAGGGAAATTGTCGATAGTTGCGACTGGCCCAGAAGGAGCCGCAAGAGCGACCGCCCGAGGCGCACCAGCAGTAGCAGCAACTGAAGTAACAGCAGCGGCTTCGGGAGTTTCAGACTCAGCAGCTGCCCTAGCCTCGTCCTCGAATTGGCGATCTTGAGTCTGAATCCCACAGACGGAGGACGCAAATTGATACGCAAAAAGCTCAAACAGGATAATGCAAGCGAGCTTTTGGTGTTTCTCAGCGCTGGCCCAGTTCTCTTGGCCCCATTTCTTGAGAACTTTGTCGAGACGCGGGGAGGAGGTCTGGTCGTAGATGATTTGCGCGCACTCCCTAGCGAGCTTGATGCGGTGACCAGCGTCAAGGACGGCACTGCAGAAACCGGCTGGCACAGTGGAAAGAGTCATTCCAACGACCATAATCGGCGGCTTGCCAAGAAAACGCGAGAAGGGAGTGTCGACCTGCATAGTGCCCTCACTCAGTAGAATTAGTATGGGTGGAAACGAAGGGGGGATTGTAACATACGTTGTCTTCCCAAACCCGGCAAGAGACTTCGTTCGCAGAATTCAAACCACCGTCAATTGCAACAATGTGGTCGCCAAGGACGTGCATGGTGTTCGTACTTCTTGTAGATAGTCAGGGTTGATAGCATTCAGAAGTGAGAGGCTCTGGAACTTGAAGTTGCAAATGGTGAAGGCTCAATGCTGATAGAAGGTCGGACTGGATGAATGCTGTCTTATAGTCGGATGGTGTAAAACCAGATTCGCAGCGATGCAGGTTTAGGAGGGGAGCTGATCGTGTCAAGAGGAGCCTGGTGGATGGTCGTTTGAAGTGTATTGGCTAACGGAGCGGTTTCTTGAGGGCCGAGACGGGGCATGAGTGAGACACGTTGGGAATCGTCGTCAAAGTTACAACTTGAAGCCTGTGACAGCGACGCCGCAGCCACACGTTATCCCGTTTGCTAATGCCCTTACGGTCTCGTTCGCAAAAGACTGTTCATTTGTTCATTCGCCACCATACGTCCTGGACTGCTGGAAGTCGAACGTCAAGGTCGTTGTGCTCAACTTGAAATCACTGTCAATTCAATCTCCTAAAAGGCCATCCCAACGAAAGTCTTCAAATTGTCCAAGTTATTTTGTAGGTCGGTAGTACTGAAAACTGTTCTACGGAATGGTACGAACTCAAGTTAAGCGACTAATCTAGGTCGGACGACGGTATCTCAATTTCAGTCATAGGATCGTCCAATTCCTGCAAGACTTGCGAGGCCTTGTCCACCATCTTGACCAATTTGTCGACGTTCTTCAGCAAAAAAGCTCCCCGCTGCTTGGCTTTCAGCAACGCGTTCTCGTAGGATCCGACGCGAGCCATGGCATCCTGGTGCTTATCCTGCAATTTGTCGATCTGGTCCTCCGCCTCGATAACCTCTTGGAAGAACTGCTCTCGACCGTGGTTGACGTGGGAGAGTGTGATCCTAAGCTCTCGAATTTTGTTGCGGTGGGCGTCGATCTCAAGCTCATTCTGCTGCTTGAGGGCATCCTGCGCCTCGGTAACACTCGGGTCGTCGGCTGCCTCCTCGCCTCGCAGCCGCTCCACTTGCTCGCGCAAGAGTCTGTTGTCCAGCTCAGCCGCATGGTGCGCTTGTCGGAGGGCTTCGTGTTCTTCGAGGAGTTTCTCGTGTCTGATGCCTGCAGCCCATGATCAATCTATTGTAGCCCTCAGCACGGCGCACTCACGCAAGTTGGTGGCATCATCGAAGGGGTTGGGTTCATCGCTTGGGACGGAGCTGAGCTGGGCGCAAATGCATTGTGGCCAACTTACCTGTGTTGGGCCCCGATTGGTGAGAAACTAGCTGACCCGCGCGTCGCGTTCGCTGATTGAGGCGTAGGAGTACTAGCCACGGTAGGTGAGGCCGACTCAATATGGGTGTATTTGCGAACGAATCCACGAAAGGCAGCCGAGTCGGAAACGTCTGAAGATAATTCAGACATGGTCGAAAGGAAAAGGTGAGTGAGAGTGACCGCCTTCGATCCTTGAACTTCTCACAGAAATAAATTTCCCGATTTGGAAATCTCAATTTGCGCGACTTTTCACTCGCTTTCTTGCCTCCCCCCTTCACCTGACTCGGAAATCTCTGTTCAACTCCTGGAATGTCTGGTGGGGAGCCCATAACCGGGAGATGTTAAAGCTCACCCCTTCCAGATACTGTCCAACTTGAAGTTTTGAAGGCCGAGCTTGAGACTTCGCGCGAACTTAACCACCAATTGCTCATCGCCAACGCGAGTGTCGCTCAAGACCGCGACCAGATACAGCTCAAGCTGGACGCACTCGAATCTGCCCCTGCGCATCAGGCTTTGAAGGCAGTGAGGGTCGAACTGGCCCATGCCAAGTTCAATATGCTCGCTTGTCAGACTCAAATAGACTCTCAAAAGAAATTGATTCAGGTGCGTCTTTAGATTTCATGGACATCTCGCTGGAGCCTTAGGGTCTTTGACAGAGTTTCATGGCGGAATCGGTTCATCTTCGGACCAATCTCCAAGTGGCGGAAGGCCAAATCGCCCTTCTCCGAGCAAAGAATCGGATTCTTGAGGGGAAGTTGTCTGAAGCTCAGGCGAAAGCTTAGTGGTGGGTCGGAGGGAGTTCAAGTGATGTCGCATGTACTAGTCCGAGTCGCAAAATGCATCTTGTGGCAACCACACGATGCGTGACGTCATTCATTCTGCTTTCCTTGCGCGTTCTCATCCTTGTTTGTTCGACCCGTGGCCTGTGTCGCCTAGACCGCTTTGATCTATTTCTTCCTACCAAAAGGGCTCCAGCGGTAACTCTCAGCTCGAGCGAGTCTTGAAGTTGGCAGTAGAATGCCAGGTCTGGTCTCCCCGGTTAGACCTTGCTTCCAATCCTTTTTCCAACCGCAACCACCTGTCGTAACGTGCGCGTGCTAGTCTTTCTCTGTTCTGTTACTTCGCAACTGCTAACCTTTTGGCCGTTTCTAGTTGACTTATTTATCACGCCACACTGGCAGGGAGACTCGGAGAACGTGGTGAAGGAAGTGGCTGATTATTGTGAGCTACAAAGCGGCTTACAATTTTCGGAGTAAGCGCTGACTGTCGTGCAGTCCAAGTCAGTGATCCCAAACTTGACCAACCTCCTTCCTTATACTGCCTATTTTCCCTTCTGTTTCCCTCGATTACTTCCCTCCTCCTCATACGCCTGTCACGGTCTTGCACGTTTTGACACGACTTGCCGTTGCTGCCCTTGCAACGCTTGTCGTAATCGCTGGAGATGCATTCGACCGGATCGAAGTCGAAGACGGGACTGCCAGTTTTATGACCCAGGCCTCGGTGGTATTTTACAGCTGGTTGATGCAGTCGACACTCTACTCTGCTCCGCCTTTCCTTTCCTTTTGGCAAGAAAATTGTATTAATTAACGACATTGAGTCAATGCCCATTCCTGGACAGTCCCTCGCCCTTTCCTTCCACACCCGACGCTCACCTTCATACCGTGTCTGTTTTTAAAACACTGTTTACTTGCCGGCCGGCCGGCCCCACGTAAGTCTCCTTGCCAGTCATTTAAATGCTTTAACCGAAGTGATCAAGTTATTCTTTCCTTTTTTGCTTCCACCTGCAGCCTGGATGGCGTCCCAGCTTCCACACGTTTCCGAGACTGCGAGCAAGTCAGTATTTCCTTCTTCCGCTATTATTCTCTCTTATTCATACTCTTTCAGCCCTGTGACTGGCGTCGACCAGACTCTGCTCATCGCTGGTAAGACCTCCCCTCTGGTTTTGTCGCACTTCAAGTCAGCCCTCCAGACAATTTACGTCTGAAAGAGTCCTGCGATATCATGACGGGCGAATGCCGCGACCTGCGCAACGAACTTGAAGAGGCCCGCATTGCGCGGACCCAACTCCAAGCTGGTTATGATCGGCTCGCTGCTCTTCATCGCGCTCAAGACCAAACCAATGCTCGCCTTAGCACCCAAATCTTCAAACTCGAGACCGAAGCGGTCCACCACGAAAAAACCTCCTCGGCCTTAGACCTGGAACTTGTGGCGCTCAAGACGCAACGCGACCGCTCCCTCACTCGTATGACAATGGCGATTCGCGAGCTCGCAAGTAACAAGGCGCTTACCGCTCGAAAGGATCGGGCTTTGACCGAGTTGGATCGAGACCTGGTCGCTATTCGGATGCAAGCATTGAGCGTGCGCGATGCTCTCCAGAACCTGCTTGCCAATATCGGCTTGGCCGTTGCTGAGGACGAGGATGACGAGGAGGATGATGTCGCTTCTTCAGATCCGATGGAACATTAGTACCAGATATGCATACTATCGGACCGTCAAATGTAGACTGGCTTTCTTCACATGAATCGCAAATGCGTTATAATTTGGACCGTTCAATTGAAGGCCGATATCATAGGTACATACAACGATTTTAGTACAAGGCGATTAAGATATCAAAGCTTGACTTGGGTACCGCAGTATCCGCAATTTGTATGTCCACTGGCACATGGCCCCGCCATCTCCCTTGACAGACTCTGAGCGCTGACAACAGCCTGCGCCCGAGAAATTTCCTGCTCGATGTGGTGACTTTTTCTCGCCGCCAAATTTACTTGGTGTTGGAGTAAGTCGAGATATAGCACTGTTTCGTGGAGTCTGAGCTCGATGGTAGCCTGTTCGTACAATACGACCCGCTGTTGGGCCTGCAGCAAATGTTGAACCCGGTCGGATTGCACGGGAGTTGCCTCGATTTCCAATGTCCAGCCCCGGTACTTCACACTCTACTGAGGATTAGTAAAACTCAGGTTTGTACTCTTGGAATTCACCATAGTTTCACTATCACTTATTTCATCGGGTGGGGATACACAGGCAGACGGACTGTCTTCGATATTCACTGTTTCCGCTGGCCCCATAACGCTTTCTACCGACTCTCCCGCGGCTAATATTCCAAAATGTGGTTCGGAGATACGAGGCGAATGCAGAAGAGATGGCTCCTCCCGCAGTGTGAGGGGGGCGTTCATAAAAACCAGTGATCACGCGACGCTGATGGTATCAGCGTACTGCCACATCATACGTTGGCTTCGACCCTCACTCACTTTCGAGTCAAGTTACCGGAAGTTTGCCATGGCGAGTCTCCGAAGTCGCGTTTCTGCTGCTTATGGAGTGCCCGCCTTATCTGGCTCATTAAATCTTGGTTGACAGCTCGTTCCGGCTGCACGTGTAGGCAACCCTGAAAACTCAAAATTGCCACTTTGGGAAACTCAAGTCGTGAGTGTCCTGCCTGCACAATTTCTGTTTTGTACTTCATGTTCTCAGGTATGAAACCATTCATAACTACGCGCCATGCTAACCATTCTATTAGATTTCGACGCCCAAGCGCACTTCGCTGCCGCCGCGGACTTGGACAACTCCAACGATGTAGATCTCCCCTACTACTCGAATGATTACGCGCTCACTCCCCTGGACGACGGTTACAACAATCCATTCGATACACAGGTTAATTATGCGCCCTACCTGCTTGTTCTCAGAGCTCATGCGCTTCAGTTTGATTCAGAGCAAGTTCTTGCATCGCAATTCACGTTCGAGCCGGTATCGCGTTCCCCATCGCCAGACTGGCTATCCAGATCGTCTTCGACCTTGCCACTTGCTGGCTCGTCTCCACAGACGTCTTCTGTACACCCCAATACGTCTCCTACACCGATCTTCTCCAATATTCCCCCGGACGACTCTTGCGCAATCACTCTCGTGGGCGACGCGTCTTTGATGCAAAGTCACGCGTCCATCTCCACATCCACCGTCCATGAACACATCTGCGCCTCTGCAACAAATATGTCATCGTCCTTGGGCGTGTCTGAAGGTTGGCCTCACGCCACCCACTTCCAGACGACCGCGACGACCACCTACGACTACCCGCCTCGTCAAACTGCGGCTAATATGTACGCGTCTGAGACACAAGCTACTACCGGCTCCCACAAGCATCATTCAAATACGAGCGGCATTCTCGATCGCATGGGCACATCTGGAGCACAGCGTCCTACCACCCACTTCCATACGACCACCTATGCCCACACCAGTTATCCAACGACTACCAATGTTTTCGACGGCATGGAAATAACTGAAGCACGGCCTTCGACCACCCATCCAACGATTCAGCCCGAGCGCCCAGTTAAACATTCGACGTCTTTGCCGATTCAAGCTAGGGCTGTTTCCAATCCCGCGATCTTAGCTGTCCCTTCTCCGATCTTATCTCCCGCAACGATTCCGGCATCACAAGCGCGGGCGATTGGTATTCATACGCGAGGGGATATCGCAAGCACATCGTTCTTCCGTTCTACCACACGACCTGTTCGTGTTTCTATCTCTGGCACAGAGCCTTGCTGATTTTCCTCGAACTTAGATCCCAGTTATCATGGTACCTAGCCGAAGAGCTCCGCTTGTCCCTGCGCCATCTCGGGTGGGATTTATTGTCATGCAAAGTTTATCTACTTACATCGAACTCAGTTATGCGTGGAATTGCGACTGGATCCATACAATGCGGCTCGATCTTATCGCAACCCGCAGCTTTCTGCCTCCGTTCTCACTCAGAAATCCAGTGCAAACTCCTCAAGCGGAGACTCGTCTTCGTCCTTGTCCAGTTTTATCTCGCGCTTCAACGCCACCACCATGGAACCCAAGCCACGGGGTCCTCGCAAACCTCTGGCAGCGGCTCCTCTCCAACAGGTGGATTCGGCGCTCAACACCGCCGACAACCAGCGAAATACCCGATTGTTGGGTTATGTGGGGTCTGTATACTTGGGCCACTCGATGGCGGTACAAGAGTTCTATCCAGACGCCTCCAACCTTGCACAATTCGAACAGTTTCTGCGTGCTGCGCAGAACTGGCTAAATGCACGACCCTCGGACTTTCCAACCGTCTCGGATGGTGCGCCAACACTGATCTGAGGATTTTCGCACATTCTAACTATCAGTTTAGCCGTATATGATGTATTTTTCAGCAGCATGCAAGACTACGTATGATCTTACTACCTCTGAGTGAGTACTCGTGCTGAAGCATTCTCAGATATCTCGTTCCGTCACCCAAATTTGGACGGGATATAGGACATACATGCAGTCGCACCTTGCCCCAAGACTAATTGCCGAGGCCGACGTGCACGAGCTTCTCCGAGGTTACCAAGCTTTGCACAATACGGTCTGTTATGCTTGCACAGGCTCTAGTTGTCTTCTCACTTAATTATAGTCCAATGGTCATGTGGCAGATGACAACGAGGAGGAGGAGGAGAATTTCGAGGATGTCGACGAGGAGGATGGCGAGGGGGAGATGACAGACGCAGTCCACTCTGGCGGGACAATTCATGTTAACCCCCAGGGTCAAGTCCTCGAGGGCGAGCCGCCTAGTGGCCTCACAAACGAGGAGGCCAAGGAGCACCGGAAGAAATTCGTACTCCGTCATCGACCTGAACACGGCGGTTTCACTGGACGTCATCTTATCTTTGCCATCAAGACGCTGCTCAAATACCGACTCCTTAGCCCAGTGTGCCCGGAAGCATTCGAAGAAGTTATACCGCTTCCGGTGATTGCGCTCAGTGCAGTCATGGTCAGTGTTTTCTCCTTGACGCTTATCTCTGTTTCACCTCTCATTCAGCTGATCCACGTTCTCCATACCATTGTCAACCCAGCGGTGCGATTTGAGACTTCACGCTACAAAATGATTTACTATGTGATCCTCGAGCTTCTGGAGGAGACTTGGAATCATCCAGTTCATGGGCTAGCTCTACGCCGCCTCAGCGCCAAATTGGTCAAAGCCCTCGGGAAAAGTCTGTACTTCCTATCACCATTCCAGAAGCTGACACCAAGTTGCAGGAAAACAACAATAGAAACTGTCGTCGACGTCTGCCAAAGTGCAGGCGCCTGATTTTTCCCTCAACTGACGTATGTTATTCACAATTTGTAGTCTTTGCCCATAGATACTGCACAAATAGACCCAATCCATTTTCCTGACTGCGAATATTGTCTGCATTACATGAGAGAGCGAATATGATCGCATCATCATGATCCTTGAGCTGTGTTACTCTCAAGTTCTTACCACCACCACGAGTTTCATCCAGAGCCAGGGCTTCTCAGCGCTACTATCGAGATGATAGAATGCTCTGCAGACTCCGAGGAGCGCAATCAATTCAAGGACGACATCGTCCGAGGACTAGCTCATATCGAAAGGTGCGTTACGCGTTGCACTCCCCGTTTCACTGGAATACTTTCCAAGCTGCTACAGATTCTATCGCGTGTTGTCCTTCTACCTGGAGGAGCAACCAACATTACTGACCGACCTTCTTACTGTTCTTATTCCTCGTAACTTCGACAAGCAAGATCATTCGCCTCTAATTCGAAACTACTTTATCGGGGCAAGTTTCTTGAACTTCTCCAGTCCTTTACCACCAACTCCCACAGCTCAAGACTGAGGATGTCAACCACGCCTACAACGAAGAGGAAGACTACAAGACCTTGCGGGATTCCACCAACAACTTCAGTCCGGTTGTCGTTAACATCGCGACTTCCAACTCTCGTGGCGAAAGAGTCCTCGTAGGCTCGGCCAAGGTCTCGCAGACGACCAGGGTCTATGTCCGCACTAGTCAAGGTTCACAAGAGCAGGGAATGGGAATGGACCCGTACCATTTCTGGCCTGCTGCTCACGCTGTCTGGGATGGGGCGGATACCCACTTGCATGCGGTCTACGGCTTCTCGATCGTCGAAATCGTCAAGGACAACCCCAAAGAGAAGACGATCTACTTTGGTGGTCTCAAGGGCCAGGCCATTTGTCGGCGCTATGCGCACATGACATACGACACGATGGACAAGGACGGAACCATCAAGACTCTCCCGCTTTTCTTGGACATCAACGTCAGCACTCCCAAGTACACCTTCAGCCATCTGCAAGGTCTGCTTTTCGCGACCCAACTCGCTCAAATCGCGCTTGTCGTTACCGAGAAGGCTGCTTTCGAGGACATGCGCATGAAGGGCTTTGTCCAGAAGGACTACGCGTTTGCGGGCCACAGTCTTGGCGAGTATTCTGCTTTGGCTTCGATTGTCGATGTCCTCCACATCTCCGCCCTCGTCGATGCCGTTTTCTACGGCGGTATTGCCATGAAGCGCGCTGTAGAGCGTGACACGCACAACTGCTCTAACTACGCAATGTGTGCTGTCAACGCAAGTCGCATTTCCAAAACCTTCACTGATGCGGCCTTGCGCGAGGTTGTCGATACGATTTCGACTTTGCCGGGTACCCTTCTCCAGATCGTCAACTTCAATGTCGAGGTATGCTTTGTTTTCTTTGCTGTTCTTGTTCTAATCATTTGTAGGGTCAACAATATGTCTGCGCTGGAGAGCTTGTTGCTCTGCAGACGATGACCAACGTTCTCAACTACTTGAAGATCCAGAAGATCGACATTGCCAAGGCATTCAATCCATTGTTTTCGCCGATTAAAACTCATTTGTTGGTTCAGCTCACAGAACAGTTCACCGTTGAGAAGGTCAAGGAGATGTTGGGCGACATCGTCGAGGAATGCTTCGGTCGTGCACAAGACCAGCAAAAGGCTCAGGGCCACATCAAACTTGAGCGTGGCTTCACTACAATCCCGCTCCTCGGTATTGATATGCCGTTACACTCACGCTACCTCTGGGTCGGAGTCCTACTCTTCCGAGCTTGTATGAGCTCGATCGTTCTCTTTCTTTATCTTGCTCACATTTTTACAGACCTGTTCAAGATGATTGTTACGCGGCTTGATCCTGACATGCTCATTGGCAAATACATTCGCAATCTCATCGCCATTCCCTTTGCTGTCACCAAGGAGTGCGCGCAAATCATCTACGACCAGACCTCCTCCCCGCGTCTCGACAAAGTTCTCAAGAAATGGGGCCAAGAGAACTGGGCCAGCGCTGAGAAACACCAAAAGCTCGCTTGCATTATCCTGTTTGAGCTTTTTGCGTATCAATTTGCGTCCTCCGTCTGTGGGATTCAGACTCAAGATCGCCAATTCGAGGACGAGGCTAGGGCAGCTGCTGAGTCTGAAACTCCCGAAGCCGCTGCTGTTACTTCAGTTGCTGCTACTGCTGGTGCGCCTCGGGCGGTCGCTCTTGCGGCTCCTTCTGGGCCAGTCGCAACTATCGACAATTTCCCTGTCAAAGTCATTCATGTTTTTACTGCAATCGTCGCGCAAAAGTTGAAGAAGAAAATCAACGAGACTCTCTCTCCAAGTCCATCAAGGACCTCGTCGGTTCCAAGTCCACTCTTCAGAATGAGATTTTCAGTGATCTCCAACTCAAGTTTACCTCCGCTCCCGAGAAGGGCGAGGAACCTCTGCTTGAAGATTTGGCAAGCGCGCTTTCTTATGGCCACAGTGGTACGTTGAAGGTCTGCTTTTCGCCACCCAGTTCACTCAAATTGCGTTCGCAGCTCAGCACATCGAGCTGTATATGCGCTACCTCAACCGGAACTCCCGGGCCGGCGAAACTGCTCTCGTCAACGAGAAGGCCAACGGTCTTGCGCTACAGACCAAGCCCGACAACGTCGCCAAGGAGCACGGAGACGTCTATATCGAGGGTATTCAACTCATGTTTGACCCCATCAAGGTTCGCCGATTCGACTTGAATTGGGCTCGTCAAGATGCCCTTCTCATGTTCTATGACATTATCTTCGGTCGTTTGACGACTGTCGACTGTGATATTACTGCTCGTTGCATCGCGTTGATGAACCGTGCCGATGCTGAAGTTTTGGCCTATATGCAGTACAACATCGGCCAAATGGACCCAACAAAGGGCGAGACGTACGCATTGGCCAAGAAACCCGGTCAGCAACTGATTGACAATGTCCGGGAGGTCATCGGAGAAGACCCGTTTTACATGGTTTGTTGTTCAAACGGGTTAATCTTTTTGTCTGACGTTTATCAACAACTTTAGTACGATTGCCTTGACCAAGCGCCACTGCTCGAGCCCCGTCGACTTGCCGTGTATCTATCCAAGGTACGAAGGGTAACTGATTCCTCTTCTCTTTTCTCACTTTCTCAGCAGAAAGACTCGCGATGGGACCCGTTTATCGCTCTGTCCAAGAACGGCAGACTCTTCAAGAATGCAATGACCACAGCAGCGGTCTTTGGATCGACCAAGATTGCCGAGCAACCAATGTCGACATTGCAATGCTTCACGCAGCCTGAAAAAGAAGTGAACGGTCGAAGAAGGAAGTGCAGAAGGAGCAAGAGGATTATGACCACAAAGCGGCTAATTGGTGGGCTTGTTACTCTTCCCAGACGAATGGGATAATGCCTCAAATGACCGGGTTTTACTGAAGGACTGTATACTCTCTAGCGTAATTATCATCACCATGATACTTTTATTTTCGCAGTATTGCTTGGGATGTCTACTCTGGGTTTGAGAACGATAGGAACCCAATTACTCAGGCTTCTCACGTTCCAACCTGCTCCTCCTTCCCCACTACCATCTAGGCTGCAAGGCATCTGCACAGTTGCACTCGCTGAATGTCACGCTTATGTAACATGACTTGCTTGACACTGAACACGTTCGCCGCTGCCTCGGACAGCAACAACGACGACAACGCAGACGACGAAGACGACGAAGCTGCAAATCAGAAGTCCGAACGCCCCTCGATGAAGTGCATGTGTAGCGATACCGGTAAAGCCTCTTCAATCACCTACTCTGAATCCAGCTCACATCTGAAAATAGACAACCTCTTGCCACACAAACTCAACACTCTGGTGTCCGACAGAAATGGCGGCTACCACCACGGAGACGCATCCTGGGCCTTTTATATCCGGAGGCGCTCCAAAATACGCGTTATGCAAGCCTGACTTTACCTTGTGGCCGAGGAAGCAGCCCCAGTGAAAGCAGACAATATGCATGCCTTCTCACTACGGAGCCTGCTCGCTTTCATTCTGAAGCATGGGTGGGAGCTGGATGGCGACAATGTGAGACTGGAGTCTTCCCAAGTACGTGTCTTTAGTTTCACACTTGAACAACTTGAATTTATATCAATCGTCGCAGCGTGCATCCTCTGCTCAACATGCGCATCCGTCAATCCATACGCCTACGCGCTCGGAATAGCAAATTAGAATCTGCTGTAGTAGGTGGTCAAGCAGCGACGGTTGATGCTGGGCTGGTATCAAGGCCATCTTTTCCAGAAGGTTGGACTGGTGCAATAGGTGCTTTTTCCATTGTTTCCGTCGAGGTGCGAGACTTATTAAGATACACCCTCAGATTCTCATGCATCATCAAGATTTCGCTGGCGTCGAACGTGTGGCACCGCCCATAGCTTCATCCCGAGGTCCGCACTTTTATTTCATTTTCGCTTGTATCCTACTGACACTGGACAGATACGCGCGAAGTCGAACAAATTTTCTGGGAGAGTAACTGCCACAACTCAGAGAAGGTCAAGAATTCTCCTGAAGAGGCAAAACTCTCCAATCAGCTCCCTCTCATCACCATCTGCAATCGATTTGACGTTGAGCATGACTGTGTTCTGCATTGTGGTGCAATGAGGCCCTTGTCAACAGCCTAATTACACCGTCGACGAGCTTGCGAACGAACGAGCAGCAAAACCATTCATTCTTCCTTGCCTCGAGGCCCGTGTTCAAGCTGGTAGCCGGGACACTGCCGTTTTCAATGCCATCGCACAAATCGATATCTACAGCGACCACAATGCTGGAGTATTCCTCAAGCGCAACAATGTGTATGTCGCATTTGACAATCACTGATTTACTCGGGGCGGCTGACACACACGCAGCTCTACGATTCCACGGTGGTTGGCAGGTTCTGCGAGAAACGCGACCCGTTCTTCGCCTTGATTGTCCACGTCAAAGGCTTCTGTGGACGAGGGGTACATTGGGGCGATTTACACACGAGAATCCAAGGCTGAAGCAAACGAGAGACTTCATAAAGCGGTGTCAGTCTAATTTGTGGGCTCAAATTCTCTCCGATGATAATAGTCATTGTCCTCAGCTCATTCACCGGTCAGATTTCTCCCAAGTCATTATCTGCGGTGGTTGACGACTCACTAAGATTGTTGTGTGGTTCGCGACCCCGACAATGCATCGAACATCTTTCGCGGAGTCGGGTGGATGTCTCATTGCGCAATTTAATTGGCTTCATCAGGTTGAAGAGCGTTTTGTGGTGCCAACGGTGGTGGACAGAAGCATTCTCTTCTTCAATCGGAAGACCCTCTTCCCTTCATCGCGTCCTTCTTGAAGAAATCTCCCATTGCCACCAAGCGGCTCCTTGCCTCAGAAGACACCGCTTACTTTCTTGCCATCTCGCAACGTCTGGGTCAAAAGCCTGCCCCCTTTTCCTGTTCTCGATGCCATTTTCGAAGTCTGGTTCAAGAAGGTCAGTTTGACTTTACCCATTTTTCCTAATATGACTGATCTTTTTCTTTCGTAGGATCGAGGTCGTCTCCAAGACCAGCATGTTTGCATCCCTCGAGGTCTCATAGCCGTTAAACACTCGAATACCAAGGGCACAATATCCATGCTGAACTCATTCAACGTCTTCTTACCTTCAAGTACAACGGCGACGAAAAAAGTCGCCACTATCGACTACCTCGCTGCCCATCCCATTCCTCCTCCCGTTGTCACTTGCATTAAACGCACCCAAGAGAAGAACGAGGTCACTTTCGAGTTCGTCGACCGCTTGCCTGTTACCTCGGTTTGGCTCAGAACCTTGGGCGGTCAAGAGCTGAGCTGGTTGCGTGCTTTGACCACTTCAACGACCATCGTTCAAGGCACTTCTTACATCGACAACCCCATCAAGCGACTTCTTGCGCCACGAACAGGCCAGAAGATGGTTGTCGGCTATGAGAATGGCGCCCCCGTTTCGGTCTCCCTCTATGGTAGTGCTCGTTCTTACGGCGAGCATAAGGAGTTGTTTGAGGCCGTTGAAATCAAGTACTCCCCGACAACGAAACTCATCGACATTACCATTTTCGAAGACCGTCGCGATGTCTCCGTTCCGCTCTCTCTCCAATTCGAGTACAAGCCGTTGCAGGGCTTCGCGCCCATTCACGAAATCGCGACTGATCGCAACACGCGCATCAAGTAGTTCTACTGGAAGTTGTGGTATGGAGACGATGCTGTCCTTCCTCAAATCGACATCCACGAGACTTCCCATGGACCCGAGGTCACCATCAAGAGTGCTGCTGTTGAGCAGTTCTGTGCCATTGTGGGCGACCAGTGCGAGTCTTTCTCAACCATTCGCAACGAGGAGGTTACCGCGCCAATGGATTTCGCGATTGTGACTGGATGGCAGGTTTGTTTGCTCATTTTTAGTTTCATTTTTCAGAGTTACTAACGCATTTCAAAGGCTATCATGAAGTCAATTTCCCCCGCCTTCATCGACGGCGACTTGCTCCGTCTGGTCCATTTGTCTAACGGCTTCCGCATGCTCGACGGCGAGAAACCCTTCGCATTAGAGATGTTGATGAACCGTGCCGATGCTGAAGTTTTGGCCTATATGCAGTACAACATCGGCCAAATGGACCCAACAAAGGGCGAGACGTACGCATTGGCCAAGAAACCCGGTCAGCAACTGATTGACAATGTCCGGGAGGTCATCGGAGAAGACCCGTTTTACATGGTTTGTTGTTCAAACGGGTTAATCTTTTTGTCTGACGTTTATCAACAACTTTAGTACGATTGCCTTGACCAAGCGCCACTGCTCGAGCCCCGTCGACTTGCCGTGTATCTATCCAAGGTACGAAGGGTAACTGATTCCTCTTCTCTTTTCTCACTTTCTCAGCAGAAAGACTCGCGATGGGACCCGTTTATCGCTCTGTCCAAGAACGGCAGACTCTTCAAGAATGCAATGACCACAGCAGCGGTCTTTGGATCGACCAAGATTGCCGAGCAACCAATGTCGACATTGCAATGCTTCACGCAGCCTGAAAAAGAAGTGAACGGTCGAAGAAGGAAGTGCAGAAGGAGCAAGAGGATTATGACCACAAAGCGGCTCATTGGTGGGCTTGTTACTCTTCCCAGACGAATGGGATAATGCCTCAAATGACCGGGTTTTACTGAAGGACTGTATACTCTCTAGCGTAATTATCATCATGATACTTTTATTTTTGCACCGACCCCTCGACATTTGTTTCTCTTCTATAAAAGCTTCCGGCATAACTTAAACGATGTCCTATCTCACCTATCATCTTCTGTTTCGCTGTGCTTCCCTGGCATTTTGAATCTGCGTTACTTACACCAAATCCCCGTCTGCTGACTAATCACTTCTTCTTCTTCCTTTTGAACGGTCAACTGTGACCACAGGCAGGCCATCGCCTGTTGGGCTGGGTCCTCTACATCTACAATACCTCCACCCTCCTTACTTTTTAATGCCCAAGAGCAAGATTCAATGCCCATTATGCGGCAAAATTTTGAAGAACCGCGAAGATGCCCAAACTGTTCACGATCGAACCTGCTCTCGATTCAAGCGGCTCCACCAGGAGTCCGTTCAGTACATCCAACAACACTTGGCAAACCAATCTCAGCTGCCTGCGGAAACCCCAGTAATTATTCTGTTTTTTTTATGCTGCCACGCAGTCCTGACACCAATAGATGGAGATCGACCATCCTCCGCCACCAGCGCTACCACCACCACCCTCCCCTCCAGCCACTCGACCGAGTGGGCTTCCCAACCGGCGCACTCGAGTACCTTCTAAATTCAACGACGCAGCACCACCACGACCTCCACGGCTTCGACGACGCGACGTTCAGAATCAAATATCCCAGCCTCCCCTCGCATCTCCGCCAAGTGCGCCATCTCCCGCGCCATTTGACGCTGCCCCTTCGCCTCCACCACCTCCAAAAGATTGGGTACAAACTCTCCCCAACGCGTTTGGTCTCTACAAGATTTATCCTCGTCGCCCAACTCACGATCCTGACGAGTCTGTGGGCCTCTCTGACCTGTATCGGGTGCCCAAACCTGGTGATCCGGCTCTCAAAACCCTTCCGCTTCCACCGGAGCCATGGTACTACCCCTTTCCCAACGAGTCGGTCGCGCATATGATCAAATACCATGTCGAAGAAGAGCATCCGCAGTCTATTGCTGGATTCGATCGGTTAGTTACGAACTTCCTGCATCCAAACGAGGAGGCACAGTCAGACGGAATATCTTTGCATGAATTGCCAACGCCATTTTCTACCCAAAAGTTCTTAGACCAGCTCGACAAGAACGGTATCACACCACTTGGTATCACAGATAAGTGGAAGAATGCTTCTGTTACAATCAGACTCCCTTGTGTGGGTGTCAATCAATCCGAAACTGCGGCGCCTTGTTTTACTGTCAACGACATCCTCCACCGTCCTCTGCTTGACCCCATCAAAGAGGTTTTGCAAGGGCCTCTTTTCCAACGGTTCCACACCACTCCATTCTCTCTGCGAGCTATTCCTGAATCCGACTTGCTGTCACCCGTTGTGGCCGATGACGCGCCAACCCTGAACGAGTATGGGCTACCTCCTCTCCTCCCTGACCACGAAGAAATCTTCAGTGAGATTTATACTTCCCCCGCAATGCTCGAAGCCTATCACGCCATTCCCCAACCCCCGGCTCCTCAAACTCCCGATGATGCTGTGGAGAGTATCGTCGTTGCACTAATGATGTGGTCTGATGCCACCCATCTGGCGCAATTCGGTACTGCGTCCCTGTGGCCAGGCTATACTTTCTTTGGAAATCACCCCAAAGAATTTCGTGGCAAACCGACATCCAATGCTGGGTTCCATCAAGTTTATTTTGCATCGGTGAGGCAGCTGATCCTCGTATGAACGTCTCTGAATTATATCAGCTTCCAGATTCTGTCCGTGACTCATATCGTCAGCAATATGGTTGTGATATGCCCGACGAGGTATATACTCACCTGAAGCGCGAACTTATCCACGCGATTTGGGAGCTATTACTGTCCGACGAATTTATGGACGCTTACGATAACGGCATTAAAATCAAGTGTTGGGATGGGCTTGTTCGCTTGGTATTTCCGCGTTTCCTCATATATGGCGCAGACTATCCAGAAAAGTGGGTTCGGTCTATCTAAGTAGTTTTTACTGATCTGTCACAGAGTTCTCCTTGCAACGATTCGAAGCTTCGGCGGTTGCCCTTGTCCCCGGTGTTTTATACAGAAGGGGCAGATCATGGAGACGGGCACCGTCAATGACATGAAGCGTCGGAGTAACATTCGAGTGGATGATCATCCACGACGGTCAACCATCGAGTCCGCCCGGGCGGCCATCTTTGGCAACGGAAATGCAGTTGCTGGTTCCGCCATCGACAAAATGCTCAAGGCACAATCTTGGGCGCCTACCCGAGCGAGTATTTACCACACGCATATCATTCGCTTTGCTCATTTGCCTAGAATGCTTTCTCAAAACTGGATACGATCAAGACGCCGTTCAATTTGTTCACAATGTTCGTACCCGACCTCTTGCATGAAGTCGAATTGGGGGTCGCCAAAGCCATTGTCATCCATATTATTCGAATGTTACACGCCTTCAAGAACATCGATGAATTTGACCAACGGTAAAAAATTTCAATCCAATCAGGGCGTGGAAGAACTAGTGGTGCTGACGGAGATGCTAGATTCCGGCAGGTTCCCACCTTCGGGCGTAGTACCATCCGTTCTTTCTGCAAGAACGTGTCCGAGTTGAAGTACGCTGCCGCCAGAAACTACGAAGACATCATACAGGTCGGCCATGCTTCCTACTTGACAACTGACTGGTACTGACTCATGAGCATTCTACAGTGTATTCTCCCGGTTCTCGAAGGATTATTTCCTAAACATCAAGCACTGATCGACAAACTTGCTTTCGAATTAGCAATCTGGCACGGATATGCCAAGCTCCGGATGCATACTACGTCTACTATCCAACTCTTTCGCCTGGCGACCAAAGATCTTTGCACTACCATTCGTCGTTTTGCTCGTGAAACTGTGAATGTCAAAACCTACGAGCTTCCCAGAGAAACAAGGCGACGAATGAACCGACCATCCAAGGCCTCTCCACCAAACTTATCCGTTCCAGCCCCGGACAATCTACCGATACCTTCTGCCTCATCGCAGTCTGCTACCCAGGCTGTGGCAACACCTCCGACCTCGAAGAAGAAGAAGACGCCCGCTCAGAAGCTGGAAAAGCCATTCAACTTAATCACATACAAGCTTCACTCAATCCCCGATTACCCCGATGCTATTGTGCGGTTTGGAACGACTGATTCTACTTCCACCCAAAATGTAAGAAGCATTTACTGGGACTTGGCGTGAGCTTATCTGAAATTTTTAGGGAGAAGTTGCACACCGTCTCGTGAAGTATCTCTACCAACGAACCAACAAACGAGAACATGTAAGGCAGATTGCGAAGCATGAACAACGTCGACGATTAATGAGGGCCATGTGGGAACGAAGGAGGCGGTACAAGGAAGCAGAGAAAGGACATGTCAATCCATCCTCGGCCTCGAATATTTCCACTTACGCCAACTCCACGATTTCGCACAAGCCAATCAAAAACCGACGTGAACGCTTGCGCACTGTGCTCTGTCCCAAAGCTACGTATAGTCATTATACATACGTGCCTCCCGAACAACATCATTACATCTCGGATTCCACCCGAACATCGATTCGTCTCTCAGACCTTGTCGACACGGACTTGCACTCAGACACTGACACGGATGGTGGAGATGGTCCAATGGTGATCTATTTCTCGATCCTACCGTTCATTAACTGATGCTGTGTACAGGCTATTGACCGACCCGATCCTGTAATCCCTGACCCTGCACTACATGTAAGGTCTTTATCTCGGTTTTCTTCCTTCACTCATTTGTGCTAGAATTTCACACGCAAGTTAAAGTCTCACCTACGACAAAGGCTCCTAGGTTCGGAGTACGATGGTGACGACACATGTTTCACTGATGAAGAGCTCATAAATGTGGTACTCGAGAAGGACACCCTCTATAGTCACGCCACTCTGCGAGTAAACTTCACCACTTACGATCTCCGAAGAGACCAAGACGTCATCAACCCCCGGTCCCGGAAATTCTGTATCGTTGCGGGTCAAGACCCACAGAACCGCCATGAACTCTGGTATGGCGAAGTCCTTGGGATTTTCCATACCCGTGTGCTTCTGGCCGACCAGCCGAACAAAGCTCGACGTATGGAGTTCCTTTGGATGCGGTGGCTGCAGCGCGATGTGACCTACCGATGTGGTCTGAAGGCTAAGCGCCTGCCTCGCGTACATTATATGCCTCATGACGTCCCGGATACATTTGGCTTCTTGGACCCCAGCGATATTATTCGCGGCTGCCATCTTATCCCAGCATTCGCTCACGGCCGCACTACACAATATCTTCCTAAATCTATGGCTCGACAGGCATCTGAACAAGACCAAGACTGGAAATATTTTTACGTCAATATGTAAGTAAGTTTTGTCAAGTAGTACACTTGTGTTTGACCAAGTTCATTCTAGGGTCGTCGATCGAGATATGATGATGCGGTATCACGACCGCGTCATTGGTCACCGCAAAACTCGAGCTCCAATAAGCAATCCCACAACAGAACAGGAGCAGATAACTGAAGAAGTTGTCGATGATGTGGTGGCTGATATGGTCGATGATGTGGTGGCTGATATGGCGGAGGAGGTCAATGTGGCGGCTGTTGTGGCGGAAGAAGATGAAGGAGAAGAAGGAGAGCCAGATGACTGGGTTGCAGAGGGTGCCGATTTTGATACAGATAGCGAGCATGAAGAAGATGAGGGTGGCGAAGACGAAGATTCACTCAGCCATGCTACCATTGTAAGCAGATTAGGTTATGATTCAGAATAATTGCAATGTGGTTTTATCGCGCCACGCACAAGAAATCGTTGGGTTTAATGATGAAGAATTGCCATTTCACTTTGTCAATGCCGCCTCCCACTTATCAGTGATACTTAGTGAGAAAAGGTCATCGGTCAGGTATAATACTATTGCGAGGGAGTAATAAGGATTTTCTATACGGGCAAAGGTTTTGGCTCCCTCATAAACCGCTTGTGGTCTGGTGGTAAACTAAACTGGACCTTGCCCGGTCTTGCCAGGGGCTTGTAGCGGGTTTGCTGGCATTTGTTGGCATCAAAACCTGATACATCAAACCGACACTTTTTGTGATGGCCCGCGGAATTGTTGTTGTTCCAACTTCCGCAGACTCTCCCTGCTGTCGATGAACAACGCGCAGTTGGTAGCTGCATTGCAAAAGCTCGTAGAGCTGTTTTCCATCTCGACTGAGAGAGCCGCTATCACTCACAGCTGTCGAAGCTGGGCAATAGAGAGCCCGGTCACCCACAGGTGGCAATTGTGCAAAATCACCGACCAACGTGAGATTCATGCCGCCGAAGGGAAGATCCGTGTGTTCAGGCCGAATCTGGCGGAGCCGCGCATCTATCTGAGCAAGGGAACGGAGGCCAAGCATTGATTTCTCATCGATAATAATGTAATGCACACCCATAAACTGGTTTTGGAGTGTGGCAAGTCGAGTCCCAGAGAGAGGCACAAATCCAGTGTTGACAGGGAGACCAAGGGCAGAATGACAAGTTGAGCCGCGTATGTTGAAAGCTGCAACACCGGACGGCGCTAAGACACGGATGGGGTTTGGTAACCCGCGTTCTCTTGCCATTGCACGAAGTTGCTGGCAAATTGCGTGAATGAGATAGGTCTTCCCGCAACCGGCAGTGCCGTCAATGTTCATGAGAAGGGGAGGAATGTTTTCCCCATCCAGAATTCGACTGTAGTTGTTGACATAGCGGTCGAAGATAGTGCGCTGTTCGACAGCAAGTGTTCACCGCAGGCGGTTCAGCATCAAGATCAAGAGCGCCAGCAGTACGCCGACATTCGTCAAGATATCCCGGCATACGGTCAACGTCATTCCATTGCAGTCTTCCAGCATTCACATCCCAGGCTGCATCAATGGGACGTGTGCCCAAATCGCTAGCATCAAAGGAGGGAAGTGCCGCGCCGGGGAAATCACGTGCGAACATCTGCCAATCTGCCTCGGTCATCTCGTCCAGGTCTGCATTCACTTCTTCATCATCGTCTTCATCCTCATCGCGCCGCCGGTTCTCTTGCTCCCAGCAACGGAGACTATCCTTAGGGTGCTCGTGTAAGCCCATGCGACACTCGGCAAACAATTCCGCCCAAGACTTTTCACCATCCGCCGTTTGTCGAAGTGCCTCAAGCTGGCGGAATGGATGGTGCAGGAGGACCTTTGTACGGCAGTATTCGTCGTAGCTCTCACCATCTGGGTCAGGGGAGAAGCGGGGGAATGTCCGGACAACAACCTCAGGATTGCGGCGCTTTGCCCATCGCTTATTGCGCCAAGAATACTTCTCGAAGACCTCATGTACGGAGAGCTCGTTCATCTCATCGGGTCGATCCATGTATCTACGCAATGGTAAGCATTCATTCTATCTTGGTTTCTCGAGTGGCTGAGGGCTCTTACCTTTGTAGCCACGAATCAGCAGTTAGACATCTGCCTCCACCTGCATTCTCATCTGTCTCGTCTCCCTCCTCATCATCCGCATCGTCCTCGGAATCAGTCTGAAGGCGTCGCAAGCTACCTTCTTTATCGAGAGAAACAGTCTGGAAAGCGACGGATGTCCGAACCAGTGGGATTCCAAGCAACAGGTGAGCTGTTTCTTGGGCCGAATATGTTCGTTCACCAAGCATCTTGTTCAGGAGCTTTTGGCATGCGGATTTCGCCGTCCCATTCCCGCCCATGCTCCCGACAACATCCTTCAACAGGTCGGGGAAGCCAGGAGCTTGCTGTTCTGCCTTTGTGGCATACTTCGCAATGTAACTGGCGACTGTGAGCATTTAAGAAAAACATTTCTAGCATTCACTTACTTCAAAGCAGCATCCGAGTTCATGACAGGCTTGATGTCAATGTTGGCCCGCCATGCGAGCATCATGCCCATGTTGTAGTTGTTCAGCAACGGGTCATTCCTGCGTGGCTCAAACCGGATGCGCCGCTTGCTGTCAAGCCCAATTGTCGCTGTCGTACTGCACGACATTGGGTAGTCGAAACGACAAACGAGCCGCGGCTCCTGCTGGCCAGGAACCTTCCGTTTGACTTGGCAATACCCTGGTAAGCACTTTGTATGTCGCTCCACCCAGTTTAATAACTCCGACAGCTCAGCCTTTGTGTTCTGGGCAGTATTTCGATCAACTGAGCACGGATGTTGACCAACAAGAGGTGAATTCTCGTCCTCTCGGGGAAACGGGTTGAACGCGGTGACAATCTTGTCCCAGTAGTTGCGAAATGCGGTCATCTTGCCATGCTCGTTGTCCGGAATCGGGGCGCTGTTCTTCAACAGATCCCAGTTCATCGTTCGCCCCCAGCAAGATTAATCCCGACCCAAAACACTGCAGTAATCCCAGCGCAGATGGCGGCAGGGATGATACGTCGATGACCGTTAGGATTAATCACGGTCGGCGATTAATCCTGGTGAAATAAGTCAACCCGAGCAATGTGTTCCAACAGAATTACTCGTGGGATTATTTCGCGGGATTATGCTCTGGATTATGCTCCGGATTACAGTGCACCAAGGCACTTCTCTTACACCGGCCGGCAAGGCCGGGGAAATTTTATGACATTTTATGACATTTTTTTTTGGATCCGGCTCCTCGAAAAACATCGATTTATGCCTTTAAGTCGGATTTTCCCACGGTGTTTCACTTTTTCGGCCCTTCTTGCAGGAATTTTGATGGTATTTCTCCCTCCGGCGACCAAGATTAGACCCAAACAAGCCTAAAACACCCATCTCTGGTGACAATCATGCTGCTGATGGCCATCCGACAGTCGGCAAGCCTAAGAGAGTACACTATGTGACATGGCCTGCCAACGGCAAAATGGAGTTTTTTTCCATTTTTTGACCAGTCAAGAGGTAGATCTTGAGCCAAAAACACGTTTCCGCGGGTCATCGGGCATCACGGCATCAATCTGGGCCCTAGAAGGCCCATTTTCGCACGATGTTTCACTTTTCTGACACTCTGAAAATTGAAATCTTGTCCGATTCCTTAGAAATTTTATCAGTCGGTAGCTCTTGCCGAGATCTATCGATTTATGCACTTTTCGGACCTTTGACAAGTCCTGGGAAAATGTCGTTTCGGCTGCCTTCGGAGGTGTCACATCACCTATATCCGGCATTCGAGAAGTGCCCGTGGGCACTGTATGGTCGGGATTGTGGCGAAGATTATGACAGGGATGTTGGTGCGGCTTATGGTCGACGCAAATCGTTGCAGTACTATGAACAATAGTTACCCACTCATATGAATAGTATCATATCAGCTCACCTGCGGAACTCTAGCGAACTCTGGCCCCTTTTGGCTTCCCTAATGGCTTGTGTGTTCAAGGTGATGTATCGTTCGCGATGGTAGGAGTAGACAGTGGCAAAGAGTAGTCACAATGAATTGGTCACATTACTACGACAAGAAATGATACAATAAGTGTGGTTAAAGCATGGAATCAAAGCGCGAGGGTATCGAAATATGCCTAAGTCACGCAGTCAGTCTGCCAGTCAACTATTTCTAAGAAGTAGAACTTACCGAAAAGTCCTCCTCCTCAAATGCTTTGGCATTCTTCGACATTAAGACATCCAACACAGTATCTTGTTGACGTTCCTTTTCCAATGCTGAGCGCAAGTCAGCCGCAATAATTCCTTCGAGATCGGAGTGTTTTTTGGAGACATCAGCAGCCAATGCCGAAAACATGGTAGCCTGCTTAAAGCTGTAAGCTTTTGCACCATCGGCAGCCGACCGTGCGCCAAGTTGGTCCCAGAGCTCAGCAGTTTTCTTGAAAGATAACTCAGTTCGGCGGAACTCTTCTTCAAGTAACTCTGTCTCCTCCTTTGCCCGAAGGTAGTACGCCCGTGTATCAAACCAGTCGACACGCTCAACTTCACAGATGGTAAGTGGACAATCAGTAGACACAATACATCACGCACGCTCTCGTTCCCACTCATCTTCGGCTGCTTCATTGCTCGTAGGACCTCGGGGTGTGCTCCAGAACCAGGAGTCAGTCAACTTTGAGTCACCGATCTTGCGCTCCTTTCCGCTCTTGCCGTAGATATCTCCCTTCTTCAACTCCTGTAAAACCCCTTCCGGGTTGAGGCCCAATCGAACAAGCGCATCCCATGTGTATCGGTAGACACCAACCGGCTCTTCAACACTGTTCTTCATGGTCTTGAGCACGTTCTGGGCACGTGTATTGGCACCGACTCCATGAATTTGCGTTTTCTTCTCCCGTAACGCGGCGTTTAAGATGCGGACTCTTGTTCGAATGATGGAAAGGAGGTCAAACGCTTGACCTTCTCGCAGAGTGAATTCGACTTGTGCGAGTGTTTCGAGCCCAAGAGCCTTCCGCTCCGTCAAGCCAAAATCGGATGGGAGCATCAGCAGTGCGTCCTCAGGCTTGTCAGGGTCTATCTCCTCCATCTTGTTGGCAAGAAGGGGAGTGCGTTTGGCCATCCGGTTTCGGAAATCTGCCAAACCTTTGAACAAGCGAAGCCGATAACCAGCAATGATGATAGCATCCGCCTTGGTAGCGACAAGACGTCGGATATGGAAACTGCATTTAGTTAGGACACATATATAATACGACAACTGCGTACCGGTCTTTGTCAAGATCAAGACCTTTCGAAATCAGGGAGGCGTCACCAACATGCTGCTCATCAACTGTTTGAGAAGAGAGGATTGTGTCCACCTCTCGTGATAAAAGCTTCGCGTACGCAGCAGCATGTGTCGGAGGGCCTGAATCGGCTCAAGATGTAGTCGAAAGCCAGATTGCAACACATACCGGATTTAGATCGCGCCTCATGGACACTCTGGAATTTGCCATTGACGGTCTCGCTTTTCATCGACTCCCACTGCTGAATCAATTCGGGTGAGTATTTGGCAGTGAGGGCAACGTAGGCAGCCTGTCGCTTCCGGAGTTCATTTGCTGCATAGCGAGCAAGTCATTGGAGTGCCGAAGCTAAAAGAACTGCTCAGTCTGAAGAAACCAAAACAGTTAGCATACCCATCAGAACGAGTTTGTCCCAGTTCCAGTGTCCACAAAAGTCATCGATCGAGTCATGTCGATTACCATCGTTCATCTCTCGAGTACTTCCCGCAGTCAGATTGAGCTCGGCCCAAGCTGTTTCAATCAGCTCGCCCACGGTCAAGGCCACGAATAGCATCCAGTTGAGATTCCACTCCAGTTGACAGTCCTGGTTGTGGTTGTGGATATGCATCTTTGGAATACTACCCCGAATCTTCGAAATAATTTCACGCAGTTGTGGGAAGTGCTCTTCGAAGCGATCGAGAAGGTGAATGACGAATTGACACCAGATGTCGTAAGTCATAAAGATCCAACGGAGGAGTAGTGCTTCGACAAGAACATATGCCAAAGCATAGTCTGTATTCCGAAAGCTGTTGCCAAGTCAATACTGGGGAAACATACGGCTGAGTTCAAATACCTTTCGCCCTTGAACAGATCAACAAGACGAAGGAAAAACCCGTGTCGGGCGCATTGGATTGCAATAACTCCGGTAACTGGGGTATTATTGAACTTGGCGTGGTTTTGTAGTCGCGCAGCACGCAAATGAGCACATGTTCCAGCCTAATAAATGTTGAAAGTCTGCTGCCTTGACAAGAAATACTCACCGGTGCGACAGGTTTAACGACCTTGATATACTTCTTGTATGAACTTGACTCCACGAAGTAGGCATTCCCGTTGTTAAGCTGAAGATCTTCTGGATCTCCCTTCTTCTTTTTACGTCGTAGTTTGAAGTTACCGTCTGCCGAAAGAAAGAGCGTGTATTTGTGCCTGAAAAAGATCAGCAGCAGCAGATCGCAGTAAGAGATGTCACCATACTGTTCGTCGCCCGAGGCTTCATCTATGGTCTTCAAATCAACATTGAAGTTGGCCTCAGGGCATGCAGGACAACGAACAACAAGAGAATTTGACCGTCGACCTTCGGGCTGGACATCATTGATTCCGAAGGCTTGCCCGGACCGACGGACTAAAGCCAGGTAGCGCCATATACGATAGACGAATTGAAATTCTCGATATCGATCCTACTTTGAGTCAGTATCTGCAAAATAGAGGATGTCGTTCTCGTACCGTGACATTAGGCGAAAAGGCATTGTCGGTAAGCTTACAAAGAGCCTTGACGAAATCGTATGCTGACTTTTTCGAGGTCATTGAGTGGATATGGAACTGCTTGAGCACCCTCCAGGTGAATGCAGTCTTTGGTTGGGTGAACGAGGCCGGGAAAAGTTGAAGAGAGTGGAGTTGCTCCCAATAGGGGAGTGGCGCTGCTCCGATGCCAGCTGTACAGGAGCAGTATTCGACGTCGAGCTCATGTATACCATTTGAGTCATACATGGTGAATCGTTGTGTCCGTAAATCGTGCTCGGAGACCTCGGGGCAGCGTTTTCCAGTCGTGCGTGGGCAAGTATAAAGTCGAAAACCGAGTAAGTGAAGGGAAAGTCGTTCAAAGTGTTTGCCATTCCAACGCTCGATTTGATGGAAGGGGTTTGGAGCGTGCTGCGAAATCATGCAGCTGGCGCAGGAGAGTTTTGGCTTGAAGCAATCACGACAGCGATAGATTGTTGCTTCTGGCTGCGAGACTCCACATGAGCAAGTTGAACCCAATTTTCGAGCGGCAAAACTATCCAAGATAATATCTTGAATCTTTGGAAAGTGTGGAAGAGCTGCTTTCATAGCAACCGACGCTCCCTTCGCAGATCAGTTTCAAGACGCATGAGAGAAAGCACATTCGCAACTCACTTGAGGACGAATGGGCTCGGGCTCTCCAAAAACATCGACTATGATTCCATCTGGTTCCATTTCAACCTCCTCCTCTCCCTGGTCCCCGAACTCTACAGATGTCTCCGTATGGGCAAAATCGAATAGTTCTGCTTCGAGTTGTGATTCAAGAACAGGAGGTAAGAATGCAGGATTGTGTTCAGCGCTAATTGGGTAGCTGCCTTCATCTTGTTCAGGCCCATGATGTCGCTTAGGACGGTGTGGTCGCGGAGATGGTGGATGAGCAGTCGAATTGGATGGGCCATCATCATGATGGTAAATGGGGAAGTATCCTTCGTCCTCTGCATGTTGAGAGTATACCGGGGGAGGTCGTTCAGACGGACCATCTTCCTCCTCAGGACCTCGTTTGCGTCGTCGCGGAGGCATTGGCATCAACAACCTGAGCGAGATGAGTTGTCACAAGTGTCACTCATATCGCAAATCGGTCATTTAGGTCTGTAAGTACTCTATTATTTGTACAGTGCAGACATTTCCTCCCACTCAGTTAGCTGCTTCACACCAACCGCTTTGACAAGATATACCGTTTCACCACGACGCTTAACTGTAAGTGGAGTTTCCCAAGTAATGGGCTTCCATTTCCCTCTGTGCCAAATCTGAAACTTTCCGCCAAGGCTTCGTTCCACATCTATTCTCGCACGACCATTCTGCAGGCGAGCAAACCCATCGACTCCCGCAGGCAAGGATATTTGTGTTGGAGTAGTATAATCCTGGTAAGTATTAGTGTCTGTCCGCATCTTCGAAGACTGTGCCTCTCACTGATATCCAAATAATACAGAGTGCATTTCGTTTCACAACGCCGAAGGTTGCTTGTCCTGGCTGCTGGGGAACTTGTTGCGGGAGTGCGACTGGTTTGGTGCGCGCAGAGCACAAGAATAACTCCACAGCTTGCCGGTCCGAAGAGGACAGCTGGGCGAGAATCGTTGCCCCAAGAGTTTCCATTTCGTTAGGAGCTTTACTTGGAGGTCGACGTGCATCAAGAGCTGCGAGGACACGACTTCGTTTTGAGGGCGCTGCTTGGGAAGCCATGTACTTCCACTATTCACTCACAACTGACCTTTTATAGATCGTGTCGGTCAAAGCACAAACAATTGTCTCTTGCTCGTTGTACCATTGTGACCTATTCCGCAAACCATCTCTTGCCCCCATGTCTCCTCCACCAACACCCAAGGCATTTCTTCGCAGCATCATTCCTTCACCACCACCAGAGTTTACTGCTTGTAAGGCGGACTACGAGCACCACCTCAACTTCAATCAAGGGCAAACGCAGAAAACCCGAGACAAGATCGGCCAGTACACCACCTTTGTAAGTCCATGTTGATTCGGAGACTTGTCCTCAACACTTCTCTAGTGTCCTGGTCGTGTTGGCTATACTTCACGTGCAACAGCACTGTTTCCAAGTGACATCCGCCACGATCTCCATGAACTCGACAGCCAATATCGGTCACTATATCGAGATGTGGCACAACCTCAGTTTGACCACGAGGCATTTCGGAAACTCAAGAAATCAGGCGCTGCATTAAAGGAAACAATCAAGGAATGGCAAGCAAATCGTCAAGAGCCTCCCGTCGTCCGGGCTACAAGTACGTGCACCAATCTAGCTGCTCAAACTTTTGCCTCTGATGCACTTGCTCAGGAAAGCGAAAGTTTGACGATCTTACACCGAGTCAAAGCGCAGCAGTCTTAGAGCAAGATTGCTTTGACCCAACAGTGTTTATCATCAACCCCGCCCACTGTATGAGATTTTACGCTCTCACTTCATAAGTGCTTAACACGTTGTTCAGATCGTAGAATCGATGTCATTATCCTCGATGGCGGTCCCAGTCTATCAAAAAATTCCCTCGAGCTTCGCCATGCTGGGAACGTCTGCCTCGGAGATTTTCAATTTGCGCAGGAGTATTTGGACGGGCCAGTCTCTTATGATTGGTTCTGTGTCGTGGAGGGGGGGAATTTATGCCAGGGGCCTTCACTACTCATATCAATCTGCTCGACCGAGGAGATCAACTTATTTGTCGCCGCGCAGATGTTCTAAACGATGAGTGTGAACCTCTCTCTCGTTGCCTACTGGCCTTATATCAATCACTTATTCCACTTGCAAGAGTAAAAGCCACCATTATCGATTTAACCTTAGAATAAGTTCTGTACCACATTGTAAATAACGCATAATTTCTTCTACTCGTTTAAATTGTCGTCGACATAAATAGGATTCATCTTATTCCCTGGCGGCGGCAGCAGATTTAAGTCTGTTTATATCGTAAATGGACGCTGGTTGAAATGGGCATACATACCATGAGCCATCCGAACTACGGAGCGCATTGCGCGATATAATTGCCATTCCAACCCGACACAGTTGCTCGCATCCACAGAGTGAGCGCGAAAGACCATAAACTGACCATAACGTGTCAGATTCATCAGTCGAAGATAAGCGTTCCCCTTCCATCAACGATGTAATGTGTCGTAAAATACATATTGTTGGTTTGGTCGACCATCTTGGGTTACAGCGCCAATGGCCTCGAGAAGCGGCCTCGGGAGGATACCCAGTCTGAAAGCCTTGAGGCAGCACACTTGAACCGTCACTTCGATGGGTTCTACGTGATCTTCAAGATAGAAAGTGAGATAGCATTCACGAGCTGTAACATGGTCAGTTAGCGGAAACAAGCAACAAAAACCACTTGCTTTGAGTTGGCATAATCTCGTAGACATCACTGTCATACTCGTCCTTCACTGAAAGCTGGCATTAGCAATGAAGCGACAGAGATAGAGAAAAGTACAACCACTCACAAGCTTCAAGGGTGACCTCTTCATCGCCATATGGTGCTGCGTCAGAAACGACAGATATCATATCGGCATCATCTTCATTATTGAGGTTATTGTTCGGTTGGTCCATGCTTGATTCGTTTTTCCTGTTGGTATGTTCAGTTAGCTCTTATATACTGAGGCAACGCTTGGGCCTAATCTGCGCGCTTGGGTCTTGCCCTGTATGGCGGTCCGTTTGTAAAATAAATAAATCTCAAAATATAAATGGAAATCTCACCTGGAAATAAGTCAGTTCCCATCTCAAGAAGTTGAGAGGCTACCGTGAACTGTTTTTGGTCTATTGTGGAATAATGTGTGAGCAGTTTGTTTTCCGCGAGAAGGGTCTGCACGTGACCGCACGTGACTCTGGCCGGGGCCGGGCCCAGGCCGATCGTGCTCGGAACTTGCCTTTCTGACCACATTCTGGATCGGCACACCCACCTCCAACTTTGCAAGGACGATTGCGAGCAATCATGCACTTGCACGCCGCCCGCATTCCTTGCGACCTTCTCGCCCGAATACCCCCACCCTCTACCTCCTTCCAACCGCCAACCATTTCCCCCTAACCTCCAGCCCTGTGTCGTGCACATGCCAGGTGGGTCGTGGCAAAGGCCTCCGCGTTCGGACCGGCCTGCCCGAGCCCGTGGGAAACGCCACGCTGGCGTCCGAGTCTGCTCCTCTTCCCACCAACACGGCAGGCGCCTTCATGCAGGAAACGAGAGGGAACTGAAAAGGAACGGAGGGCTCGAGGACGGGAGAGGAAGGTACTGATGCGGGGGCCACAAATGGGTGAGTCTGAAGCTACTAGGCTCTTGCTTTCGTTGCTGACAACGTTTTCGCAGTCAAAAAGATGTGCTTGCGGCAACCAGGGTCTTACTTGATAAACTGCCAGCGAAACGACTCCCACGGCTTCACACGCTTCTTGGGACCGCCCCGCTCAGACAACAAGTTATACCAATGGTCAAACTAGCACTGGGGTAGATCGCCGTCCACCAGATGTGCGGGCCCGCCTTCTGCCAGCAGTCGCAATCCTCAACACTCTCTTGCTACTACATACGAGCTCTGGGTCTGCTCCAGTTGCCGCGAATGCACACGTGCAAGGCCAAGCCTATGTTGGTCCGACAACAAGTCTTCGAGAGCATATAGGGAGCTCCACAAACGAATCTCAAGCCCGCATCTAAGCACAACCTCAAAATGCATCGGCTCCTCTAACGGCTTTCAGTGCCTTAGCTGCCCCAACTCCAACTTCTTCCGGCCTCAATCCCGCTCATTGGAAGCACATTTATCAACACCTTTTTTGAGCAATGGACGATACGACGACCGCTGACTCTCGCGACCGTTCTGAGCCACGCGAGAGCCTGCGAGGCCAACTCCGCCACGCGACAGTACGACAGATATGCAAACGATCGTCACACTGGTGGAGAACGTTACCCGCCATTGCCATCTTCTGTGGAACAAGACTGTGACCACTACTTACCTGGTGGTGACCGATACATCCCGGTTTCAGCAAGCGAATGAGAAAGAGCACGCGGAAGGGAGCGGGAGCGAGAAAGATATCCACCACCTTTGCCTCCAAGATCAGCGTCTGTATTACCAGCTCCAGCGCTTGTTGAATGCGACCGTCGTGACTGGCCAACGGACTATGGCGGATATGCGGAGTTGGGAAACCAGCGTCAGCATCAGCACCACATCCACTTCATCCAACAAATCATCCTGCTGCTGCCGCACATCCTGTGGTCTTAGTGCTGTTGCTGCTTCGTCTCCTTATGCTGCATCCGCCCAGTTACAAAGGCCCCCCAGCGCCATCTCCTCCTCGTGACTCCCATATTCGTCCTCGAAGTCTCAGTCCTGGTTGTGGTGTCATCGCCACGATTTGCACCACCCATAAAAATGGCTAGAGGAGAAGACTATGTTGCAAGCAAGTCGTGGTGGTGCGTTCGAACCGACCGGCCGGGGCCCATGCTGGTGCTCTCGCGCAGGGAACATAATGATCACCAGTGTTGACTGCCCTGACCTCATCACCTTGGGCTTCCAGGAGCTTGTCGATTTGGAGAGTCACAAGCTGGTTGCGCAGAACGTTCTGTTGGGAAGAAAGGACAAGCTGGGTTATCAGGCTTGTCGGAGAAGGGCACGACTGCGTAGATCTTAATGGTGGTCCGACTGGTGTTAAACACCTACACTTACCACTCATCTTATAGTAGTAGAAAATGTCTAGTTCATACATTTTGAACAATTAATTTAAGCTAAATGTGGCCAGAAAGGGAAGTCTGCCAAGTTCCGAGCACTATTGGCCTCGGTCGGGGCCCGGGCCGGATCACGTGCAAACCCCTTCTCGCTGAAAACGAATGGCTTAGCCCAACTACCCATATTTCACAATGGACCACAAATATTTCAAGGTAGCCTCTCAACTTCTTGAGATGGGAGTTGACTTATTTACAGATGAGATTTTGATTCATATTATTGAGGTTTATTTATTTTACAAACGGACCGCCATAGTCCTAGAAGGAGCGAAAGGGATCTGAGACTAGTGTCAGTAACATGGAGCTACCTCGAGGTCAATCAAGGTTTCTTCTATCATATCTGTAAAGCAACTTGGTTCGGTCAGCAGAGCATATGGCGCAAAACCTCTGGCGTGCCGACTTGTGGCAAGACGAAGTAACAACTTGAAGATAGATATGTGCTGCCCAAGTAAGGGGAACGCGGCAGTCTTGCGGGTATCGACGAGCCAGAGAGCCATCAAAAATCTTTGGAATGTCGGGTGGGAGAGGCTGTGAGAGGGTTCAATACCATTTCCTGAATCTTGAGATGGACGAATTGCACTGGCAGTCCCCATTGAAGATAAGTTATTTTGTTATAGACAGCTCCTTGCCTTCTGTGTTATGAGTGCCGACTTTGGTCCCAGCACGTATGGGTAGCAGGGAAGGTGGCACGTGGCTCTGATTCTGACTGTCGCGTGATCACTGATCACGATCACGCGTGACATACGAATTTCAGGTTCATCCGAGTCTTGGATCATCTACCTGTAATCCGAGTACTTACCGACCCTGCTGCCATTGGTCTTTTTGCTCTAGATCAGGATTACCGCCCCCTGGACCATCTGTGCTGGTCGCCTGCTAGTGTTGGCCCAACGACTCTACATTCTCGTCATTGACATCCTCTCGCTTGTCTGGAGCACATATTACGGCCTCTTGCTCTGCAGCATTGTCTGAATGTATTGTATGATATAATGAGCTCTAGATGTCACGCCACTTGTTGTTCTTCAAGTCCCTTCTTGAGGCTATCCGGTACCGCTGGGGACATCTATCTTTGGTATGTTACTCCGAGTCAACGCGTCAAGGAGCGACGCATCAGATCACGGAAATACACTCTGAGTCTCTGTTATTATTATTATCGTCGCCATCATGTGCAGCTTTCTCATCTATGCACGACGGTTAGACCATCATTTGCTTGCAACCTGCTGCTTGTTCGGGCGATGCCGCTATTGGCCGCATCACCCTCCCGATGCTTCCGAGTTCTCCCACCCAGCATCGCCCGCTGACCGCTCTCCACATAAATTATCATCTGGACCATTGCCTTGGCCGTGCTCCCAGACGATCCCAGTAATCGTCCAAGGTCTCCTCGCAGCCATCGCCGACGTCACGAGCATGGGCTTCGCCAAGAACTTCGCGTTAGGCCCCTCAAGGCCTCATGGTTCTCATGTCAAGTCAACGCCTGTGGGTTTAGCTCTCCAAAATCTTTTGCATTTGAATTTCCTCTTCCTGGCCCCCGTCATTGACCTACCCAAAGAAGAAACACAAGCAGATCATTCGTTCAGTCATGCATTAGAGGCAACGATTGCAAGGACAGCGACAGTGCCGATGAGGCCTGTTACAAGCACCTGGGTGCTTCATCAGCCTACGATTATCGCCAATATTCAACGTAATCATTCCCTGGCCGTATTATGTATACAAACAACCAAAATGCTGCAACGATCTATGATTTCCAAACCGGGTGTGAGAGAAGTCGGTATTCAAGACTCTTCGAGTTGTCCACGGAATCAGACCTTTGTCATGTATCTGACCAAGGATAGACCAGTGACCAGGGAGTGATGACTATTGAGAGCTGTTAAGTACTTGTCAGTCACGACAAACTAAACACACACACATGCATACACCTGTTCCTATTGCATACACACGATACACCAGCTCCTCCTCCTTCAAAGTAAGTCGATGGTCATGTTGTGATCTTAATGAGGCGATCGGCGTTTCGAAGACGTATTAACGGCAAAGGAGTTGGACCAAGCACGCAAAATCAACTCCTCGGTTGGGGTATATCCACCAATTTGTGCATGAGCTCCACCACTTGCAATCCCAAGTCCTTATTGCCTGGACTTGAAGAGACTCGAGTAAGGAAGTGTTCATGCGTTGGGTTTGGGAAGGTAAACCATCGTCGTATGAAAAGATTTGGTGGTGTGGATAGCGAGGAAAAACACGAGCGTGATGAACCGCATCGAACTGCCACGAATGTGGGATGGTGGCATATTGAAGCGTCGCCATGTCCACATCGTTTAAAGGGAGATACCCATCATTCGAGCGGCGATTGAGGTCATTGCCGCAAAAATTCGATAACTTCTCCTGCGAGATACTAAGTTGACTGGTCCCTCCTTCGCCTTCACGAGTCAACCGCTCTTGCCGCTAAAAATGTGAGAATCGAAAAGAATAAAAGGATGATAAAAGACCCTGACTCGAAGCTCCCTTTGTTCGGCGTATCTGCAAAATGCACCGAGATACGATTGCCCGGGCCCGAACCGTTCCACTCGCAGATTATTCTTCTGTGCAAACGCTCGATAATTTCCTCCACAGCAGAGCGCGTCTCGAGGCTCAGGGAAAATTTAGAGTTGGTAACAAGACATTGATGAACTTACCGAACGAAAGCAATAATTCGTGGTGGGTAACCAAGACGTGTTTCAAAGAATCGGCTGGTGAAAATGTGATGAGGAGAGACAAGAACAGCTAGAGCCATTCCATCAATGTTTAACGGAAGCCTTTGGGTGTACAAGTTCGTGTTGCTCTTGTCCGAAAGCCGTTCCATACGAGCTGTGAAGCTCGAGTCCCTGCTCGCACTGCCCTCCCAGCCATGAAGTGACGAGTTGCCGGTTCGGAAGGAAGCAGACGCTGATTGAAAGACAGGCGCAGTGCGTGTGTGAGCATAGATCGTGCCGGGAATCTTGTGAACTTGCTGTGGACTCATTAGCATCGAGGATGAAGAAAGGAGAGAGCGAGGAGGACAACATTAAGAGACAAACTTGATCAGCGGATAGCTTGCGACTCGGAATACGCAGAGCGGGAGAATGGAACTACGCTAGTCAAGAGTAAGATTCAATCACCTTGGAGAACGTGGGATGCAAGTTTCTGCATCGTCTTAATGAGTTGATACAGCACTCTGCAGATGCAATAGTGTCGAACCTTGTGAGAAAGTCAGCACAAGAAACAAAAAAGAGAAGAAGACAAACAGGACAAATCTATAGCCGGTTACTGTGCTCCCGACATGGCGCGTAAAGCTCCGGACGCTCTGCACTGTGCCGAATGGAACTGCCAGCTGGATCAACTGGTCTTCGGGAAAGTTGGGAGGGAGTCCGTTGATATATACATTCGGCGTCTTTTCGACTGGTTCAGGTAGATGTGGTGCAAATACCGGAGAAGATTGTGACTGTTGAGCTGGCGCAACATGAGGGGGAGAGGTTGGCAAGTGCAACTGTGACGGGATTGTTGTAAGATTCTTTGACCGGTTTGATGTGATGCACTGGCAAAGAACTGTTGCAAAGTCATAGTCAGGTTCAAGCGAACGAGAAGTTGTTCTGACGTGTTTGAGTGGACGTCAGAGCAGCCAGATCCGAGAGCATAGTTTTGAGCTAAATATGTAATGGTTTTGGAGCCAAATCAGAATGATGTGACAAGCGTTATATTATTTTTCGAGTGAGTGGCTGGTCCGGCTCCGAGCCCGTAACCCCGAACGGTCGTCAATGTGCCCCACGCAAGGCGACAGCTTTCACACCGGATTTGGTAAAATATCCCTTGAAGTAGAAACTGTGCTAGATTCTGGTAGAATCTAGAACCAAATCAACCTATGGAGATTTGCCCAAAATATACATTTTTGAAACTGAGAATGATTTTAGTCAAATATATACTAGTTTTAGGCAGTCTGAGATGAAAACTATCTATGGGACTGAAACTATGCCTGAAATGGTTGATATCTGTGCACATATATTTGGTCATGATATCACGCACATCAAATGTGGCGAAACTGACAGTGAAACAAAGGATTTCACTGACAGTTTCAGCACAGATGATACAAAGGAAATCAGCAGTGGAGAAATGCACATAGATTCTCTTTGTTTCTATTTACATTTCTCCACTGCTGAAACTGTAGATTTACAGTACAATGAAATCATTGTTGAAATCTCAAATTTATTCATGCCAGAAATTGTGATTAAAACTGTCAGTATATACATTGGAGAAATTGTAAGAGATATTGTATGTATATCAGTGACTTGAGGGTCAACCCTCAAGTTAACCCTCAAGTCAACCCCAAGGGTCTGATCTCCGGGTAGACCCTACAAGTTCAGTCTCCAGCTCCATCTTTAAATACATAATTAGCATGAATGGGATAACAACTTTGTAATGACTTTACACAAACTTTCTAATAAATGTTACCAGATTGTAGGGACCCTTAATACATGTTACTATTCAGTTTAGACCTATGCTTCAAGGTCAATGGTTGAGTCAGAAAATGCAAATTACTGACCCAACCCTGAGTTTTCAAAACAGTGGTAGGGTCATATCTTAATGAGTTCTTATCCGTTCCTAACATGTTATATATGAGCAGGAAGGTGTTCAATTGGCCTATAAACTGGTATTCAACATAAAGTTCATTGTATACAAAACCACAGACTTTATTACAAAATACATTTTGACTATTAGATTGTTAACCCAATTACTTGATGGTTTCTAGGCTGTTCATCAAAAGTTGGATATGATCAGAAAGGTATTTCCAAATTCTACAAACTTGATTTCAACCCTGATATGGTTGATTACAAAACCACAGACTTTCACTACAAGTCAAGGTTTATTGAATTGACTTCAAAATCCAAAGTCAACCAAATGACTCCATATTGCACATAGTAGTAGAGCTTCATTGATTGAGTAAGTGTTCAGTTCAAACCTATTCAAAATTTATAATAGTTGACTCACAAAAGGTGAAATACTCACAAAATATTAGCTTTGTTAGTTTAGGGCTAGCCTGGCTCAAATAGTATGAACACTATATTGTTGTGAATTTCCCCTTCCTGTTCACTGCTTACCACTTGTATAATAGAGCACAGGTACAGGTCTGGGTCTGTTTAACTTGACTCAGACCCTGACCCTGACCCTGACCTTGACCCTGACTGTCAGGGTTCAGGTTGGGCTATGCAAGACTCCTCTTGAGGAACAAGTGCCCGGAACAGAACAGATGAATTGTTGGGCCATAAGTATGGCGGGCGGGTTCAAGTCGAACCAAAAGGGCCCATTAAAGTCAGTGTTGGGTCTGACACATCTTTCTTGGTCACGTGCTTTCTATGTGTGCATTCCCCCCTATTAGGGTGTCTGTTCCTGTCATTACATACTGTGTGTTGCGGGCCTTCGGTGGCCTGATACCAGTGCTGGAGAGGACAGGCCTTACACTTTGAACTTGAATGCGTGTTCGTAGGGTTGAGCACAGGTCCGGGTCTCAGAAGGCTGACCCTGACCCTGACCCTGACTAACCCTGACTCTTCTGGATACGAGTCCAACCGGGTCTGGGTTGACCCACGGGTTGCAGACAGGGAAGCAGAAGATGTATTTGGAACAATAATTTCAACATAATTTACATTTTGCTATATGATATTGGCTCAGATATAGTATATGTAGCCTATTCCTCAAGAATTTAAGGATATTGAATACAATCTACTCATATGTCACATGTCACTTGAGTGACTTGAGTGACATCTGATTTTTTTTGTCTCTTAAAAAGTCATAAAATCATATTTAGATAGGAAATTATTAAATCACAAAAACTTATTAGACCCTCCAGGTTGATTCAGAAAGGGTCCGGGTTTGGCCAGATTCAAGAATTGGTGTATCCTGACCCTGACAGACCCTATCCTGAAACCCTGCGAGTTGACCCTGACCTCTGCTCTACCCTACACGGTATTTGGTTCGGTCCAGTTCAGCTTCAAACTGGAAGGCCAAACCGGATACCGCCATCGCTACATCCTGATCCTCTTCATTGTCCACATTTTATTCTTCCCTGGAAAGCATGAGTGGAGGGTTGAAGTGATAGAGGGTTTTATGTTGGAATGTACAAACGAACTGAGAGAGAGGTATATACCTCATTCATTATATGCATATCTATATGTGCAAGATGAGGGTAGAGTACAAATCAGGTAGGGTTTGTCAGGTTCAGGGTCAGGGTACACCAACCCTGACCCTGACCTAGAGACCCAGACCTGGTTGGACCTATACACAGAAGGGGCAGGGTTTGTTAAGGTCAGGGTCTGCCTTTCTCTCAAGACCCAGACTTGGCAGCCCTAGTGCCAACAGTAATGTTATTGAAGCTATCATAATCAATATGAAACAGAGGGTAGGTGGTGGGAAAGCAAAGGATACATCAGGCTTTAGATCAATCAGGCCATGCAAGTTTTTTCTATGAAACATGGACCTGGAACAGAACAGATGCTGAGTCAAGTTGAGTTGTTAGAGCCTAGTGAGTCATTGATGCCTTCTTGTATAGAGAGAAATCAAGTCAACCTTCCCTAATGGAGTCAGGTTTAAGTAGGATCAGGGTCAGGGTCAGGGCAGTCTTGACTTTCCTTATTTCTGCTGTTACCCAAAAAAGGTAATGTGGAGCTGAGTGGAGCACTACTAGCAAATGACTCAATGAGCATATGCCTGTAACCCTTGTGTAACACCTCTCTACCAAACATCAATGATAGCCACTCTTGCCACCAGCTCAGCCCTAGGGTCCGTCTGGACCTGCGGGTCAAATCTGGGGTTGAACAGCCAGGTTCAGAAGTTGGTAGAGCATGGGTCAGGGTCTCAGGGTCAGAGTCAGGGTTAGTATACCCTGACCCTGACTCTGATTATAACAAACCCTACCTGACTTGTACTCTACCCTCATCTTGTACATATAGATATGCATATGATGAATGAGGTTAGTATATACCTCTCTCAGTTCCTTTGTGCATTCTAACATGAAACCCTGCCACTTCAACCCCCCACTCATGCTTTCTAGAAAAGAGTAAAATGTGGACAATGAAGAGGACCAGGATGGAACACAAGAAGGCTCATAAATACTAATTGTAGTATATAATAATGATTGTTTGAGCTTTTTGAATTGTATCAAATATGACATGAGGGTTAACCTAGATCAAGTCAACCTTACCCAGTAGGGTCAGGGTTAGGTAGGATCAGTGTCACAGATAAGACCTGGCCTGTCCTCTCTGGCACTGGTATCAGGCCACCAAAGGCCCATAACACACAGGATGTGATGACAGGAACAGACACCACAGTAGAGGGAAATGTATATGTGGGAAGCACATGACCAGGAAAGATGTGTTGGGCCTGCGCTGAGCCCAACTTGCAGCATGAAGGAACAGGAAGGAGTGCTAGGATGTTAGAAGTAGTGCCTGGCCTGCAAGGGATGTGCAATCATCTTCTCTGCAGCCAGAGACAGGGATATAGGAAGGAGCAGGAGAGGCCAAGGGTGTCTGATCACCCCTCAGCAGGGTATATATAAGGTATAATAGTATACACTGTACTTTATCACTTAGATCACCTATTATACTACCTCACCCTATGCAAGGAGACATCACTGAGTCAACACCGACTCATTGGGCCTTGTCGACCTGACCTGACCCTGACACTAACACCCACTTTAACGGGCCCTTTTAGTTCGATTTGAACCTGCCTGCCATACTTGTGGGCCTGACAATTCATCTATTCTGTTCCGGGCACTTGTTCCTCAAGAGGAGTCTTGCATAGCCCAACCTGAACCCTGACAGTCAGGGTCAAGGTCAGGGTCAGGGTCAGGGTCAGGGTCTGAGTCAAGTTAAACAGACCCAGACCTGTACCTGTGCTCTATCATACAAGTGGTAAGCAGTGAACAGGAAGGGGAAATTCACAACAATATAGTGTTCATACTATTTGAGCCAGGCTAGCCCTAAACTAACAAAGCTAATATTTTGGGAGTATTTCACCTTTTGTGAGTCAACTATTATAAATTTTGAATAGGTTTGAACTGAACACTTACTCAATCAATGAAGCTCTACTACTATGTGCAATATGGAGTCATTTGGTTGACTTTGGATTTTGAAGTCAATTCAATAAACCTTGACTTGTAGTGAAAGTCTGTGGTTTTGTAATCAACCATATCAGGGTTGAAATCAAGTTTGTAGAATTTGGAAATACCTTTCTGATCATATCCAACTTTTGATGAACAGCCTAGAAACCATCAAGTAATTGGGTTAACAATCTAATAGTCAAAATGTATTTTGTAATAAAGTCTGTGGTTTTGTATACAATGAACTTTATGTTGAATACCAGTTTATAGGCCAATTGAACACCTTCCTGCTCATATATAACATGTTAGGAACGGATAAGAACTCATTAAGATATGACCCTACCACTGTTTTGAAAACTCAGGGTTGGGTCAGTAATTTGCATTTTCTGACTCAACCATTGACCTTGAAGCATAGGTCTAAACTGAATAGTAACATGTATTAAGGGTCCCTACAATCTGGTAACATTTATTAGAAAGTTTGTGTAAAGTCATTACAAAGTTGTTATCCCATTCATGCTAATTATGTATTTAAAGATGGAGCTGGAGACTGAACTTGTAGGGTCTACCCGGAGATCAGACCCTTGGGGTTGACTTGAGGGTTAACTTGAGGGTTGACCCTCAAGTCACTGATATACATACAATATCTCTTACAATTTCTCCAATGTATATACTGACAGTTTTAATCACAATTTCTGGCATGAATAAATTTGAGATTTCAACAATGATTTCATTGTACTGTAAATCTACAGTTTCAGCAGTGGAGAAATGTAAATAGAAACAAAGAGAATCTATGTGCATTTCTCCACTGCTGATTTCCTTTGTATCATCTGTGCTGAAACTGTCAGTGAAATCCTTTGTTTCACTGTCAGTTCCGCCACATTTGATGTGCGTGATATCATGACCAAATATATGTGCACAGATATCAACCATTTCAGGCATAGTTTCAGTCCCATAGATAGTTTTCATCTCAGACTGCCTAAAACTAGTATATATTTGACTAAAATCATTCTCAGTTTCAAAAATGTATATTTTGGGCAAATCTCCATAGGTTGATTTGGTTCTAGATTCTACCAGAATCTAGCACAGTTTCTACTTCAAGGGATATTTTACCAAATCCGGTGTGTTTGAAGTGAGAAGGACAAGGCCAGCTTGCGCTGGTCATGTTCAATTACCATTAGGCGGCCCGAACTTACATACGAAAGTGAGCAGAAGCTAGGACCAAACAACTTGAAGTGTCGGAGGGTGGCTGATGACTAAGCACATTTTTTGCTTCCAACTCCTTACTTGGGTTGAACTGAACCACCCCGCCGCGCTACGCCACTCGCCGCCATCCTTTTTCGCAAACTCGGAGAAATCTTGCACACCAGCTTGCCCCCATGACCGTGTGTCATTTCTTCTTCGCGCATCCACTTCTTCTGATCCCTTGCGAAGGGTCAATTTATCCACGACGGGCCGTTCACACCTCATGACCGCCAATGCATTCTATGGATATACGTTCTGGCAACACGAACTCGCTCTCAAACTCATCCAATGCGACTTTCATTGGCTGCTTTGCCGGCAATCAGTGTTTCACTTGTTCAGGCTACCACAAAACGGCAGTCATTCGAAGACAACAGTGCTGAGTATGTTTTTCCTATCGGCTCCCGTGCGTCCCTTTACTCTTCCTTCCTTGCACAGAGCTGACTCAAAACAGCAGGGTTCTACAATGGGAACTCCAGTGCGGCAGTGACCATCGATCAGCACTCCATTCTCCTCGATGGAAAACGTATTATGGTATTTTCAGGGGAGTTTCAATCCAAGCACCTGAGCTGTGGTATGACGTTCTGCAAAAGTGTCTCCATTCGGCTGTGTGCTTCGACCCTGACAGAGAGCACTTGTAGATTCAAGGCAGCTGGATTCAACGCGTTGTCTGCCGACTGTGTGTTACGCTTCTAGCTCAATATCTCTTATCGAAGTAACCTGTTTCTAGGGCACTGGGGTCTTTCTGCGCCGAACGCCAATCAAGTCCGCTTCACCGAACACAATGATTTGACCAAGTTCTACACCGTCGCGAAGGAAGTTGGCATAATAGTCATCGTTCGGCCTGGGTGTGTCCCTTTGTTACACTTTCTGCTCTCTCTCACTCGCGCGGAGGCCACACTGGTGCTCTCGGCACCAAGCACATCCTGCCCATGTTGACGGCCCATGGTCATTCTGATGTTGCGGCGGGCCTGATCAAGCAGACGACCTCCCCGAGCTGGGGATGCTGGATCCAGAATGGTACTGGGCAGTCTGCGCTCGCACGATCACGTGCGTTTCTTCCCGTTTACCCGACCCAACTCTGACACTAGTTTAGTTTAGTTCTTCCTCGGCACCTATGACGCTGGTCCTACCAGTGTCTGTCCTGGGAATTCAACCCACCAGCACGGCGTACAAGACAGTCAGCGTTGCTCCCGCGTCAAGTCAGCAAAGTTACACACTACATACTCTCACACAGAAGAGGTCATGCAACAGCATGCAACTAGGCTCGAACCAGCACCTTTTTGACGGGTGAAGATGGTTGTCACGTCCGCGATGCGACTGGTTCGAGTCTAGCATGCAACGCGGCGAGAAGATACGGAGTCCTTCATGTCGTCACATGCGGGTTCCTATGATTCACCCTGCACACCGTTGAACAACTTCTCCGCCAGTATTTTAACGGCTGTGACTGTGGAGGCTACCCAGCGACTGCCCTTCGATGCAGCTGTTCGCCGTTATCGCCATTGTAGGCATCTTTGTAGGAGCGGCCAATGGACAGAGTGCGTTGTCCTTTTTGTCTTGAACTGATACTGAAGTTGCCCAAGTATCGGTTGGGTCAGTTCTCGTAGAGAACCAAGTAGCACCACTCGGCATTGATGTTTCTCCTCGTTTTTCGTGGACAATTGCCTCAACTGCTCGTAGCGTCACACAACCTTCCTATCGTATCACAGTCTCTGCGTTAACAGCAGGTGGCTCTGACGTCTGGGATTCTGGCGTTATCAACTCTCCCAGCCCATATCTTGCCCCAAATTCTGGTCGTTCTCTTTCTTCCGACACTCAATACTTTTGGACCGTGGCCGTTGTCTCCTCTGCCGGCTCTGCCTCGGCTCAGTCCACATTTACCACCGGTTTCCTTTCCCAAAATGATTGGGGCCCAAGTGCTTGGATCGGAAAGAACGCAACCATCGTCCCGCAACCCCCTATAAACGCTTTCACCAGCTCTAACTGGATATGGGCCCCCTCTTCCGGCCAAACTGCTCCCAGTGCCCCAGCGGGTGATATCGCCCTTCGTCTTACCTACTCCGTTCCAAGCGGCAAAACGGCCACCAGTGCCACTATCCTCGCCACAGCCGATGACCTCTTCACACTTTATGCAAATGGTGTTTTAGTTGGGAGCGCACCCAACGCGGTCGATATTTCGAAGCAGGCCCAAATTTTCCGCAACGTGACATTGACTGGTACCTCGGCATCCCTCGTTTTCGCTCTACGAGCAACCAACAGAGCCGCGTGAGTTCTGGTGGAGCTGGTCCCGCAGGCGTTCTTTTTGCGGCGCTCGTCTCTTTCTCCGACGGTTCTTCCACCATTTTGACATCCTCGACATCAACTTCGACAACGACCAGCGCTTGGAAGGCCACCACTTCAATCCCCGCTGACTTTCAATTACCTTCGACTTCTGATGCATCGTGGGGCACTGTCCTCAATCTCGGTACTTATGGTGTCGGTCCTTGGTCGAATGGCGTAAGCATTGCTCTTCCAACTGTTCCCATTCCGTCGCTTCTTGGATATGGAACACCGCTGGTGCTGCAGGAAATGCGCCCGCCGGAGATGTCGCGTTTCGTCGGACAGTATCTCTTCCATCCAGCTCTACCAAGGTCGCTGTTTCTGCCCAAGTCGTAATAACAGGCGACGACGTCTTTACCCTTTGGGTCAATGGTGTCCAAGTTGGAGCAGCATCAAATGATGCTGATGTTTGGCGCGTAGCTTCCACCATCTCTATTCCTCTTGGTGCAGGTACCAGCACTGACCGTCAACAGTGGTCTTGCAGTTGTATTTGCAGCCCAAGTGACAAACCGACAGGACGCCAGTTCTGGCGGCGCCAGTCCAGCAGGCTTCGTGTTCTGGAACGATCGCCTATTCAGATGGCTCTACCGATAGCATCATCAGCGATGGCAGCTGGAAAACTCTAGGTAAATAGCCATGACATCTAACAACTTCTATTAACATTTCCGCAGGGAGCCTCCCTTCCAATTGGCAAACTCCGACCTTCAATGATGCTTCGTGGGTGGCGGCAAATGTTCTGGGCAAATACGGTATTGGACCTTGGAACAGCGATGTGAGCATACCGGATCCGTTGGGCGAGCATTTAGCACCTCTATTGCGGAAACGATTCGTTCTTAGCGGCACTAGCACTGGTTTGTCATCCTTGATGATTCCATTTTTCGGCTTACAATTTTCCTTCAGGCAAACAAGTTCCTCAGGCTCGCATTTTCTATGCTACAGGTTGTTACGCTGCGATTCAGCTCAATGGCAAACCAATCTCCGACCGTGTTATGACCCGGGCTTCACCAAATACGACAAACGAATGCAATATGTAGCGGTTGATATCAAAAATCTTCTCAACGGTGGCAGTTGTAGGCCACTTAGTTTCCGAGAGAGATGTTCAGCTCAACAGTTACAATATTCTAGCTGCAAATGCCATTGGCGCCGAGCTCGGTCGTTCACATTATGGTGTTACTCAAGGTAGTGTGTGGAACTGGGCTGGCGCGCCATGGCATGGAGAGCCATATTGCGACTCGTACTCAGTGTCGTGTATACCGACGGGTCATGAGAACACGTTGTGAGCGACGGCAGCTGGAAGAATATTGAAGGACCGACCAGACTTGATGACATTTTCGGAGGGGAAAACTATGATGGTGTGTTGGTCTTTCTTTCTCTGAATCGGTCTTGTGCTCATCAGTGTTGCTAGCGCGTTACGAAGTTGCTGGATGGAACTTGGCGTCATTCGACAACAGTGCTTGGAATACCGCCTTGTTGGTCCCCGCACCAAAGGGCGCTCTTATCCATGCAAGACAACCGCCGACAAGGGTCACATCGAGTTTTACCCCAATCAGCATCACACAACCAGTCCCTGAGTCAAATTTTATCTTCTGGTTATGAGACACTCAGCTGATGTCTACATTAGTCAATATGTCGCCGCCGACGAACGCGTGGTTTCTGGATGGTTAAGCTGACGGTCACTGGTGCCAGAGGTAGCTTGGTGACGATACACGATGGGGAGAAAATCAGCACAGATGGCACCGTTATCTATCAAGGTCAGCCTTGATTTCTCTCCTGCAGTTAGTCGTTAACATCGAGGTCCCCAGATACCCAGCACTACTACTTGAATAACTTCCAGACCGATCGTTATTGGCTATCAGGGACCGGCTCTCCGGAGGTCTTCGAACCCAAGTTTTTGTGTAAGGGTATGTGCTGCTGGAAGATGCACTATTACCTCCGATGTTGAGCTCGTTTTTCAGGCTACCAACATTCAGATCATCGGATGGCCTTCCTCGACTGCCCCTAAACCTTCGTACATCATTGCACAAGTCGTTCACGACGATGTTGGCACAGTCGGCGATTTCAAATGCTCAGTCGACTTGCTGAACAAGCTTCATGTCGCGACTTTGTATACCTGCTCAAGAACCTCCATTCCATTCTCACCGACACCCCCGTCTACGAGAAGAATGGTTGGTCTGGAGATGCTCAGCTTGCCACTGTGAGTTTCAGTTGGACTCTGAACCTAGACAGTGCCAAGAGGTTCCAGGAAATGTTTTTGATGAATTTTGACTCGCAAGACTGATTGGCCAAGTATGCTCAGGGGACGGCGTCGTCGCCCTTGTGCTCACGGAGAAGCGGACTCCATTTGAGTACATCGTGTTCGACTACGCTGGCAAAGAGCAGAAGGGGCGGCGCACCTAAACCGCAATCCATTCAGCCAGGTCCCGGTAGTGGTGCGTCACGAACTCTTCCGCTGAATAATTATTGAGTTGTGTTTTGTCTAATGCAGGACGATAATGGGTTTGTGATCTACGAAACTCGCGCGATTTGTCGATACCTCGTTGAGAAATACCCCGACCATGGGCCTTCTCTACTCCCTGGACCGTCTCTGGAAGAGCGCGCCATCTTTGAACAAGCAGCATCTGTGGAGGCCACATTCTTCCCAGCCGTCACCAAACTCGGGTGGGAGATGCTGGGGAAGCCGTCAGTGGCTCATACTGTAACTGTTTGGTTCATGACTCAAAAGTGTTCTTAGGAAACGCGGTCTCGAGGTAGACGACTCGGAAGCCGCGCTGGCAAACATGCTGGAAGACTTCGCTGCAAAAATGGACGTCTACGAACATATTTTGGGCAAGCAGGACTACATTGTCGGTAATGTGCGCATATGCTTCACTATTAGACCTTGGTCTTGACTCTTTTGCTGACAGGATATAACTCTCGTCGACTTGTTCCATCTGATTTCAATGCCTGCCTTCTGAATGTCCATGCTAATATCATGACAGATGAAAGGCGCCCGAACGTGATCAGGTTGGTGCCATTGACAGAGTCCAGACATTCAAGTCGACCGGGTCCGTGCTCACTATTCAACTAGATGGTGGAAATCAATTACATCTCGCCCAGAATGGGTCAATTTGCGCCAGAATGGAATCAAAAGCATCATTTAATAGAGTGGTGCGAATGAAATGTACAATAGTGCACCAAATTTAGTCTCCAGAATTTTTTCACTGGCAATTTCTGTCGACTCAAATATTCAGATCCCGGATAGCGAAGAGGAGCAAGCAGCGGTCACACTCCGACAGCTCGTTTTTGAACAGAATTTCCAGCGCACTCGCGAGCTCGGCTTCGTTGAGACGCGCATATTCGAGCAGTTTCGTGAGGGAGGTAAAACCCTTGGCCTCGAACATTGCCTGGTGATGGACCATGTTCAAACCTCTGACATCCGCAAGGAACTTGCACATGCTCTTCGATAGGCCGGTAACAATGGCGCTCTTGGACTTGGTTTTGGCGCGTGTACTTGGCCCGAAACTTCCACCGGAAATCTGTACCAGTGGACATTATTAGCTCGAGTGCCTCGAACGCAGATTGGCGACGGTACCGCAGGCTGATTCAAGTCGCCGTCGGCGTTGGACTCAACGTCGTCGTCGTCGTTGTGATCAGTGCCCTCATCACCCGAGCGATCGGGCTCTGACTCCGTTTCGGCTCGCTGCCAGCCACGGTCTATACTCGTCTGGAAATGTCGCTGCCACACCTTAGCATTGGCGACGAAGGTGAGGTCGTCCCCAACGTTGTCGTTGTCCAGGTTGTGGATGGCGCGACTGATTTGTTTCCGGGAGACGCGGAGCTTCTGGCCCACGGCCTGTTGTGTCCATCTGCTAAGCTCGAAGTTGAGCTGGCGGTCGCGGTAGACGATGCGTGCAATGGCGCGGCCTTGACGGTTCAGTTTTGTGCCACTATGAGGAGTTTCTGCTGAGTTCATGTGCGATAAGGGCAATACACACGAGGCAGAGTAGGTGATGTTCTGGATGGAGCGGCTCAGGAAGTCCTCGACAGTCGGTTTTTTCACCGGCATTGGAGGTGCTGCAGAGGTGGTACTACTCATTCACGCTCTTTCACTCTATATAAGTATGCTGGTTTTGTCGGAACTATTAGGCTCGGAATGCGCAGCAAAGGTAAATCAAACTTTTCCCTTCAACTCAGGGAAGCCCGGAGTCCGTGTCGAAGTTACGGCTCTACACTAGATGCATCGGGGCCAAGTGCGGAAGCTAGAGTGGTTTCGTGTACGGTTGACAAAACCAGAATTGGAGGAGAGATTGCCAGAAGTAAATGACTTATGTATATGTAAATGTAACCAGTTACTAGAAGTTGCCTGTGCTTCGCCACGATCAGATAGCTGACGACAAATTAAAGGACAGTCTTCCTACACCTGCTGTACTGAGTATCGGTATATGTACTGCTGGATATGTCGTTGAATGAAATTGTCCCAGTCATTGGCGCCGAGAGTCTGATGTGAAACAACTTTGGGTGGGGCGAAAGAAAGGAGACAGGGAAGACGATGGCCCGACAGAAGACGATGACATCTCCGGGATTTCGAGCTCTACTTGAATGGCACGACGCTTTCCCGTGCGAATAACCTCCGGGTCTGAGTTCATAGCTGGTCTTGTATTGGTACTTGGCTCAAGCCCGAGGCGTTGGCAGAAGGGGTCGCGGCACTATAGAATGTGTTAAACATGTCTGAAAGAAGAAGGCGAATTCATTTACCTGGTCGTCCATCAAGTGCTGGCCTTCGAGACTGTTGCGCCAAATATGCCTAATGCGCTGCTTCTCGTTCCTCTCGTTCTCCTTTTTCTCGTTCCCGTCGCCGCTGTTGACCCTCTGAGTAAATAGGAGTAAATATTCGTGGTTTTGGTCCGAGTTGCTGGTAGAGTTGGCAAGATAGAGGGCGGGGTATTATGCGAATGAAGATTGAGTCGTCGGAGGTGTCAGTAGCATAAGCTAACAGCATTTGAGTGAGTCGAGAAAGGAGGAGTGTAATTTATTACTTACATGAACACGTTGTACAGTGGGCCAGTTCAAAGATGGCTGGATGGGAGGCGGCGGAAAAATCAACTAAATTAGCATACGATAATTGAAAAAAGCAAAACACAAACAGTAAGCCATCCTCTACGGGGGGCAGGAGTGGGAGAAGGCGGCCTGTTCTCGAGGCGAGATTTGGAATCCTCCTACAGCGTCCGACTGGGTGTTTCCTGCTGCAAAAGAGCCAGTTCACACTCTTTTTCATGTTGTTGAGCTCGTTTGCGCTCAACATCGCCCGTGACATTGGTACGGTCGTGAGGATGGGAGGCATTGAGTGAGGGTCATCGTGGTGAGAGATATGGGGGCGAGTTGCGTTGTTTCGGTACTGCCAGATACTTCGCGGACTGCGTTGTAAGAGCAAAGAGGAGGGAGAGAGTAGCCTATTGGAATCCAAAGTACTGGTGTTAGAGCATGTAAACATAGCATGTATATCACTCACATAGTGGTCTAGCACTACACGGATTCTGTGACCCAACAAACACGCCCTGAGATGTTAGCCATAGCCCATAGAAACTCGGACAGCATGGTCCTCGAAGAGTAGGGTGTTGGAAAGAGTGATATTGACGTGTTTAAAGGGGGACAGGCCCGCGCGCTGAAATCGCACGAAGTTCTACATTACAGTAGTTGATCGTTGGCTGTGAGTCGTGTGGTAGTCATTGTGTCTGAGTTCGTCTGGGGAGCTGAGTCGGCGCGTAGCGCGAGAGAGCGAGAGGGAAAATTGTCTTTCGATTGACGCAGGCTGATTGGCTGAAGCCTGATGTGTGACGGTTCGTGACACTAAACTCTCTTCCAAACGATTCTTCCAAAGGGATACGCTCAACCTTGCCCTCGTCAAGGAGCCCAGCAATTCAGCGGATAATGTAATGTTCCTGCGGTTCACAAACCTTCTTGCCGACCTCGGGCTCTCCGTCGCATCTTTGTTCCAACACCAACCGGAATTAGCCAAGTTACCCATCCACGTTGTATGGATTCGTGCAACACCATTTGCGCTCATTTCCCGCAGGTCGGACAACGTCCCGACTCCCTGAATCAGTACAACACAACAACGAGCCCATCGCCGTCTCCGAGTCGACCCGCTGGCGTATCTATCGCCTTTTCCAAACCACCAACAGCCCATCTTTCCGGCCCCGTTTTCAAATTCAGTCGCGAGAGGAATGCGGCACGCGTCGAGAATATACCTGACAGTGGTACGAGCCCCTTTCGGATTCATGCGGTCTATGTCCACAAATCCTGAGCCAATCGCCTGGAGATCCTCGCTCTCTTCAGGACTTTCATAGGTGACATTCGCTCATCTCAGGACCTCGACGATGCTCTGGAGATTACTTTCTTTCACTGGCGAGAATGCGCGGTGTGTGCTCTTTTTAGATACTGCTCTGAGTTAAAACAAGACCAGAAAAGCTTTGTGCACGTCTGGGCACAGTACTGCCGGGTCGACGCTGTCTAATCCTACTTTTTCACATCTCTCCGCGCATTCATCCAAGTATATTCAAACTCCCACAAGCACGCGGGCACGTACACGCGCCGAGGTCAGTATGTGCAGTTTTTGGCCTGATCATGCTAGGCGAGGTTTTGTGCTTTGAGAACAAACGAGACCGAACCAAGAGGTGACTGATCGGGAGATCGGGCTGCCTGGATCTGCCTCGTGGGCGACCCCCCCCCCCAGAAAAGGAAGTAGCTCCGGTGGCTGTTACGTCTGCATACACCGTTAGCGTTGTACTCTCTTGCCTACCCAACACATACTCAATGCTCTTGGGTGTTGTCCTCTTTCTCTACACCTATTGTTAGTAACAAACCACATACTGTACACATTAAATAAAACATGGTCTTTGAATTGACACTTGTGTTCTCCGCACAACAAGCAAAATTTGAACCCTCAGCGCAGGAAAATTGTACAAACAACTTGAATTCCAATGCCTATCATGAAGTTGGGCAGTATCCTGTACAATATGTATGGACTCCAGGCTCCTTGTTGCTCCTCTGAGTTTCGACAGCTAGCCCCGGCGAATGGGGAAGCTGTCAAAAAGTGCGTGAGACCTAGGCTGCTCGATCGCTCGATCAGTCACCTCTTGGACCGAACAGCATTAAACCAACCAGAGCTTCGATTTGATCTCGATAGAAACGATGTTGTTCGCTCTGGGACGTGTGGCGTAGACGGCAGTAGAGAGTGTGGGGATAGATAGGATGTCGAATCGGTAGAACATGGTGGTGGACCTGTTGCAAGCTGGCAAGTTGTCTCTAGTCAATCTTGGGAGGGGGGGTAATCAGCTTACCATTCACGTGACCGAGATAAATCCGACTTTTGATGGGGGGAGCTTGCGACCCCCATTTCTGATATAGGGTACCGTTTCCCGTTGATGTCGTAACCTGCGCGAATAACCTCCTTGGATATATTAGTCAGCGCTTGGTAAGCAGCGCGCGCGCGCAGCCAAACGCGCGAGCGTTTGTCACCCGTGTGTGACCTCTGTCATCCGGGTGATTTCGGCTGATCTCCCGTGTCACCTTTGACACGTTGACAGCACATGCTGTTTGCAACGCTTTTCAGGCAGATTGGCTTGATATAGTTAGCTCAGATGAATGATAATGCTCGCAGCTGGCCACTTAAGACTGTTTCTTGTGCTTGCTTCTTCCCTTTCCCTTCTCCCTCTCTGTTCTGGGTATTGTCCTTAGAATCCCTTATAAATTTTTGTTTAGACTAAAATAATAGTTAGGGCTGATGCAACTTCCAAGTGTCTATAGTATTCTGCTACTGATATTCATTTGGCTCCTGATGTATCTTTTACTTTAAAGTTTCTATTCAGACAATAATAACTATATAGGGCTACTCCTCCAAATACTCCTCAGCGCCAAAGAATAGCTGCTCAACATGCAGAAAGACAGGGTCGTGTTCTTGATAGCCCACATATACGCAGGCAACCTCAAGCTGGCCCTAGCAGACCAAATTTAGTACAGGTTCCCTATCATGGCAGAAATCTTAGCCTCTCTCAAGAGGTAGCTGGACAGCTAGCTGCTCTAGGTCTTCAAAATAATCAAGTTGCTGCTGATGTCTTTCAGCAAGGTCATGCAGATAATCAATACATGGGCCTTCCTGTCAATCAACTGCAACAATTGGCTCAACAGTTACAGCCAGGTTTGTTTTTTAAAAATAAAAAAGAATAAAATTAAAATTAAATATGTTTAGTTCCACAAGCAGATGATGATGATATTGAAATGCAAAGTCCACCACAATCTCCTACTTTAGGACTTCAACAACTACCACAGGCCCAGCTACAGCCACAGGCTCAACCACAGGCTCAACCACAGGCTCAACCACAGGTTCAGCTACAAGACCAACCTCAACCACAGGCTCAGCTACAAGACCAACCACAGGTCCAGCCACAGGCTCAGAATCAAGTACAACCTCAAATTCTTGCTGCACCTGATGAAACTACTAGAAGAGCTAGAGATCCACATCCAGATAATGAAAATTTGCTCTATTGTACCACAGGAAAGCATTATCAGCCCTCTGCTGATTTTGGGAATTTCCAAACTTGTGCACATTGTCGTGCCCGTCAGCGTGCATATAGAGAACAGAGAAGAGGAGTACAACAGATGCAAGCAGCACAACAGGAACTTGCTCAGCAGGTAAATCCACAGATAGCAGACCCAGTTGCTGTGAATCAGAATCAAGATATAGATCCTCTAGATCAACTTGCTATATCTGCTGAGGATTGTGCTTTGCTTAAAAATGTCCGTAAAAAATTAATGGATATTCAATTGGAGTCTTGTAACTCCTGCCATGAGAAGTGGTTTGATCTACAGGTTAAAGATGGAAAATGCAAACAATGTCAAAAGTCTGACAAACTCTGTGATGGTAACAAGATGGATCCTGGAATTGCTCCTCTTTTACCTCCTTTAACCCAGATGGAGGAAATTTTGATTTCACCTGTACATGCCCTTACCCAAGTATGGCAGATTCATGGAGGCCAATATGCTTATCGTGGGCATATCTGTAACTTTCCACGAGATACTGCAGTATTTCACAATAAAGTTCCTCTTCTACCAGAGGAATGTGAAATTGTTATTTTCCGTCGTCAATCTGCAGCTAACCAGGAAACTGTCAATGAGGACTTTCGTGTCCGAAAGGCAGTTTTACATCAGTGGTTGTCTTTTTTTGGAACAGCATCATCCAACCTTTCGATCACGGCAGGTTGAAATAGATTGGAACCGGCTAAACACCTTTGCTGCTGATGCAAATGTTATGAATCAGCTTCAAAATGTGACAGTAGAAAATCTACAGCCAAATTTGGATCAAGGCCCTCCTCAACAGAATGCAGAAAATCCAGGTGTACCACTGTTTTCTGGAGGTTTTGCACCAAATATTCGTTCTGGCTTAACAGAGTTTGAGCAACTTGCTGCAGCTGCTACTGGGAATAATCCTGAGATTATTTTGACTTTGCCTCCTGTGCGTGGTACTCCAATAAATGAGAACAGTGCACATCCTATAGCTATTGATGCATTTCCTACTCTTTTCCCCTTTGGACAAGCAGATTTCAAAGAAACTCGTCATAAGAATGTAACAATGGAAGAATGGGCAGCACATCTACTGCGCTATCAAGATGGAAGATTTGCAAGGCATCCCAGGTTTCGTTACTGGGCATTAAATACAATTTTTCGACAAAGAGCAAAGAGAGCATCAAAGTGGTATGCTCGTAGTCATGCAGAAGATGGCTCATTATCTGTTGAAGAAATCAGAGAATTGATTGAGGGGAATAATGCAGATCATCTAGCTCAGCGTGTTTCTAGGTCAGCTGCACCAATTGAAGGGTCTCGACCATTCTGGTCAAGTAAACGGAAAGATTTAACTGCTCAAATACGGGATATTGGCTGTCCTAGTGTTTTTTTCACCTGCTCAGCTGCAGATATTCAATGGCCAGATTTACATCAACATATGCCTGGATGGAATCCTAATATAAATGATCCTGATATGTATAGGACCAGATGGAAGGACTTAAATGAGAATCCAGGTATGGTGTATTAATTATTCTGGATTACATAAGCATACTAATCTTCTCTATAGCTATTGCAGCATATTATTTCCAGAAACGTTGGGAGGTCTACTTTGAGTATTTTATGAAAGTCAAGTTTCAGATCAAAGACTTTTGGTGGAGATATGAATGGCAGCATCGAGGAAGCAGTCATATACATGGTTTTCTTTGGTTTTCAGATGCTCCAGATGTAGAAAAACTGGATCTCAAAAAAGATGAAGATGTTCAAACATTCATCAATTATTGGGACCCATTAATATCTACCATGAATCCTGATCAGAAACACCCTCCAGCTGAAACTCATCCATCTGCACAACTTTTTGATACTCTTCAAGATACCAAGAGAGAATTAGCACAGCTCTTGAATCGTTTTCAAAGACATACCAAATGCGCTCCAGGATATTGTTTACGCAGGGACAAAAATACACATAAGGATTTTTGCCGGTTTCACTTTCCTAAACCTTTGAGAAATACAACAGGTTTACATACAGAACCAGGTCAAATGCATCCTGAGCTCCATCCAAGAAGAAATGATGAACTCCTAAATGCTCATCACATTGTTATGATTTTAGGATGGCGGGCTAATGTGGACTTTAGGCCTGTACTAAATAAGAATGCAGTGATTGCTTATGTAGCAAAATATGCAAGTAAAGCAGAGTCTCAATCTAGCACTATGGCTGATATGCTTAAAAAAGCAGTTTCCTCTCTTAATGACTCTGATGCTGCTCAAATTGCATATCAGAAGATGTTGTCTGCTTTTGCTGCTGAGAGAGATATGTCTGCTCAAGAAACCTGTCACATTCTCTTAGACTGTCCTATGGTTAGATCATCAAGAGTAGTCAGAAATGTCAATGTATCAAAGCAAGAAGAAGATGTAGAGATTGACTTTGAAGGCAATACTGTTCGCAAAAACTGGATTACGGCAGGCATACAGAACCAGGCTTACTGGCAATATATCTGCACTATTGAAAGAAGAGTTAGAGAAAACAACTTTCCTCCATTTCCTTCGGCACTGGACTGTCAATGGCAAAACTCTATCACGGCGAGGTGGCCGTTCTGCATTACCTTATGCATTGAATATCTGGCCTCGATTTATTTATGACACAGCTGATAAAAATGTCTATGAGAACTGGTGCTATGCTCATATGATTCTACATCATCCTTTTGTACAGGAAGCAGACTTGCTAAAAAATCATGACAACTGGATTACTGCATATGAAACAGATTGTGTACCATTCAATCTCCCACATGGACATGATACCTTGCCTACAGCTGAGGAAGAAGATGAGGAAGAAGACCCAGATGCTGAATCAGACTCTGAGAGTATAGCACCTGATGATGATGATCCTCAAATGGCACAGTTTCAAGCAGATTGGATGCGTGAGGCTGGGCGTCGTCAGGAGAAGTAACAACAACAGACTCATTACTGAAATCATTAGGCCTTCGTGAATTAGATATCAGTTACAACTGGGTGGAAAACTCACCTCCCATGGCTGATATCAAAGCTGCAACTGAATGGTTGCCTGAACAGCTTAAACAATTCCCTAATGATACCATCCAGAATCTCCCTCCAGAGGATTATACAAAGTTGAAAGGGGAACAACAGCAACTTTTCCTTCAGGTTATGGCATATGTCAAAGCATTAAAAGCTGGGAAATCACCAGAGCCACTCAGAATCAATGTGGATGGTACTGCAGGGACTGGTAAATCAGTGCTTATTCGTGCTATTACTACTGCTTTGCGAGAGGAATATGCAGATGAGCTAGATGGTAAAGATCCTGTTATTCGGATGGCTCCTACCGGAATTGCTGCATTTGGAATCAGAGGATGGACAATCAATTTTGCACTTTCTATTCCAGTCACAAAAGATAGTAATTTTTCAGAATTAGCTCCTGCCTCTCTTCAGAAAATGCAGCAACGCTGGCATAGTATGCGTATTTTTATCATTGATGAAAAGTCAATGATTGGAAGGGCAATCTTAGGGAAAGTGGACCGTAGGCTCAGACAGATTTTTCCAGCTAAAGCTGAGGAAACTTTAGGAGGTCAATCAGCTATAATCTTTGGAGATTTTTTCCAGCTCCCACCTGTGGGTGATAGTGCTTTGTTTTCTACTAAGCAAGCAGATGGGCCAAGAGGCCAACTTGCTGCTGAAGGAAGAATGGTATATGAAACCTTCAAACAGTCTCTTACTCTTACTCGGGTTTTCCGTCAAGAAGGTGATGATCCCCGTCAAACAGCCTTCAGAGAGGCATTGTATCATTTACGAGAGTATGCTGTGACTGAAGAAGACTATACTCTGCTTTCAGAGCGTTTCTGGGATAAACTGTCTGCTGAAGAGCGTGCTACTTTCAGTGATGTTATTCACTTGCTGCCAACTCATAAACTGGTTGAAGATGCTAATCTTCGAAATTTGGCAAAACTCAATAAACCTATAGTTCGGTGTAAGGCTACACACCATCGGATAAACAAGGCTTTGTCAAAGAAAGGATCTCCTGAAGATGCAGAAGGGTTACATCCTATGATTCTCCCTCTCAGAGGGTGCAAAGGTTATGATCACTAGAAATATGTGGACTTCTAAGGGATTAGTGAATGGTGCACAAGGCACTGTCCAGAAGATTTGTTATGCCTCTAATGCAGATCCTCAAAAGGACCTTCCAGCAGTGGTATTTATTTCTTGTCCTGATTACTCAGGTATGTTGCACAGTAATATTCTTGTAAACTCTTTCTTAATGTGATTATAGGCCCTCAAACTCCAGGTTGGACAGGCATTGATCCTTCTTGGGTGCCTATTACTCCTGTAACAACAAATTGGGAAACCAATGGTACTCCCTGTTCTAGAACCCAGTTTCCTTTAGCTTTAGCTTGGGCTATCACAATTCACAAAAGCCAGGGCCTGACACTTTTGAAAGCTGTCATTGAACTTGGTCCTAAAGACTTTTCCCCAGGATTATCATTTGTTGCCATATCACGAGTCAAGACCTTAGATGGAATAGCTTTCAAGTCTAGGTTCCCTTTGTCTAGGTTACAACGGCCAGAAGATACAGATACTTCACGTATGTTGAAGGCTGATATAGAAAGAAGAGCAGCCCTTGGATTCACCCTCAATGATTATGGTATGAATTTGGATGAATATGTATTTAATGATTAGTAATTCAGTTGTATTAACATATATATTTTTGCTTTTACTTGGATTTGGCGAGCTCCCCCCTCTCATGTGAACCATTGTTCACATAAACATATTTCTTACCACGAACTGGACGGTCACTAAGGTACTGAGATTGGTTACGCAGGACCAATAAATGCCGACCACAACCCAATGGCTTCCTCCAGCTTCACAGCGTATCCCTTCAGCTCTCAACACAGGCTTGACCCGTAATTATTGGCAGTGAAAGCGTCAACTGGCTCGAAAGATGTCAAGAGTCGCGTCCGAGGTGCCAACTTAAGTAAGTTGAAGCAGCATCCCCTTCATCGCTCGCAACTTGATTCACTGACAGTCCTCTGGGAAAACCTCGGATGAAAATTATTGATATAATGATTACACTCGGATCTGCTCTGCGAATAGCCAGTGAGTGATCACTGAGACTACCGTCAAGCCCAAGGAGGGCGCTACAAGCCCGTGAAATTGCGGCCTACCGAAATTTTGCGCATGTAGCCACCGATCAAATAGAGTGGCATCATTTGGATCATCCATTGTACACGGTTCTTGCAGGGCATTCATCAAGAACTTGTCGATATTCACTTCGAAAGAGAAAAAGCAGGTTTTGATGACTGGTTCAACCACTTTTCCCATATTGCATCGGGTGATAATCTACGTAGTCGAATTCAGTCAGGTGTTCGATTTTCTCAAGCGCAAGAGGCCTTACTGTGAGTTGAACATCGTATGGGAGCTGCGGAGTTCCGACCATAGTCTCCACGAGGTTGCGGGCTCTCAGGGGGCACGGTAATGGTGTTTGTGGTGACATTTGTCCCCATTTAGTATCTCCCAAAAGAGACATGCCTAATTAGGCATCTCCCAAAAGGGACAGGCCGCATTAGGCATCTCCTAAAAGGGACAGGCCCCCCGGAAGTCGGTCCCAATCAGGAATTGATGGGCCTACAAATCAAGTGATAGTTGTGTGATCCTTGTGATGTCAGTGTGATCTCTTGTGCAAATAGCTGATCTGACATGTTTTATGTATCATAGGTGTAAGTATACATACCTATGCCCTACAGAAAGCAGTTTCTCAGCTATATAAATGCAAATACCTGTGATGGCAGTGTGAGATATCATATGAATGTCTGATTAGAGTTATTTAAGTCTAATAACTGCAAAATACTACACTTTCTCATTATAACTCGAATTATATATCATGTAAAATTCACTTATTTGAACTGAACTAGTCTGTATTCCAATATAATAAGTAATGATCAAGCTGCAAGTGCTTGTGTTATTACATTGCCATCTGATGCCAACACTGATACCCAACTGTGATATCCCAGCTATGACAAGCCCCTCCAAACCTTGATGATGGAGTTCTGGAATGGGAAGTAGACGAAATCTTGCATGCTAGGGTGAGGTATAAGTGGCTGAATTACTTTGTCAGGTTGCAACACGTCGCACGACCAGTGGGTCTGCTTCAACCATGTCTATGCCCTGGAGAAAATTGTGGAGTTCTATTGTAAGTACCCTGGCAAACCATAACACATCGCCTCCATGTTGTTTGACACAATTAGTGTTCATATCACGGGCCACCCCGCAGGTAAGTCCGGGGTGGCACATACCCGTCCCCGCTGATGGCCCGGGCCTGTGTACATGGGTATGGGTACCCACATTTTCGCTAGTGGGCGACAGGTAGCCCACTCATCCGAGGCCCGCAACATCTAACCAAGGGGGATGCACCGCCGAATATGCATCAATGTTGGGTTATTGCAGGACAACGGTGTCACGACACAGTCTGGGCTCCTCGGTCCTTGGCCAGATGCCCATTTGGTGCTGAAGATTGACGTGACAGCCCCCGGTCTTGACTGCTGACTTCTGGCAAACCAGTAGGCCAAACTGCAGGCCAGCGGGTTTGGGGTACCAGGCCTGCACCCATACCTGCACTGGCCATCCTCGCAGCCCGTCACGGGTCACACCACCCGTGACAATCAATACCTTTCCGGTCTATGCATCAGAACGCCACATTTAAAGGGGGGGAGGGTAATGTCAGAAAACCTCCCTTTTGGCCCTCTGGAGAGGATTCTAGTCTCCCCTGCTAGGACCTTGATCTCAGACCTCTGAGGTTGCCCTTATAGTAAATAGTAAATTAGCCTGACAACCTGACCTTGTAACCCTGTGTCAGATTTTTTAATTATATCATACTGTACTGTACTCGTCAATATGACTACAACCGTCATGTGCCATCATGCATCGGAACAATAACAATTGAGTGAGTGTGATGCATGACTAGCGATGGCGGCGTCCGGTTCGGCCTTCCGGTTCGAACCTGAACCGGACCGAACCGAACGCGCGTTCAGGTTCAAAGTTCAGCGCAAGGCTGAACCTGAACCTGAAGTTCAGTTCGGCGTTCGGCCGGTGTTGGCTTTACCTGAACCGGGTCCGAACGTGTTCGAACGCCGAACGCCGGAGGCGCCGGACCGCCGGCATAAGGTCCTCCGGAGGACGAAAATGCCGAATGGGGTTGCATGCCGGGAGCAATCAGTGTTCCTCCCGACAGCCGCTGATGGAAGGTGGGTGATCCTGTGGCTGTTATCCCCACAAAATTGATACACCGTAGCCCGAATGCATCTGACAGCAACTGGCAGCCAGCACACAAGGCCATCCGCGGCCTGCTAACTAAAGCGCGCCGCCGTCGCGGGCCCGGGGCATCGATGGGGATGAGTGTGGGCCACCCCGGATGGGCCCGCGGGTGCGCTGGGGTGGCCCATTATGAACACATAGGTTCAAAGTTCGAACCGGTTCTGAACCTGAACTGAACCGGATTGAACCTGAACACGAAGTTCGGTTCAGAGTTCAGGTAAAAGCCGAACCTGAACCGGAAGTTCAGGTTCGGGGTTCGCCAAAAAGAGCCCTGAACCTGAACCGAACCGAACCTCGCCATCTCTATGCATGACGACAAAAAAAAAATTACAACTGGGCCATGGTTTTACTTGATTTTTTGAGGGCATATTTCCTGGTGTCACGCCTTTGGACCTCAACAACCAGACCAGTGTGGTGCATGACGCCACGCTCAGATAACAACACAACGGGCTGACCGTGATGCGTGACGTTGTAGTCATACAGACGACTACAGTATGCTGTCACATGCCACAACCCCATAGCAATTAATACAGGAAGCCTGACAATTTACTAGGTTACTTAGACAAGGATAATTCCTCTGTTTCTTTGCTACATCAGATCTGTATCAGTACACATAAGCACAATGATGTAATCAGTATTTGCCTGGAATTTCAATGAGGACTGGTGTAATTCTATCGCTAGATAGATTATAAACTGGAAATTCCCCTTTTTCTTTTCTCTCCTCTTTCCCTTTTTGGCCGATTTTCTGCACTGCTCCTTTGGGACCACAAACACCATTACCGTGCCGAAGAGGGTCATGTCGATGTCGATCAAACTCGTCTGGCGTCACTAGGTCCAAGTAGGTGCTGGGATGTCCGTGACCATGAAGATACCGAATGAATCGAATTTGGAAAAGTTTTGATAAGGTCATCGCAACGTCGTCGTCGGACTCCCCATGGAACTCGAATCGCAACTCAGAGAGCACCTGATCCAAAGACTTGATGGTTCTATCATAGATGGTGGCTACAAAGGTCAGGCCCTGGGTGGAATATTCCAAAAGACTCTGCACCAACATTCAGCTCAGTTACGTAGCAAGAACGAAACGTACGGTGAGGGAGTCTTGACCTTCACTCGGGCCTCCTTGGGATACACCACGAAAGCCTTGACGAAAGGCATCAATCTCACTATGATTTTCGTCATCGAAACCGAGAAGAACGTGCAAAGCCAGAGTCAAGCCAAGCCCTGCATGCTCTTCGACCGTCCGGCTATGTTTTATGATAGCCAACTGAAAAGATGAGACGAGAATTGCAATCATATATCACTTACGCTAGGCAATATTGCTGAAATCAGGACTGCAACGGCATCACTCGGGGCGTCGATTACCTGAAAGCGTCCAAAAGAAAACCAGGGTGAGAGTCGCGCGCCCATCTCCGAGTCTAAGGTGCGGATCGTCTCCAGAGACAATCGTAACCCTTCTTTGCCATATATAACGAAGAGTAGGAAGAAAGGGCTCAGCGGGAACGGTGCGACACCACGCCGATGCATGATGGAGAGTGCAGTCCAGCGCCCAGCTGCCCAGAATTTGGCATGACGCTTGGGAGAGGAAATGGTATCAGGCCATATGAGCGGAATCTTGTATTGACCGCGCATGCCCCAGAGGTCATTGTCTTCAAAGATAGCTTCGAGTCCAGATGTATACAGTTCAACAAGGGGCCCACTTCCATGAGTGCGTTCGTAAAATGGTGCTGATGGGTCTCCCCTGCATTAAATGAGCTTGTGTGTTGCATAATGCAAGGAGAAAACACCCACAGAAGAATATCGTGATCAGTTTCCCTCAACCAACTAATGGAGTCGGTTTTCTTGCAGTAAACGCCAGGATGGGGAGAGTAACGAATATGCTGTGGAAGGTGGTGTGAATGAATTTCAAGAAGATGTAGTAAAGCGACGGCAGTGGATTTGGCGTCACGTCCAGCTAAAACACTACCAGTTGTTCTGGTATTAGCTGTAGACGCCCGCTTATTATTATCTATCCACAAGTCCACAGCGATCATGTCAATGTGGAGGTGGATGGGAGTCCAGGTTCTACGGGGCCCGATAGGCTTTTCTTCCGCTGTTTCCTGGAGAGGCATCAAGACATCTGTTTCCTGGGAGGGATGAAGCTCTTCGGTGCCACGTCCTCCAAATGACCGTCGGGGTGTTACGAAAGAAGTGTTGGCTTGAGGGGGAAAGCGAGTCTCTGGACTTGCCATTCCGAAGCGTGGTGTGATCTATCTCTTAGATAAGCCTGTCAAACTTAGGAATAGGAAAGACATACCGGCGGCAGAGGGTTTGAGTTGAGACTCGAGTTCTGGGAGGTCTAAATTGAGTCGTGACGTCGGTGCACAAACAAAAAAGGGCTTACATGATCACCATACTGGTTGAAGTTGCGCGTAGGAGTGGATGTCGGGGACCACGACGGTGAGGGGAGGGACTCGAAGAAAAGCTGACAGATGTGCGATTCGATGACGATGAAGACGGGGAAGGAAGCTCTTCGGTGCCACATGACCGTCGGGGTGTTACGAAAGAAGTGTTGGCTTGAGGGGGAAAGCGAGTCTCTGGACTTGCCATTCCGAAGCGTGGTGTGATCTATCTCTTAGATAAGCCTGTCAAACTTAGGAATAGGAAAGACATACCGGCGGCAGAGGGTTTGAGTTGAGACTCGAGTTCTGGGAGGTCTAAATTGATTTGTTGTGTAGGTGTACTGCCAAGGAGGTCTTACATTGTGGAAGTTAATTGCGGGGGTAGATGTAGCCCGAGATGCCGAAGGCCAGGGAGAAGTTGACGATGGGGATGGAAAGGGTTCACGGCCCCGTATAGTTTGGGCTAGGTGCGTATGCATCTGTGGAGGTCTTACGCCAGATTGTTTACCAAGATAACCGCCCTACCTCGACCGGTGAAGGCCTGCACGCGCGTTCCTCGCAAGCTGGGACAGTCACTGAGAGGTTAGTTGCGAGCCAAGCTGTTCCGACGAGAGTCTTCCATCCGAATGTATGGCATGGATGGGGCTTTGCCGCATCAATGGTTGCATTGAAAACAGGTCCAACGAGATTCTTCCAGAGAGGGACTGTTGAGTTGTCAGTTTAATAATCAAAATAGACTTTGTATGACGGCACCAATGAAAAGAATATGCGCCTCCGCATTGGTGGGATGTACGAAAGGTTTAGCCATTCTCAGCAATTCGGACACCTTGAAGTTGTATTGCGGGAGTCGACAGTTGATCAACTCGGTCCTGTATTTGGCACTGCGAAAACGAAGGAACGTCCATGGAAGTTCACTAAACTCAAGATGATGCGAGGGTGGGCAATCGAAGGACATGGAATGTCGAGTTAAATGGGAAAGAATTGCCTGGTGCAACGGGAGCCAGAGGTCGTCTGAAGATGGGGGGTCCAGGAAGCGATCAGATTTGAATTCTGGAGAGATTCTATCATCGTGGACAATGCTCGGTTTTCGTCTGGCCAACAGAATGATTGAAGTGACAGGTTTGAGTCAGTCTATTGATAGGATGAGTGGAGATAATAAATTTGAAGAGCAAGTACAAGAGCCAAGGGAAGAATCAATAGGAGGAAGGTTGGTTGTTGGGTGGGTGGGTCAATTTGGGGCGTCTGGCCTTTCTTCCAGTTGGGGTGGAAGACTTTTCCCGTGAGGAGTGTTTTAACATACTGTGTTGTCGCCGCACTGAGGGGGGATCATAGTCTGGCTGTGGCGTTTGGTATTTTCCGATGGGAAGATTGCCTAGCCAGTCCCCTTGAGCTCCAAGACGATCCCGGTAGTGGGTGAAACTCGTGGTGTTCGATACCCCACCACTAAGATTCCGACCAAGGGAGCCTTGGGATGCACTGCAAGGCGCCAATAGGGTGAGTGGAGCCAGGTGAAAGGACGGATAAGCTTACATGGCGGAATTGGATTGCGTTGCGTGGTGTTCCCAGTATGTATGTCCGCAGTTAAAACAGGATATCGTGTCACCTGCGACGATCTACCAGCGGAGGGAATGATACTCAGTCATACAGTAGCATATGAAACAGAAACAGTCACGAACGGGCTGGTTTGCAGTGGGTTCCTGGAAATCACCCAGTATGCAGGGGCATTGAGAACATATAGGTCGACTAGGAAGAGTCATATGGGAGCTGATGTGGGGGAGTGAAGAAAGACTCCGGGTCGTGACGAGTTCAGCGTTATGAAAAAGTTCCGATGATGGGTTCAAAGAGGTTTGAACGTTACGTAGAGTTGGTTTTGATCGGGTTGACTGTCAGATGTTATTAAGTACGGTTGGGAACAAGTTCTTTTTTGACTCATGGAATTGCTAGGGCCTGCAAGGCCAATCAGCGCCGGTATGGCTTCCTAAACCGACGAAGGGATCTGGTTTGCATCAGTCGTCAGTAGGGTGGAGAAAGCGGGAAGAAGACATACGGGGCAAGTCGAGTGTTGGACGAAAACGCGATTTGAAAAGCAAAAACCTATCAAGGACGAGGATAAAGCATGGACCAGTTAAATCATATCCGCGGGGTGCAGAATACTTGTTCGGCTATGACAGTAAAGATTTATGCCTCTGGATTGCCGAAGGTTACTAGGATGTGGCGGTAATCCGAGGCAAGGTTGTCAACAAGTGGCGAGAAGCACGCGTTCAGTCGGAGTGAGACCGACGTGAACGATGTGACGAGAAATATTTTCGTATATGGGCGACCGATCATGGGAAGGGACTGGGCGAGGTAGGATATGAGACGATTTAAATCCAAAGAGTGGCTCAACCTGGGAAGCCGTTCAACCAAACACCGGTCAAGCTGGCTGAGTACAGAATACACTAACAAAAGAATCACGATGACCGGTGAAGGATATGACGAGAAAAAATCTCGCATATGGGCTACGATGTGGACGGTGCCGGCGGTTTCAGGATGCAACAATGGCAGCAGATATAGTTGCTGCTGGACCAGAACTGAGTCAAGTTGATTGAGGCAAAGGAGAGAACACTCACCTGTTAGCATGCCGACCATCTTCGGTGGGCTACATAGCGAGAAAAAGTCTCGTAGATGGACCACCACAAAGACGGAAGGCAGAGATGTGACTAAGCGCCGTGACTAAGCGCCGTGACACAGGCAGCGATCGTCATCTCGACCTTGTGCTAGCATCGTCAACGGGATCCTCTGCCTATCAAAGTGATACTTGAACCTCGCAAGAAGCTTTCTTTGAATCTTTGTCATATTCTCCATCCGCGCCTTCCATGCAAACTATCTATCAAGGCAATCCAAAGAAAGTGGCAGAAGGGAAGCGAGCTATGGTGTCGGCGAGTTTAGTTTTCTGTATGTGACCATAGCCTCAGGTATGGCTAGCCATATTCGTGGTATCTGCTAGCGATTCCGATGCAACGCCAAACAGGGATGTCGAAGACGGCACAGGAAAACGCAAGCCAGTCGCTGAACTTCTCGGATTCAACGGTTGTGTTCCACCACGGACAATTGCATACGTTGCTGTTCTTGTGCGCATTATGAGCTGTCTGTGTTTCTTAACAAAGCTTTCAGGTCTACTTTTCTTTCTCGGAGATCAAAAACTGGCTACGCAAGTTCAAGGGTGTATACCATGGTCAACTACTTCGAAAATCCGGTGCTTGGAACAAGGGCAGCCAAACGTGTGGAGGAGGTCCAAACAGGAGGTCCAAACAGGTATGTGTTAGGCCTGGGGGCACTACTGTACCTACTAACATGGGAAGTTTTTTGCTCCGATGGAACGTCGCTGGCCGCATATGCAACATACGTCTTTTCGTAGAACTCCCCTGTCAGAGAGAAAACCTGGCCATTGACTCCTTCAAGTCCACAATTCACGGCTACCGTTATGCCCCCTTTCTTTCCCTTCAAGTCCAGCTTTATCTGTCCTTCAAACGTATTTGTGCTGATATCCATGACAACGAAATTGACACTGAAATCCTTTGTTCCAGTTTCCCTTCCGCCCCGCTCGTCCACCTTTCCTGATACTTGCCCATTTCCTCTTGCTATGAATCTTTGAACAAACTTGTGAGTGTATTCCACCAATTTGATGTTTATGCTGCTCATGTATCGAAATTAGTATCTGTACTTCTTGAAATTCGACATCAATGGCCCTTCCACCAGCACCAAAACTAACGCATAATCACCACTGGTGGCCCGCAAACGTCAAACGTTCTAACTTTGAAGCTTGTCCTCGGTGCCGTTGGTCGATCAAATTCTCAAGGACATGATCGGAACTTTGCAGTAACGCTCAATTCGTCACAACCCAAGGATGGCCAGAACTTTGACCGAATTGAACGGGCATCCAATGGAAGCCTATGCCCCAACTGCAACGAGTGCACTTGCCGTGCCACTTGCCAGTGCCACTTGCCAGTGATTTACTCGCCTCCAGCCATTTCGAAAGCCAAAGTAATGATCAAAGTGTTTTGGAATGCACTGAGCTCGTCGCCCTCATCTTACAAGCTCATCTTCGATCTCAAACGACTACTGACTGGCGACTCGATGTTCGAAAAAGATTGACCCTCAAGCTGGTGTGCCGATTTTGGAGAGCGACACTGGTGTCGACACCAGAATTGTGGTCGAACATCATCTTGGTCCCGGAGATGCCCCAATGGTATATCGATCAGGTTTTCCAATACGCCAAGGCCACTTCGAAACAGTTGAAAATCCGGCTCGAGGCACAGGCGAGGCACGCCGACGTTGACCACTTCTCGTCTTGCATCGTCCCCCCACTGATTGCGGTAGCCGACACAATCGCGCATCTCTCTATGCAGTATGGCTCGCACAAAGATTGGAATGCTTTCGCTTCTCGGTTGCATGCTTTGGACGCCCAGCCTGAGTTAAACCTGGCGTCCCTCCGACATCTTCACATCACGTATTTGGGAAACCAGTCAAGCGATATCCGAGTCCCACTCCCGTTTCCGAGACTTATTTCAGACATACGGCACCTTCATCTCGACGGCTTACCGCTTACTTCCTCCGTCGTTGGCCCCAACCTCATTTCTCTGGCCCTCCTCAACTTGGACCTGATTTACAACGACGCAGAGTCATGTCACGATCTTGCTATGAACTTGTTGGATTGCCTTCGTCAAACCCCAAGACTTATAGTCCTTCTTATCGGAGACCTCTGCGACCGTTTCATTGACGAATCTGCCCTCCACAACCGTACGGTGGTTCTTCCGAGTCTGCGAAATCTATCATATCTCTGCAGCACCCTGCCGTCGCACCGCTGTGGTTTTATAGTCTCCCTCATCACAGCTCCCAAACTCCAGCTCCTTTCCATCTGTATGACCAACGTTCACAACACGCACCACTTCGTTTCGATGAATCGTTGCAAGCTTTCCCAAAGTACCGGACTCTGTTTACTGGGCGACATACACGATCATATTGAGCTCACTTGTGGTCGAGCATGGCTTTTACCACTCCTGACAGGGAGCCGACAAAACCTGGATACCGACGGCCTAGTTTATTTTGTGCGCGGACCGTTCGTCATGACCCGTCTTGTCGACGTCATGACCCACGCGTTATCTCTTCCTACCGTGCACTTCTTGGTGCTACCCTCACTATACTTGCGCCACCACTATGTTTCAGCTCGTGGGAGTTTCATGGCGTCTGTATTCCAGTCGGCTACAGCCCGGCGAAACCAAATACATCTACGAGGAACATGCATTTTGTATCTCTGGCGGCGTCAATGAACTTGAAGACCATTCAGCCTGCACTCGTTTGTGGCAGTGGGATGGCTCTCTCAACGCTACTATCACTAGCATAGTTAGAAACTGAAGGGGAGAGTTACGAGTACTTATGTAATCGTCTATCAATATGTGTCGTCCGCGTTTCAGGACCTCGATCTTGACCCTTGAGAAATTCTATTTTTGTAATGAAATTTGTAGCCTTAACCCTAACCCTATAGCAGATTTTTGTGACGTGAAAATGAATGCTTTTTGGACTTGGTCGTATCTCATCGATGCTTGTCACCTGACCAGATCTTTTTTTTTTTTTTTTTTTTTTTGAATCACATTTATATTCCGCGGGCAAGTACGCTACTGCTACTAAGGCGCGGTGCTCGTAAAAGCAGCCATCGTGGGTGTGTCGGACAACAGGGCAGAGCCGTTCCACTTTGGGGGTTTATGGTGTAGGTGTCGTTGTGGTGGTTCCGTATGCCAGCATTTGCTGGCTGTAACGGTTGGGTGTTGTCAGTCATAGGCATGAATGCATGAGTTTTGGGGATCATAATGGCGTGTTTTCCGGGTGTGTCGTTTGTCTGCGGGGTTCTCCTCTTCGATGCCTTCCAATCTAACCATGATCGTCGTCGCCCACGTCGTCTTCGTCGTCAGAAAGGTCTGGTTCCGGTTCTTCTTCCCAGGTAGGAAGTTTGTCTTCCTTCCGTTTGTGTCCTGTCTTTGTGAACGCGCCTGATTCCTCTAAGAATCTGATGAGTGCCGATATACCGCCTTGGGTTCCCAGGATTTCCGGGAGTGCGATATCGCGTGAGTGCTTCCGGAGGATGTGGCGATGTTCCTTGTATCTGGGGCATTCTCGAAGAATATGCGCTCTCGTTTGAACCTGTTCCCCACAGGGGCAGTGAACGTCCTCGTCGGGTATGAATCGATTGTAAAACTCGCCTGTGTAGCCGTGCCCTGTCCGACATTGAACTAGGCGGCCAAAGACCTCCCGCTTTCCGTCGAGTGCCGTGAAGTGTTTCGTGGGTTTCAGCGATGGTGGGAATTTATCTGCGACTCCGAATCCGCCCGTCTTAGCAGCTGCTTTCCACTCGGATCTCCATTCTCTCTGCACTCTTGCCTTCGCGCGCCTTATTGCGTTAGCTCTCGTTCCACCCGTCTCTGTTCCAAGCTCGGCCCCTGCCTTGGCGAGCTCGTCGGCCCTGTCGTTTCCCAGGATGTCTTGGTGTCCCGGCGACCATGCGATTTCTACCGTCCTCTGTACTTATGTCAGTGTCGAGGAAATCCAAGATCATGTTGTGGAACTGTCGTGAATATACCTGTCCTGACCGCGGTTTCGGGTCGAATATGGTTGTGATGGCTGCTGTGTTGTCTACGAAGAAGTGTAGATGTTTGATTGACTCATCTGTTTTGGCCATTTGGGTAGCTTTTGCAGCGCCGAGATATAATCCCGCCAGCTCTCCATCGTACACCTCTGCGTTGCTGCCTAGGCCTTGCGCGGCTGCAAAGAGCTCCGCACCCTCTCTGTATATCACTGCCCCCGCTCCAACCCGTCTTACACGGTGTACTGGCCGCATCGACCCGTCAGTGTAAACGACCAGATGGGAGGGTCTGAACCTCAGCTCGTCAACCTTTTCCACGTGTTTTGCTGCTGCCTCTTTCTTCTTTTCGTCCCTCGTGCCCGAGATTTGCAGGCGGTACCCAAAGTCTTCTGCTGTGCGTCGCCATGGTGTTAGGAAGGGAAGGATTCGCTCGTCACGTGGGCTCGTGAGTCTTGCGATTCGCTCGAGTTGGGTGGTCTTGGCACCTGACCAGATCCCTGGCAACACCGGACTAATGAGCCTTCACTTCGGCTTCACGTTCTTCGTGCTCCTTCTCCTTCACTTTGGCTTCAATTCGTCGTGCTGTGCACGATACAACGAGCATTGGTCTTGGAGTAGAGTCTTGATTGGTTTCTGTCGATTCGAATGCAGTCCTTCAAGTTCCATCCTCGTCGCAGTTTGGTCGTCGTCAGACTTGCTGTCAACGGCCGACTCCTTTCCCTTCCCTTTTCCAGTACACCGACCAGCTATTGGTAGTAGCAGTCCTTTTCATTCCCCCCATCGCTTTTCCTCTCCATTTGCGTTGGACACTTCGATGACTTTGTGCTTCAATTCAGCGCGTTTAGCAGCGGCGAGTTGCTATAAGTAATGGTGAGTCTTCCGCATCGGACATAGCGAACTTATCTTAGAAAATGTCGCGTCTAGATGCACCAAGCTCGTCAATATCACTTTGCATATGTAGCGGGGTCCTAAGTCGACGTCGGGCGAGAATGTTCGATATGTGCGTGAGCCTCTGATTTGTATGCCAATTGTCTCACTTCTTATTGTCCATTTCCAGGTACGCCACAATATTGTCGGCACAAATCGGTTTCTCCGTCGCTCAGTGCACCCCGTGGGTCGACGTTGTGTTCTAACTTCTGGACGGACACGCGTGTCCTCAGTAATGTTCTTCATCGACCGGGTAAAGTATTGGGTGTTTGATGTCGCCCTGAATGGGGGTGGACTTCATAGTCATTCGGTTAGGTTCTTTCTACTGGGCGGTCTTGCGATACTGTCCAGTTTGGATGGACCGCCTCTGGTGGAGTGACCTAGACGAAGCGAAATGGGCACAGATGGGAACTTCCATTAAATTACTCAAGTACAAGTACTCGTGTTTGCCATTTATTGGCCTTATACCCAAGTAGTGTATGTGATTGGGGATCACGAGTACTTATGTAATCGTCTATCAATCTGTGTCGTCCACGTTTCATTGACAGGACCTCGATCTAGAGATATGCCGCCTCTTTCCACTTCTGTCCCGGTCACTCTTATCCCTTCATCTAATATTGGTACCTCCGCCTCTGGAGGTGCTGCACTGTTTTGTTTGGATACGGGAAGTATTCGCTGCCTGGTGATGGACCCTCAAGTTGGGATTCGATGTCGGGCAAGCTCTGGAGGCCTGAAGAATGGTTTAGTCCTCGACATGAGTCAACGGTCAACGTTTTAGCGAGAAGACGTGACCGTGATTCGTTCGTGCTTGTCCACCACCTCTTACCCATGCCCTCGACGATTTCGGCCAGGAAGTCTCCGTCCTCATCGCCGTCCACCACTCATCTGATAACCCTACTTTGCCTAGTCAACTTGCTTTACGCGTCGGTGGTGGGCGGATATACGAGACTTTTTCTCGCTATATGGCCCACCGAAGATGGTCGGTATGCTAATAGGTGAGTGTTCTCTCCTTTGCTTCAATCAACTTGACTCAGTTCTGGTCCAGCAATCCTGAAACCGCCGGCACCGTCCCATATGCGAGATTTTTTCTCGTCATATGCTTCGAACTGGTCACATCTCTTCCTTTTCTCTTCGACGCGTACCTTCCGAGACTTTTTCTCGCGATATGGCCATGGTCGTTATGCTAGTGTTCTCTCCTTTGCCTCAATCAACTTGGTCCAGCAATCCTGAAACCGCCGGCACCGTCCCATATGCGAGATTTTTTCGTACAGAAAATCCTACTTCACCGTCATCTTACTATGCAGCGACTGTGAGGTGCCATTGGGGTTGTCAGATGGTTAATGGTCGAATAGTCGGCTCCCTGGTCCGTCAATAGCCTTGCTTGAAACGACTTGTGAGCATCCTAGCCTCGGACCCAACAGACTTGAATTCTGATTTTGGTTCAACAGCTTGTTATGTCTGGAATGTCATTATATTCAACCTCCCCGTGGCCCGACAAGTTTCTCCCTGCAACACTATCATGATGATGTAGGCTTTGTTTGCCTGAGTTGCGGTGTCAGTGCCCCAGTAATCACACACACTGGCAGCATTTTCCTTGATTACCTCACCCACCCTCGATATACAGTACCAAAACCAACACACGAGCATCCTCCAGATGATGATTCTGGTGTACGTAAGGGTCCAAGAACCCTCATCGGAACTTTGCAGTAACGCTCAACCCGTCACACCGCACATATAACTAGAACGTCGACGCAATCGCCATTCGCTCAATGGAGGACAACGCCCCGGCTTCAGCAAGCACACTGGCACTTCCTGTGTCACGCGCTTCGTCCACCTCCAGTCCTTTGGATAGCAACGTTCGAAGTGTTGTACGAAGTCCTGAGCTCCTTGCCCTCGTCTTCAGAGCCTACCTTGCTTTGCACTCATTTATCTTGGCTTGGACTGCCACGTCCCGAGACCCAACTGCGAACTGGAGAACCGATGTTCAAAAAAGGTTGACTCTCAAGCTGGTGTGCCGATTTTGGAGAGCGACACTGGTGTTAACACCAGAATTGTGGTCGAACATCGTCTTGGTCCCGGAGATGCCCCAATGGTATATCGATCAGGTTTTCCGATATGCTAAGGCGACTTCGAAGCAGTTGAAAATCCGGCTCGATGCACACTCAAGGCATGACGTTGAAATCTTCTCGTCTCTTATTGCCCCTTTGTTGGTCGTGGTAGCCGACACAATTACGCACCTCTCTGTGCAGTATGGCTCTCACACAGATTGGAATTCTTTCACTCGCGAACTATCTAATACACACACTGAACTCAACTTTTCATCGCTTCAAAGGTTCCGCGCAACATCTCTGAGCCCTTTCGAAATTCCCTTTCCTGATGATAACCCCCATTTGTTTCCGGGGCTTACCGCAAACATAGAACACCTTCATCTCGACGGCTTGCCAATCACCTCATCCATTGTTGGCTCAAACCTAATTTCTCTAACACTCCTCAATTTAGACTTGGTTCACGATATCGATGACGCGGAATCACACCGTAGTTTTTGTTGAGAACCTGTTGGATTGTCTGCGTTGGACCCCAAGGCTCAACACCCTCATCCTCGGAGACCTCAACGAGTCTTCTATCCAAGAGTGTGCTCTCCACAACCATACAGTGGTCCTCCCGAACTTGCAAAAATTATCCTATGTTTGCGACCTCCCGCTGCCACATCATTGTGGCTTCCTCGTATCCCTCATCGCAACTCCACAGCTCCACCTCCTTTCCATCCGCTTGGCCAATTCTCAGAACACGTACAACTTTGTTTCGATGAATCAATCCAAGCTCTCCATCATCACCGAGCTACGTCTGAACGGGGACATGGATAATTATGTCGAATCTGTTGACGATCGAACTCAACTCTTGCCATTGCTAATGGGGAGCAGACTGCGATATCTAAACGTCCTTGAGATGGGTGGCCTCTTCGATTTCAATGCTGAGCAAAGAGCCTTGGACCAAACCCGTTTTCTCGAATTTCTTATTCAGGCGCTATCGCTTCCGACGATCTGCTTCCTCGCCATACCCTCATTATTCTCGCCCCCGCACCCGGCTTCTCAGGAAAGTTTGATGGAGTCTGTATTCCAGCAAGTTTTTACCCGAGGTCAAGCCAAATATGTATTCGAAGAACATACTCTCTGCGTTCCTTTCGCTGTCGATGAAAAACATCTTGCCTGTGCTCGTCTCTGGTCCTGGGATGGTAAACTTGGTTGTGAGACGAGGTCAAGTTATACCAAGAGCAGAGCCCATACCCACTTGGCATCTGTCAAAGTCTTCTAAGTTCTAGAGCGAGGCGGCTACACGGCAACTACACCGCCGGATAGCATCATGTAACGTCTGCATACCTGTTCCACTTTCCCTACCGTTGACGAACAAGAAAGTGTACATGTGACTGTCTCAAAACTACAAAAACACTGATTGCGCCTTGTAAGATAAGGTCTCCTCTCGTCCACGAATAGAACAAAGTTCATTATTTGCGCCACCGCTCATGGGGAGACTGACTACTTACTTATATCTCAGACCACAGCTCTGGACCGGTCTTTGATCATCACTGTTGATCCTTACTTAAAATGCTTGTGTTTGACAACCGAGCCACGGTACTGCGGCACACCGCCGCCGCCGCCGCCGCTTCGGGGGGATAAGACGATTGCGTCGTTCGGATTTATGCTTTTGACTTCTAGCAGAACGTTATGTTGTGCAATAAAAGTACACTACCTTTGACTGCTCGTGCTTTCTTGCTCTCCATGAGACGGGTGGATACCGGTATGGGCCCCCATGTAACTGCCAGGTCCAGCCGCGGTACCGCGATTGCCACCACCAGGAATCATCAACAGGGATATAATGCCGCAGCATGCCGGAAGTAAGTGATAGCCGTGATCGATTATCAAAGCCCGGTCCAGAGCTGTGGTTTAGATAAGCGGTCAGTCTCATTTCTGGTCCCACCACAAGCAACGAACTTCGTTCTGTTTGTTGAATGTGAAACAATCTCTGGGCTCCTTCACTCTTGGTTGTCACGCCTTCGAATAACCACAGTCTGGTGCTCAACAATGTCGCCGAAAAAGACGACTCGAAACAACTTGGTCCGGAGAGCCACAGGGCACTCTACTTGACCTTCGTCAGGCATTATATTTTACACTTTCCTTCGCTTACCAACCCCTTTACAGTAAGAGACTTAGAAAGAACCCACCACGACTCACCTCAATCGAAAACAACGAGCTATTGGCCGTTTCCTTCAAGATAACGACCGTAATACCTCGGCTTTGGCTCGGGTAGAAATGCGACCATATCCCGATGTCGCGAAAACTTCATCCGAGTCATTGACAGCTAACACCAACGACAACGATATTCGTCAGGCTTTCGTCAAAATACCACCAGATCTTTCTTCCTATCTCGACCTTCTCAACAGCTCTGAAATTCATTGAGTGGTCGATCTTGCGTTCCCGGTCGGTCGTGATTTGATGCAGACCCGAAATTATTACACCTCCCATTCAAAGAACTAGGTGAACTATCGGGAGTGTTCGTCAGCCCAGTTATGACGAGCGTAGTCTTGCACCCGCCCAGGCAACTCTTGCCTCGCCTTCCATCACAACTACGCGAGAAGTACAACCGCCAGCAGAAAAGACTGCTCTTGCCAATGTTTTGTACCACAACCATCCCAAACTCGCGCGTCATGTTCCTCTCCTCCATCACTGCGGCATCAAACAACCATTGGACATGTACTTGTTGGTTGCAGGGGATTTTGTCGGCACATACACTCGCTTCGAAGGTGTCTTCTATCTACCCAGGAAGAACTCTGTAGAAGAACTCGTTGCCGAATACGATGGGCCTCCGATGTCCAGAGTTGAATGTCTTGTACTCACCAACCACGTTATGGAGCTCGTCCGACAACATTCTACATACTTTGGGGCTTCAGATCTGCAACTACCTAGCTATCTTGTTGAATTCCCATTGCAATCAAACACATCCGGTTGACATTTCAAGACATGGTTGTGAATTTTAGTGAGTAATAATGTGGTCGTAAGGGAGTGGCAAACCAATAAGACTGATTGTTTTGAGAAATTTTATGACAAGCGAATGATAAGCTTACAGGCTGCTTATGATCACTATACACCCAGTTCCAAGGGTTTTAGTACTGTATGCTTAGAAGAGACTTGCAAGGGTTTGTGCGCATCAAAATTTGTTGCAATAAACCTTCTGTGATGGCCACCACCTCAAGCGTTTTTCTGGTGCGTGACATCTCGCGTTTATCGCGTCTTTCGCTTCTTTACCACGAATCTTGACCTCGTCTTCTTTGACTGCCTGGCCTTCTTCTGTGCGCTCATCCTAACGCTTTTGGGCTCTTCACCTTCGAGTGGGTGTGCTAAATGCGTTAATTGCACATTAAATTCATCATCGGAACTTTTCAGTAACGCTGAATGGGTCACAGCTATATGATGACCTGAACGTCGACACAATCGACATTCACCGAATGGAAAACAACGCCACAACTGCAATAAGCGCACTATCCATGTCCCACCTCCATTCCTCCAGTCTTTGGGAAAGCAAGGCCGAAAGTGTTTTCGGATGCACTGAGCTCGTCGCCATCATCTTCGAAGCCTATCTCGAATCTCAATCCCCTGGAGACTGGCAAATCGATGCTCAGAAGAGGTCAACTCTCAAGGTGGTATGCAAGTTTTGGAGAGCGGTATTAGAGTCGACACCAGATCTGTGGTCGAATATTGTTTTAATCCCGGAGATGCCCCCGAGTTATATGGACCAGTTTTTTCGATTTTCCAAGGCCGTTTCGAAGCGTCTGGAAATTCGACTCTATGTCTCGGGGCCCGGCATTGTAAACTTCTCGTCTCACGTCGGGCCTCTGCTAGTTTCGGCCGCTGAAACAATTACCCACCTCTCCATGCGCTACAGTTCCCTCGCTGATTGGAATGTTTTCGCAAGCCAACTATCTATCTTGAACGTCCAGTCTACTTTTTCATCGCTTCGGCAACTTCATGCAACCGTGACGTCCCTTCATAACTCAGGAAACTCGATCGATATCCCGCATCCATTTCCAGGGTTGGCCACTGAGATACAGTACCTTCATCTCGAGGGCCTGCCACTCACTCCCTCCATCGCCGGCTCGAATCTCATTTCTTTAACCCTCCTTAACTTGGACTTGGTTCATAGCAACGCAGCCTCATCTCGGACCTTGGTTGTGAACCTGTTGGATTGTCTCCGTTCAACTCCAAAACTCAACACCCTGATGATCGGGGAGCTGAACGAATGCTGCGTTCATGAGTCTGTCCAGGTTGTTGTGCTTCCGAATCTGCACCGCTTAACCTATCTTTGCAAGCAACCGCTGCCCCACTGCGGATTCTTGATCTCGCTCATCACAGTCCCCCAACTTGAAACCCTTTCCGTCCGTTTGCCCAATATTCATGGCACACGCAGCTTCATTTCGGGAAACCAATCCAAGATTTCCATCGTCACCGAACTCAACCTGTTGGGTGATGTCAATAATTATGTCGAGTTTAGCTCTGGTCAAGCAAGGCTTTTGCTACTGATGACGCCAAACAAACTGGAACGGCTGTATATTCTTGATACAGTGGCACGATTTCACATTAATATTGAGCGGAGAGCGTTCTACCAACCGTTCATTGTGGAAATATTGGTGCACGCGTTAACTCTTCCTACGATTCAGCTCTTGGTCATCCCTACATCATTTTTCCCCCCGCATCCAGTTTCGCGCATGAGTTCGCTGGTGTCTGTATTCGGGCAGGTTTTGATGCGCGCTAGAACCAAGCGTATCTACGAGGAACATGCGTTGTGCAATCCTTCAGATGTCGAAGAAGACCACTTAATCTGTACTCGTCTCTGGTTTTGGGAAGATCGCCTCCGCTATCGGGATACACCAAGTCACCCAACAACTCCCTTCTACTCCCGCTTCCTTCGTTGGACGATCCCCCATAACGTTGAAATGTCTTGATCGTTCCTTTGAATCACAGCCGTTTGTGACGGCCAACCAATTTTGACCGTCTTTGGTCGTGAACTTCCAGCAGTCTGAATCATTTCTCACCCGATGTTTCATGTTTTCGTATAGACTTTGGTATATTTCGAATGTAATCAACTACAATGGTATGCTTTACTAGAGAAAAAATGAAGAAAATTGAGCATGTCTCCGGTGTTCTCCAAAATAGCATCCTTCTCCGTATCAGCAACGACGCTAGCCTGAGCTATCATGATCGGGCTGGAAGAAGAGCGAGAGTGGAGAAGATGTCCCGACATTCCGGAGCCATTCTTTGGTCCATTTGGACTTAGCCGCTGGTGCTCGTCGTCGTTGCAGGTCAGGTTTTACTTCAACGGCTGTAAAATTGCTATGGGTGCACTGGCTGCCAGCGAACAAAAATGTTATTGTCGCGGCTTCAAGTCCGAGTGCATACGAACGAAACCAGTGGGACTGGGACTGGCCCAATCCCACTGATGCCGCCCAATCCCACTGATTCACCGCGCACTCGTGCATTCAAGCGTGACACCACATGCACGAATCCCACTGATCAACGGGATCGTGGCGGGTATACCGGGTAGCGGCGCCGGCCGCGGCGGCCGGGGTTTTCCGCCCGTGCATTGTGGACTTGAAGGAGTCAATGGCCAGGTTTTCTCTCTGACAGGGGAGTTCTACGAAAAGACGTATGTTGCATATGCGGCCAGCGACGTTCCATCGGAGCAAAAAACCTTCCCATGTTAGTAGGTACAGTAGTGCCCCCAGGCCTAACACATACCTGTTTGGACCTCCTGTTTGGACCTCCTCCACACGTTTGGCTGCCCTTGTTCCAAGCACCGGATTTTCGAAGTAGTTGACCATGGTATACACCCTTGAACTTGCGTAGCCAGTTTTTGATCTCCGAGAAAGAAAAGTAGACCTGAAAGCTTTGTTAAGAAACACAGACAGCTCATAATGCGCACAAGAACAGCAACGTATGCAATTGTCCGTGGTGGAACACAACCGTTGAATCCGAGAAGTTCAGCGACTGGCTTGCGTTTTCCTGTGCCGTCTTCGACATCCCTGTTTGGCGTTGCATCGGAATCGCTAGCAGATACCACGAATATGGCTAGCCATACCTGAGGCTATGGTCACATACAGAAAACTAAACTCGCCGACACCATAGCTCGCTTCCCTTCTGCCACTTTCTTTGGATTGCCTTGATAGATAGTTTGCATGGAAGGCGCGGATGGAGAATATGACAAAGATTCAAAGAAAGCTTCTTGCGAGGTTCAAGTATCACTTTGATAGGCAGAGGATCCCGTTGACGATGCTAGCACAAGGTCGAGATGACGATCGCTGCCTGTGTCACGGCGCTTAGTCACGGCGCTTAGTCACATCTCTGCCTTCCGTCTTTGTGGTGGTCCATCTACGAGACTTTTTCTCGCTATGTAGCCCACCGAAGATGGTCGGCATGCTAACAGGTGAGTGTTCTCTCCTTTGCCTCAATCAACTTGACTCAGTTCTGGTCCAGCAGCAACTATATCTGCTGCCATTGTTGCATCCTGAAACCGCCGGCACCGTCCACATCGTAGCCCATATGCGAGATTTTTTCTCGTCATATCCTTCACCGGTCATCGTGATTCTTTTGTTAGTGTATTCTGTACTCAGCCAGCTTGACCGGTGTTTGGTTGAACGGCTTCCCAGGTTGAGCCACTCTTTGGATTTAAATCGTCTCATATCCTACCTCGCCCAGTCCCTTCCCATGATCGGTCGCCCATATACGAAAATATTTCTCGTCACATCGTTCACGTCGGTCTCACTCCGACTGAACGCGTGCTTCTCGCCACTTGTTGACAACCTTGCCTCGGATTACCGCCACATCCTAGTAACCTTCGGCAATCCAGAGGCATAAATCTTTACTGTCATAGCCGAACAAGTATTCTGCACCCCGCGGATATGATTTAACTGGTCCATGCTTTATCCTCGTCCTTGATAGGTTTTTGCTTTTCAAATCGCGTTTTCGTCCAACACTCGACTTGCCCCGTATGTCTTCTTCCCGCTTTCTCCACCCTACTGACGACTGATGCAAACCAGATCCCTTCGTCGGTTCAGGAAGCCATACCGGCGCTGTCTGTTCTTGTGGGCCCCAGCAATTTGACTGGTCAAATAAACTATTTTTGAATGGGCAAAAACCTCTGCGTCGATTGGCCACCTCAAATTGGTGCAGAATCGGGAACACCACGTGTGCCCACCCCATCATCGGAACTTTTCAGTAACACTCTCAACCCGTCACAGCTCAGCTATAACCCGAACGTCAACAATGGAGGATGACACCTCAGCTCCCGCAAACGCGCATTCACAGTTACAAGTTTCCTCAACCACTTCCGGTCTTTCACAAAGCAATGCTCAAGGTGTTTGGGGATACCAGGTCATCCTTGAACTCATTTTCCAGGCTTTCCTTTCTTCCTGCTCGCTCGATAACTGGCGAATCGATGTTCAGAACAGGACGACTCTCAAAGTGGTGTGCAGGTATTGGGAATCGGTATTGGAGTCGACACCGGAATTGTGGTCGAACATCATCCTCGTCCCGGAGATGCCGCAATGGTATCTCAACCAAGTTTTCCGATATTCAAAGGTCGCTCCTAAGCGCTTGGATATTCACCTCTGTGCCAACTTGGAAACCAATGCCGACACCTTCTCGTCTCGCTTCGTTCCCCTGCTAGTTGCAGTAGCCGACACCATTACGCACCTCTCCGTGCGCTACGCTTCTTCCACTGACTGGAATGATTTTATTTGCCGACTATAGCTGATTGCAGAAGTTTGTGCGGCTGTGGAGCTTCGTTCGTTTGTTTGCAAGTGTTTGTGCCGTAAGAGTTAACGCTGGTGCAAGAGCATTTGGTGGAGCCTTGCGACCATATATGGAAATTTTTTGACAGAATTGGAGCCCAAACGAAGCTCCACACCCGCACAAACTTCTGCAATCAGCTGTATCCCTCTCCGATGTCCAACTCAGTTTCACATCGCTTCGACAGCTTCACGCGGCTTCTTGTACTCATTTGGGAAGCCCGTCCCCAGACGGTATCCCACAACCGTTTCCGGCGCTTGCTGCCAACATACGAGAGCTTTCTCTCGAGGGCCTGCCGCTCACTCCCTCCATCGTTGGCTCCGACCTCACTTCGTTGACCTTGCTCAACTTGGATTCAGTTTGCGATGATGCAGTGTCATGGCAGACCTTTCTCATGGACTTGTTGTGTTGTCTGCGTTTAACTCCACAACTCAACGCTCTCGCCATCGGGGAACTGAATAAGCGTTTCGTTCCATCCGCTTCCCATGGTTTTGTCGTTGTTGTTCTACCAAATCTCCACAGCCTGTCCCACCTAAGTATGCAAAACATCGCTGCCACACCAATATGGCTTCCTCGTATCACTCATCGAAGTTCCGCAACTCCAAAGACTTTCTATCTGCATAGTCAATATTCGCAACACGGTCAACTTTGTTTTGGCCAATCGTTCCAAGCTTTCTACCGTCACTGCACTCAGTTTAGTGGGTGACATACAACATTTTGTTCAGCGCGGCCATGGTCGAGCAAAGCTTTTGCCGATACTGACGGAGAACCTACTGCAGCCTCTCGATATTCTGGATTTGAGGTTCACTATCGATCATGTGCACGGCGCTTGGTCTCAAACTTCGCTTGTTGAATTCCTTTCCCTCGCGTTGGCTCTTCCTACCGTCTTTCTCTTGGTCATACCCTTGCCCCTCTTGTCTCCATACCCCGATTCTCGCAAGGACTTGGTGAGACGCATATTCCAGGAGCACCTAGTCAGAGATGGAGAGGCCGGCAAACGTATCTATGCAGAACATTCAACCTGTCGTCTTCCTGATGCGGATGAAGACCATTCCTCCTGCGCTCGTTTGTGGTATTGGGATGGTGAACTTCGCTACATATGAGACTTGTGCGAGCTATTCAACAGCTGTTCTCGTATCTAACCTAGCCACATCCCTAAACATATTTTCGGTATACAAATCATTCCCTAGGATGTAGTCTAAACCCTCTCACAATTACTGTCTTGGAGGTTGATTCACATTCATTCACATTCATTCATTCACAAACAGATGGCAGTTCGTTTGTGTTTAGGGTAGACTCATCAGTCCCGTGATATGCACCATCAATACTAGGAATCCGTTGCAAAGTCTAAACCCTCTCACAATTACTGTCTTGGAGGTTGATTCACATTCATTCACATTCATTCATTCACAAACAGATGGCAGTTCGTTTGTGTTTAGGGTAGACTCATCAGTCCCGTGATATGCACCATCAATACTAGGAATCCGTTGCAACGGGGTAGCTCGCGCAGCATCAATTCACAGTTGGATATCTACGAAACAAGTCTTGTAATCGTGCATCATAGTTAGTCCCTGCCAGCCGCTGCACCCGTGTATAATCCAAGTGACCAACAATGGCAAGAGAGTCAATGGTTTTGACGCGTGAGAGCGCAACGAATGTGAGGCCACTGGCAAACTCTTTCTTGCCAAGTCCTAAGCGAACCTTCCTCAGTGTTAAGCCCTGTGATTTGTGGACTGTAACTGCCCAGGCTAAGCGTAACGGAATTTGGGTATGTGACATGGTCTTCCCACCGTGTTCGAACGCTGTCTTGACTGGTGGAATCGGAATGATGGGTATGCCTGCTTGAGTGTACCAGCGCGTCGGGCCAGTGTAACCAGGACAAGCCACAAGGACGGCCAAAGGCACATCTGAGCGTTGAGCGCCATGATGCCAGATAACATCTTGAATTGTACCCACTGTAGCATTCACAAGGCCTGAATTGGTAAGCAATTACTCGTAGTGCAAATAGTGGGCAGACCTTTCTCGGACCACAGATTCCGAGTGATCATGACTTTCGCACCTTTGGCAAGATATACGTGGTTTTCCAAGCCGCCAGCTTGATCTGCCTTGATTCTGTGGCCACCAGTGCCGCCCTCATGCTTGGCGTCAACCCTTGCACATGGAACCTTCAGCGCTTCTAGCTGTGTCAAGTTGAGATCCTCAACATCGTCGCGTGTTGTGAACAAACAGACAGCATCATCAAAGGTGTTCTTCTCGTCTTGGGACAACCCAGATTCTGCGCGAGTGTTGAGAAAGGTCCAGTCCTCTACGCTGAGTCCACCGTGTGAAGCATGATAGAGCATTGCCTTGAATCGGAGTTGGTCTGGTGTTTCTCCTTCTTGGCGATGGAGGACTGTCAACTTGAAGCTCTGGTGGAACAGACGGTATAAGATGGCACCATCAGAGCTGAGCTCAGAGCCAGGTGTAGGTTCACGATAGAGTGGACGATCTCCGACTGGTGGGAGCTGTGCAAAATCTCCGCAAAGTACGACATTGAGGCCACCGAAAGGAAGGTGGGAAGCATCAGGGTATATTTGTCGAAGACGAGCGTCGATCATTGCCAAGATCTTCAAGCCAAGCATTGACTTCTCGTCGATAATGAGAAATTTGATTCCGCGCCATTGAGCTTGCAGTCGTGCTAGTCTTGGGCCAGAGAGAGGCTTGAAGTCGGTGTTGATGGGAAGCCCAAGTGCCGAATGTATCGTTTGGCCGAGAATATTGAGGGCTGCAACTCCCGATGGTGCGAGAACGCGAACCGGGTTTGGCATATTTGCCTGTTGTGCCATCTCACGGAGGACTTGACAGACAGCATGAATCACGTATGTCTTCCCGCATCCAGCAGAGCCGTCGATTTGAGCCAGTTGGTGTGTAGGTTGTGCGCCAGATAGAATTCTGCGGTAGAGGTCAGAGAAGAAATTCGGTAAGTACCTGTCGTTGCTCATCCGCAAGAGATCCGATGTCAATCATCGGTGGCTGTTCTGGCCCATCATTTTCGCCAGCTGCCTTCCGTTGCTCATCTATCCAGCCTCCCATCTGGTCTACGTCCTCCCATGCCCCGCGCGCTGCCTCAACATCCCAAGCATTGTCAACAGGACGTGTACCCAGGTCCTTCGGAGCAAACTGCGGGACTCGACCGTTGGGAAACAGCTGAGCAAAAAGCTGCCAGTCGTCGTTGTTTATAGGCTGTGGTTCTGCGGGTACGTCTTCATCTTCATCCTCTTCGTCCTCTTCAGTCTGCTTACTCTCCATTTCCCAGCAACGCAATGTGTCTCGTGGATGTACATGTCCGTCGAGACCACACGCAGCCACTAGCGCGCTCCAAGGTGTCACGTTGGGGTCAAATTCTTCAAGAGAACGAAAGGGATGGTGCAGCAGTATCCTTGTGCGACAATATTCCTCGTATTTGTCGCCGCTGGGATCAGGAGAATACCGCGGAAAGGTGCGTAGGATTGTGTCCGTCGAAACTCGTCGCTTACGCCACTCTTTTCTAACCCAGGCATAATGCGTGAAGAGCTGCTGCATTGACAGGTCTTCAAGGTCAGCAGGACGCTTGATGTACCGCTGGAGCCACGATTCACCAGTAACGGTACGTTCTTCGGGATTGTCTGGTTCCTCACCCTCATTTGTTTCCAGTGGACGCATTCCCTCGTTTGGTGCAATGTGCAACGTTTGAAACGAGACAGACGAACGCACCAGTGGTATCCCAAGCATTAAATGTGCAGTTTCCTGAGCGGAATAGGTGCGTTCTCCCAACATCTTGTTCAGCAATTTCTGACATGCTGTTTTTGCAGTCCCTGATTCTCCGAATGCTGAAGTGATGTCCGAGAGAAGTTGAGGAAAGGCTGGTGCCTGTTTTTCCGCTTTGCTTGCGTATTTTGCGATGTAACTATCTGAAGTAAGTGTTCATTCAACCTTTGGTCAAAATACTGACTTTCGTGCAGCCGCTGTACTCAGTACTGGTTTAACGTCGATGTTTGCTCTCCAGGCCAAGATCAGCGCACGATGGTGAACATTCAGCAGTCTGTCATTTCGTGCGGGCTCGAATCGCACGCGCTTCTTGCTATCAAACCCAACACCTGCATTGTCTCGCAAGTCCATCGGATAAGGTAGTGGTAGTCGGCAGGTCTTGGGGAGTGGACACCAGACTGCGTGTACTTCGAACATGAAATATACGCCTGCTTGAGGGAATTTGTCTGGGTGAGGCCAGAAACCGCGTGAATCGCCTCCCAGAAGCGGCCCGTGGAGCCGTGACTGATGGGAAAGGCTTGGTCTGGCGGCGGCCTCACACGACGCGGGAGAGGGTGTGGACAACCAAAACGGGCGCCGGACAACCCAAACGGAGCACTGCGACCAGCGAAGCGCGTCCGACGACCGGCAGTCTCGGACACCCTGACGGAGCAGGCCAGTGAGAGAAAAATAATAAACATATATTTGTCAATGCGACTGTACAACGTCAATTTCGCTCGAGATCTTCTGCCAGCTTGTGTCTCTTGCACCTATAGTGCACCCTAATACCCTCTAGTTAGAGGGATAGAGTGGGGTACTCTCTCCCTCTAACTAGAGGGGGTTGAGCCAGTAGTGGGCACCCCCGCTAAATATGGCTACCAAGGGGGGTCTTGGTAGCGGGGAGAGAGGCCCGGAGGCTGCCATCACCCTCCCGGCTGCCTCCCCGCCCCCGCCCACTGTGCGCGCTGCCCGCCGCTGCCCGCCGCCCGCCCCAGGGCCTCGGCGCCGTCGTCACGATCGTGACTTATGTCACCGATCGCTGATTGACGTCGCCGATCGCCGCCCGCTGTCGTCGGCCGCGGAGCTTCTTGCCCGCTGGTGTCAGGCACCCCGCCGCCGCTGTCAAATAGTCCGCCGACGTCGTGCTCGACGTTGCCCTCGACGGTAAGCTCAGTTCTCCATCATTTTCTGTCAAATAAAGTGATTTCCAATCAAACTTGATGATCGCAACACAATGACGGCGTCATCGCTGCCATCTACTGATCCCGCCCTCCCCCGACGCCCCGCCCGACGCGCCCCCTGACGCCTCCCGCCCCCAAAATGAAAAAGTTGCGGAATGTCACAAAAACCATCCCAGGACAAACCACTTATTAATAGCTTCATTCGTTTAAGAGATATTGAAAAGAGTCGTTAACTCAATTATAAAGTTGTTAACTCAACCCGTCCGCCCGCAACCTTGGTTGCTCAGTGCTGAACCCGGCCCGCCCCCCACCCCATCAGGTGCCCAATGTGTCCCAACCCTAGCATCAGAAAGTTGCTTAGTGCAAGCTGCTACTTCGAGTGTTGTATCTGTTCCGATATTTAATACGAATTGTTAACTCAATTCCCTAAAGAATCAGTTTACTTCAAGCTGTAGCACAGAGAATATAGATCCTTCTAAAGTACCACTGGCTCAATGGATATATGTAGACCAAATCATTGATTGTTGTAGAATATAAGTCGTTAACTCAATGTTTCGGAGAAGTTAGTCATCCTTCCCCAGGCTCAGCAACACATGTGGACCTATAGAAGGTCATCAATGTACCACTTTTCCCTTTGACCTATGATTCAGTCCAGAAAAGTCAATAAAACTCATTAACTCAATCCCATTTACCATGGACTTGCCCCACACAGCCCCAAGTGCAACGGATCAGATATTTGTCTACAACCTCTAGACTTTTCTTCTTTCTACTCAAATAATAAATATTGGTCAAAAAATTCGTTGTTAACTCAATTATTACATCAGAGATTTTCAAGAGATTTACTTGTCCTTTCCTCGCAACCAGGCAGTATTCTTTGAAATGACAGCCACCGCCAGCTTCTTGGACTCCCGAACAGGCAATGAACGAAGAAGGGGCTCATCTGGCTCAGGATTGACCTTCCGTTTCTTCTTTGGTGGTCCAATCTCTTTCCCCCCATCCAAGTTGGCAATGTCCATCGCTCCATCTTCCCCACCCACTTGGAAAACTCCCATCATCGATTCTTGAGGCAACACTTGGCTTGGCCCAGCATCATGGGACTCGGGAATGTCCACTGAGGTTGAATTGTTCACTGGGGTTGGAGCATTGGCCGCTGTTGCATCCAGCTGGGGAGTGTGGGTCGTTGTTGACACAAGCTCCTCCGGGTTAGGCGGGTTGTTGATGACTTCATCTGCCGTTTGCTCCACTGAGATCTCCGTGCCTTGTCCACTAGTCCCTTGCGAATGCGTTTGTTCGCTGGACCGGATACCGGACCACTCGTCCTCCTCGGTGAAGGGAATACCTCCCCATTCCTCCTCGACATCGTCATCATCCTCCTCATCCTCCTCATCATCTTCTTCCTCCACCCTTCGGCGTTTCCCTTTCGCCTTTTTCGTCTTCTGGCTCGACTCCCCTAAATCCTCCTCGTCGTCCTCACTAAAGTCTTCCTCATCATCAACCACCTCTGCTGACTTGCCATCCTTCTTTCGAGGCCCCCGGGGCACATTGGCGTCTGATCTTTTGCTCCGGAAACGAAGCTTGCCATTGGCCCGCTGATGCTCAATACGCTCCTCCAAAGACTTGATCCCTGAGCTTGACATCACTTCCCATCGCATAGTACCGCTTCGCAAAGCAAGCCGAAGGTTTCAAAGTACATCAATGAGGTAGATTCGGGAAGGGCTCTGGGGGACAGTGCTGCCCCCAGGGATGCCGATGAGCTGGACGTGGTGCTTGTACCGGACTGCGTAGTCGTAGTGTTTGTAAAACGTCTTCGCTTTGGGATTATTCGTGATTTCCCGAAGGCCGCTGGTGATAAGCGTAACAATCTGTTGACGAACGCTGCTGAGGTCTTCAGCTTCCTGTGCCCCTACAATCTGGTCAATATGGCAATCATAAACAAAGTTTACAAGTTTATGCACCTTTTGCCCGAGCTTGAGCCCAAATCTCAAATCGACGAGCCAGCTCTATCATAGACATCTTGAGAATCTCAATCACAAATAGCTCCGCCCCGCCACTTGCAAAGAAGTGCGCCATGGAGGGGTCTGCAGGATCACTCTTTGACGTGACGCCAAACGACAGTGTGCCGGTGCGAGAGTAGAGGCCGTCATGCTGTATACTGTTGAGTTAACGACCATAAATCAGGCATTTGAAACCTCACCCTTGTTTGACTACCCTGGACCGTTTGGTTCACATCCCCGATGTTGGACAGGTTCGTTTTACGCATGCCGTTATGTTCGTTGACCTGTTTGTCCACCGCTGCCTTCACCATAGCCTCCACCTCCTCCTCCGACAACAAATCTTTAACCTTCTTCACACCCGCTTCAGCCAGTTCCTGCTGAATGATTTCGTGGATTTCATGCATTTCGCGGTCTATCAACAACAATGAATGAGAGCTAGAATTGAGAAAAGACATGCATACTGGGCTGTTCTCGAGACTTCTGGCTTACATAGAGATTCCATATATTTGGCGCTCGCAGTTTCTTGGTGTGGACGCGCTGCTGCAGATGTTGGCACGAATGTACGATTCGGTGCGGTCGGGGAAGTCGAGACAGAGCTGAGCAATTAAGGCCTCACGTTCCTGGTGGAACTTGGTGAACGCGAGGTTGAGATGCTCTTGATTTGCTTTTTTTCTGCTGCTGACCTCAGCCTTGGATTGCTTCTCGGCCAAGGACAGCACGGCCTTGCCCTTTCTTTTGTGCTTCACAGGTTGAGTGGGCTGCCCAGGGGTTGCGAAGCGCGTGAGCAGAGGGAACCGACATGGCAGGGTAAGAGTCGAAAGTCACGGTGTGACCCAAGTGTGACCAAGCAATCAGAGAAAGTCCGCACGTGCTTAGGCCCGGCTTCTCTCCATCCGATGTCTTCCACGCCTTCCCGGTCGCGCTCTCCAATCAAGAGCCCTTCCCAGTCACGGTCTCCAGTCAAGCCCCGACAACGTCAGCAGCCAGCTGGCTACCCCGAAGGATTCCCGTCAACGGACGGAGAACTTGCAAAAGCTCTTGGAAATGCCATTCCATACGTTCCTGACGACCTTGCTGATGAGAGCAATCTCATCTTAGAGCTCACTCTCTCTGAACACACACGGGCCTCCGTCCGCCGAGCTCTTGCGCTTCCACCCAACGAAACATACCTTTGGGACCACTCTCCATCAAGCAACATCTTCCAGAATGGACCCAGTGGCAGCGGACCTTGGATCTCATCCAGAGACACCGATGACGAGGACGAGGACGAGGGGAAGATCGAGGAGGATAGAGGTCTTCACAACAAGCAGCCGCTCTCCCAGCAGAAAAAAAATGCCCTCCAGACCCCGCGAAAGAATAAGCAGGCCCTTGCGGAGACACCAACAAGGAAAAAGCAGCCCCTACGTTCCTGCGGGCTCCCGTTCCGCTGCCCCCCCAACCCCTGCTTACTTGGACCCGCCAATTCCCCTCAGAAAGCCCAAATTTGGGGTCCGCGTCAATGAGATCTTCGATAGCAGGTGAGTTTTCGTTTTCCTCTCTTGTATTGGACAGCAAACTGATGTTAGGCAGAGAGGCTGCCACTGAATTTGCTTCTAAGATGGGTGCCGAGGTCGTCTTACTGGAGACGCCCGAGCAAGTATGGAGCTTTCGATTTTCTTGAAGGAGTAGATGTCGGCCCACTGAAAGTAGAAAAGAATACATCGTTTGCATTTTATCGTTTGCACCTGTGCATGGACATTGAGTTAACAATTTTAATCATGCGCGGCCCGTTTCGACGCATGTGAGTTAATGACTTTTATTATGCCCGGCTCGTTTCAGTTTCAACGCACGTTGAGTTAATGACTTTTATTCAAAACGTACACGTTTTGAATTCTGTTCGGTATTGGATTGTGTCGTA